TTTAACAACTTTTCTACACTTTTTTGCCCAGTTCTACCATGAAGGGGACTGTGCAGACCATGCAGTTTTTCGACTTATTTTTTTTTTCTTCTATTTCAGTTAAATTTATATAGTGTTCTTATTTTTAACAACTGTTCTACACTTTTTTGCGAAGGGGAAGTGCAGACCATGCAGTTTTTCTACTTGGTTGTTTTCTATTCCAGCTCAATTTTATATAGAGTTCTTATCTTTAAAAACTGTTCTGACTTTACTTATCTTTACTCATCTATTTTTTCTCATCTTTACAAACTGTTCTACACTTATTGACCAGACATCTACTAGTCATGACAAACATCTCCATCTTATCTTACAGGGTCAAAGTGTTCCTGAATTATTGATTTGAACACCTTTATGATGACATTTACCTTTGACTTGACCTTAATCAATGACCAATCTACAAGTCATTACCAACCTGACAACCTCATATGATGACCATAAGCCATGGCTTTCCCTAGTTGACCAATCAACTTTTTAAACTACTTGGCATGATTAATTTAAAGGCCCAACCTTTGACCAAAACTTTCACCGGTTATTGGTTAGACATTGACATTGAAGCTCTGTAAACATAGAATGGTGGGGGATGTGTAGCAAAACCAAAACATGCGACTATCTAAACCATAGACTGTACAGTGACAGACTTACCATTCTTCAGAGCTTCAATCAAAGGTTAATAATTCGAAAAACTAGCTAAATGCCATTTTCTGTACATGAAATGAAGTGATATTCTGCGTAAACTTAAGAAATAAAATATCTCAAACAGTGATTTTATAGCTAAATAAAATCACAGTTTGGAGTTCGGATGTGATGAATTATATCACGAGGGCAGGGCATAATGATGCGCATCTGAACAACAACGATTTTATCAAGCGATAAAATCACTGATTTGGATATATTATTTCAATTCTAACACAACATCAACAAATAAATGCTGCCGTACCTGATATCGAGCTAAACTGTGCCTGAAATGTTTCCGTACTTACCTTCAACGCATCGCATTTTGATTTTATGTCACTTGTATAATGGTTACGTCACATTGCATAATAAGGCACTTTTTCGGTCCTTCTATGTTCAATAGGGGAAAAATGCGGTTTTTAATAGAATTGTCTATTTACATATATTTTAACAGACAAGTTTACGCAGAAAATCACCATATTTATTATAGCAGATCCCAAACAATTGTTTTTGTTTTTTTTAAATTTTCATTATTTACAATTTTTTGTTGTAAAATTTGCGATAGAAAGTAATCACCTTACACAGTAAAATAATGATAGAAATATTATGTAATTATGTACTTCAAAATATTAGTTGTAATTCCCCAGAGTTAAATCTGTAACATACCCGAAAACAGTGTTCAGCTAGTTTTCTTTTCGAAAAGGTCGGTCGCTACACTTCTCCCAATGCTGCCTAGTTTTAAAACAGCACTCTCCAAGATTCATATTGTTTTAAATGAAAATAATTTATATGTCACATGATTAAGTTAAATATTAAGATTCAAAGGTTAGATTTACAAAGCAAGACTTGTATGCACTTAATGACCTTTTATGTATTAAAATATTTAGGAACATTAAGTAAGATTATTTCATAAAGAATTGGGAGGAATTGAGATTGTTTTTTTGAAAAGTAAAATACATGTATCTGGATGAGTGCAGTTTTAACTACTAGCATGTCCCAAGCCATGGTAAAAGCAGAGGGGGAGAAATAAATCTTGTATTTATTTGTATTATTTGTATTATTATTGTTATTTTTCAGGTTAAACACTTTATATGTACACTGATTGGTATGTTCACCATTCTCATGACCTGCAAAGTTATTATAAGGTTACCTTGAACATCAAATCAGGAGACTCTTACCACTGTTGGTTCGAATCCCGACAAGGATTTTAATTTCTTTCATGTAAGTAAGCTATCCAGTTTGCTCATGGGACGTCGTTGGTTCTACTTGAGTGCCTACTCATGCCTGAAATAATGCAAGTCGGGGCATCTGAGATCTTCCACTATTAGTATAGCTGCAATATCTTCATAGTAAAATAATAAATATTTCTTCTAAAAAAACATGAATTTTGATTATACAGTAAGCATATGATTTTGTTTTATTTTTTTGTGATCAGCTGATTGAGATATTATTCTTTGTATAAAGTCATAAGCACGTATAAATCCGTGTCATAAGTGACAAAATAACTTCAGTAACATTAATACGAGAATTCTTTGGACAAAACTTTTCTAAGTAAGAATTGTTTCTTTAAAAGCCACCATCCAACGCCATAATGTTACCTGAGCATACTTCCGATTTTTTTCTCTCCAAGTGTCATTTTCATAAACTAATTCTCATTCTCATTTCTTTTGAGAGCTTGTAAGGAGGGCAATGTAAAAATGATTGTCTAGTTTGCAAAAGTCCCATGATCTTTTGCTTGAATAAAGTCTATATACATTTCCACTGGGCATCTTCATGGAACTTCATGGGTTGCGTGTATTTTAAGAATTACCTCCCGGACATACTTGATGTTTGATTCTGTCTTTAATTGTTTTGGTCTGTTGCTCTTTTAGTTTTAGGTACTGTATACCATATGAGCTTATTTGCAGACAAATGTCACCCCATCTTAAACTTATAAAATAAAACATAATAATAAAAAACAGTTTCTTTGATGTGGTGATTTTTTTTTTGGTCATAAAAATAGCAATTTTTTATTAGACTGTCGTGAGTATAATAGCTTTGAATTGTATATTATAACTTTTATAATATTATAAAATGAGGCTATAAATTAATATATCAGTTATACTCATAATCAACCATCAGTATCTAAAAATGAACAGTATAGATTTTTCAGTTTTCTAAGTAGTTGATATCCAGTTTTTGTTGAAAGTAACAAATTAAGATACATAGAGAATTGCCATCTATATAATTTTCTTGTCATTGTTATTTTGTTTTTTATCTCCAGAACAGCACATGTTTTCTTGCATCTCAGACAGGATTATCTACCGTTTACACCGGGTGCTAGAAAACTCTGTCTAAGTACACCCCCCATGTAAGACAAGTCGCATGTTTTAAATGATGTCATTGACGCGTGCCTTTTATGAATGAATCGCGTTCTTAGGATGACGTCATTTTTCCGTTATGAATGAAGTTGTATGTTCATACGCTACTATAAGAAAAAAGTGCGTAATGAGAAAAACAGTTTGCATAATTTCTGTTCCGAAAATAATTGACATGTAAAATGCAAGAAAAAGAATCAAACACCGGCTGTTGGTACAGATGGGAATATCTAGCTCTCGGGTAACTGTTAAGCGGAAACTCGGCAGAGCCTCGTTACCGCTGTAAACAGTTACCCTTGAGCTAGATATTCCGGTCTGTACCGGCAGCCGGTGTAAGATTCTTATAGCCTTAGATTGGTAAAATAAGAACCATAATAGAAAATTGTTAATATTTTACAAAAATCTTTCAGAAATATCATCAGATGATAAAAAATATTTTAAGCGTGATAAAAAAAATTTTATGTGCTAAATAGATCTAGTTAAAATGATTCTGAGAAATCCTTTAAAAAATTGGAATTGCAAATTTAGGTCACTATGTTCTTCTTTAGAATATAGAGGATATTTGTTTTTATTATATACTTATAAATGAAATATTGAGAAATATTGATGAAATAAAATGCGTATTTTCATTTTTCGTATTTTCACTGTAAAAATTTATTTTTCACTGCAGTGAAACATATTTTCCGTATTTTCACTGGTGTCTTGCCGGACTACTTTCTTTTAAATTCTTCCAGTACACAAAATTTAAGGGAAGTCTTTCAAATTTTATCGCAAAAAAGAGAAAAATGTATATAATAAACAGAAAATTCAAGTTTTTTCTATAAATACTTGATTTATTTTCATCTTGTGGCATGAAAATTACCTTATTTCACTCGTGGCTACCGCCACTCATGAAATATTTATTTTCATACCACTCGAAAATAAATCATGTATTTATAGAAAAAACTTGAATATCCTCTATGTATTGCATGTAAAGATTGAAATATAATTTCACTGAGTGAACACCAGATACAATATTTTCACGAGTGGCGTAGCCACTCGTGAAAATATAATAGCTGGTGTTCACGAATGAAATATATTTCAATCTTATATGTAAAACAAATAAATTTTCTTTTTATTTCATGCTTTTAAAATGATTTTAAGTACTTTTTACTGATTTTGCCGCGTAACGTCGCGCATTCTCCGTTTGACGTCATCACATCATGACGTCACATTATCAATTTTGAAATATAGTTCTGTTAAATTTCTCTAACTTTGTTACATTTTTAACATGATGTATGGTGACATCGACTTTCTTTTCCTGAAGAAGCAAAATTTACGCATGACTGCATTTAATTCTGCCTATTATTCTATTAAGTTCTGATTTTCTTTTCATCCGCATTCATATATAGTTCGGCTACAGTGAAAATTATATTTTATAAATTTCACTAGTGGTTTATCAGAATATAATCATCTGATATATTACAATAAAACACTGGAAAGCATGAAATAAAGACCCATACTTGGCCCTTACCTATATTTGGCTGTTTAAAATCTATAGATGCAAAAAAAGTAAGAAGAATATTAATATTTTAAATAAAATAACAAGCCATGGTAAGTAAGTTTTAAGCTCTTCTAGTTTAATTGTAAAAATGCCTCTTTATTTTATACATAAGAGGAGTTCTGAGTTCAAATCTCAGCGGGCGCACATATTTGCTGATCATGGTTTGTAAAATTAAAACAGGGCTGTTTATTTTATGTCCAGATATTAAAATTATTGTTTTTAAAAGAACTAATAAATTAAGTATTTTGTTGCCTAACGAAAATTAAACTATAACAATAAAATAATACGAGCACCGTTTGGCGTTTCAGCGTAACGGAAATAAACGGAGATATCCGATTGCTGCCAGCATTTTCCGTCAGTTTAAAAATTGAGAACCCGTAATCCTCCGTATTTTACCGAAGTGTAATCGGAAAACAACATGGCCGCTCCATAGTTACGAAGTACGCTAAATGTCATTCAGGTTAACTTAACAAAATGTAAAAGGATAGGTACTTTCCATTTTAATATGGGTCTTGCACGGGGTTCAGATGGGGAAACTTAAGCAAAATGCGGTAGGAGATAACAAATTCGTTCCCCGCATCAGCTCGGCCAGTCGTAAAATTGCAGCTCGTAGGTTTGAGCAAGCAGCATTAACGAACGCCACTCCTCATTACATGAATGATACATATACTACATCAAAAGTAAAATTAGCACCGATTTCAACAGACGAAAACACTTTGTTTACTAAAGTGAATAAAGAAATTTTCGAAAATTCAAAAGAATCTGATACAGATGAAACTAAAAGGTTATCAAAAAGAGAAGTGCTGAAACCAATTGCAATGAGCAAGCAACCGTCTGTTTTGTTAGATGACAATGTGTTTACATTCCGTCCTAAAGTCAGTACTGCCAGTGCCAAAATTGTGGAAAGTATGGGGACGGATTTCATGTCAAGACAACAGCAACACTTGGAAAAACAAAAGAAACTTGTAAGTATTCCGATGATTAATCGTATGTTGACTTGATTTTAAATACTTGAAAATGATTCAAAGTTTACATCAGATATATTAGATGAAACGGCAATTTTTAATAATCAGTTATAAATTTGTTTATGTTGAGGTATGCCTAGTATGAATTAATCAAAGTCTATGAACCTTCACGGTCCTGGCCTTTGCCCCGTATAAATATGATGTTCCTTTGAAATATTTACCTGTGTCTTTTCAAGTTAACGTTCATAACATATCAATTAATAATTTTTTGCAGTGATCAAATATTGTGGATATTTTTTGTTATCAATATTTCCACCTTTATGCAGACACCTGAATTTTTGACCCTAACAATTAAACCAGAATCTCACTTTGTATATACAAATAATTTTAGGATACAAAGCAAAGTTTATTATCTTTGTTAGTCTATAACTGTTGCTGATTTCTCTATGGATGGGGGCGATTTTCATGCATGTGTTGATAAAAAATACTTTCCAAATGTAATATTTGATTTTTTTTTTCACCAAAAAAGACTAATTTTTGTTTAAGTATAGTACATTTTTAAGTTAGTGTTGTTTGTATATTAATAGGAATCGCCATGGCTACAAATACCTTACTTTGTAGGTTAAGGAACACAATGTCACGTAGATTTAAAATTTTTGAAGTAAATGTATAACATATCAATAAATATTTGCAGGGAAACCCAAAAGTGTGGAAATTTCTTTAAAAGTTCTCAAGCTGATGTTCTAGCCTTATGCACTGACCACCTGTCAATTGTGACCACCTGTCAATTAAGACCAAGTATCTCACTATTAGTAATATACAAATAGGATAAATAGGATACAAAGTGCCAAGTGTTTTATTAATCTTTTGTCTGTCTATAAACTGTCTGATTTGGCTCCTAGGAATGGGGGCTGAGTTTACGTGGACTGTGGTTGATAAGCAAATCTATACTTTCTGAAATGGGTCCAATATCTTGATTTTTTTTCTGCAAAAGCTAATTGTTTGTTTATTGTGTGTACTATTCTTTCCAGTTAGTGTGTGTGTGTAGTCTATATTTAATAGGGTCAATCAGCCCATGTAGGGCACAAAAAGCAGCTTTCACTGTAGGTTAAGGACCCTGGACATGTCACCAGTCATGGCATTTAAGAGTTTGAATTGAAGCACAAAGTGGTGGTAATTTTTTTCCAATTTCCAGGGAGTATATTAGCGAAAAATATGAATTTTGAGTCAAAAGTAGGTCACTGTATGGCGGCCAATAAATGTACAGTAACCAGAGATAACATGAGGAGGTAGCTCTGAAAAGGGCTGTTGGTGCCCATCAAAGGCCCTGCCTTTTATTTCCTAGGTTTATATGTCATATTTATATACATTTATTGCCAAGTTAAGAAAGACAGAGAAAATACTTGTATTTGATAAAAGTATAAAACATGAAAATCTTTATTTATTGTGAATGTCTGCAAATATTAAATCATGGCTATATTAGTATATAAAACATGCTATTTGTACCAGGTATCTTCATGAACTTTGCTGGTAAATAAGAAAAACCTTACATGTATTATTACAATTATGTTTTTACTTCTCTAGTTCCAAATAGCAGAAAAATGTATGTCCACAAATTGCATTCACAAAATTCATATTTTCTATAAGTATTCAACGGTTTGCAACCTTTTCCCCTCAATTTTCCTTATTTTACTATTAAACAGTTGGATGGACAACAACCAGTCATTACCAGAGAGGGTGTTTTAAAATTATTTATAAAAATTATAAACCGAAGAACTTCAGTTAAAGTCTTTTACATTTTTGTTTTAATTGAAAATTAGTAGGATGTGATTGATGTTTTACAGAAGAAAAAAAAAGAAAGTCGTTTATCATGAACTATTGTGTTTTCAGATTGAAAGAGCCGGATTTTCTTTAACCGGCTCCTCGGGTCGTTTGTCACCTCTTAGCCAGTACAGAAGACTTAAAGAACGGGGATTTAAGGTATATATTTTAGGCTCTTTAACTAAACTTAATAAAGCAACACTTTAAGTGAAACTTTTATCTATTTGGATATTGTCCACTTAGTGCATATCTATTTGAATATTGTGGATTTTGAATATTGTCTTTAAGTGCAGTAACAGGTTAACTCCTTATCTAGTTATCCAGATACTGCACTAAGGTGCCAATATATATTTTAAAAAAATGTCATATTTTAAAATATATTGCTACATTTTGTGTGTGCTTTTTGTATTATAGTCATTGCATCATTCAATTAGACTTTGTTTCACGGATATGTACACAGATTTAGATACTCAGACTGAGATTTTGTTACAGGAATTAAAACATTTTTCCTTATGCTGGCTTCATAATTTGACAAAAAAGATTCTAAATCTAAATACTGACATGCTGCCACTGTCAGAAAGTGACTTCAGAAAAAATAAATTTACTGTGCAGGGGATAATTTCAGAATTGTTTAATGTATACATCCATTTAGTCCTCTCAAATAAATTCCTGTCAATGTTTTTTTCCTATTAAGAATTGTTCCACATTAAATACCACTAACACAGTTTAGATAAAAATATAAGTATCTATATGAAGGGATAGTAACCTAACATAAAAATAAGTCCCGTCCTTGCTTACTTTGTTATAGAGATAAAGAAAATTTGTTAGTTAAATATTTTAGAGCTCTATAGTTTTATATTGAGTCAAGAAAAATGAAACCAAATATTACTAAATTTTATAGTATAACAACAGTTACTTCCCTTTAATCTTCAATGACATTTATTTTATCAAAGTTACTTCCCTTAACCTCCCACTAAACCATAGCAATTTTAGCATTGTTGTATAGCTTACTAATTTAAAGAAATTGCTAGATTGAAGGATAATTGATGATCTAAATTAGTAAAAAGAATAGAAAATACATATATTTCATCCATCCTTGTGTGCACGGTCATGTCTTTTCAACTAAATTGGATTTAAGAGAAATTTAATATCTGAATGCTGCACCAGTTATTATAACCTTGATCATTGATTTAAGTCTTACAGTGTTGGGGCTTGAACTGTTCTCCTCATTTCTCCATGACACAATTATCCCCTGTACAAGGGCCATGCCACGGTACCATACCCTTTAAAGTATAATAAAATGTCTTTTCTAACCAACTATCAGTGAATATGGTTGATTTGTATTTATATACTAGGGCCATAATTACTGTATCCTATATATATTGTGTACTTAGGTAGAAGCCCATAGGTAGGGAGAAAAAAAGAAAAAATTTCTGTCTAAAATAATACTTGTTTTATCAAGATAGCAAATTTAAACGGGATATTTTCAAGGATCTCCTGCTCTAGGCAGCTAAGCAGTTACTTATTTTTTTTGAAATTATTATTATTTTTTTTTATTTATTGAATTGAGCAGAAATTCGGCTCCAAAAATCTTGAAATGAGGGCCTTTCATACTGCATCAAAAATGAAAATAGTCTACCTTTCATGTGGTGGACCACGGTGACAACTTGTGCATTATTAAAAACAGTAAATAAAATCAAAGCTGATTAAAATTTTAAGATTGGCAATAAAATCAGCTGTATAACAAACTTATGGTGAAATTTCAGGAAATAAATTTAACCTGCCTCAGATTATTGTCCCCCGCCTTTTCGAAGAAAAAAGGGGAGATATAGTAATAGGCTCCGTCCGTCTGTCCGTCCGTCACAACTTTCGTGTCCGGTCCATAACTTTGTCATTTTTCAAAGGAATCTGAAATAAACTTGGCACAAATGTTTGTTATAATAAGACGATGTGTCATGCGCAAAAACCAAAACCAGACCCCTAACTCCAAGGTCAAGGTCGCACTTGCTCATTCAAGGTCACATTTGTCTATTTGATGGTAATATGTCCGTGTTCGGTCCATAACTTTCTTATTTTTTGAAAGGGATTTTGTAAATACTTGCCACAATTGTTCACAATAATGAGACAATGTGTCATGTGCAACAACCGGTCACCTACCTTCAAGGTCAAGGTCACACTTGGAGGTCAAAGATTAACATAGTCTATTACAGGGTATATTTTGTTGTCCGGTCCAAAACTTTTTCATTTATCAAAGGAAATCTGAAATAACTTGGCACAAATGTTTGTTATAATAAGTCGATGTGTCATGCCCAACAACCAGACCCCTACCTCCAGGGTCAAGGTCGCACTTGCTCATTCAAGGTCAATATTGTCTATTTGAGGATATATGTTGTGTCCGGTCCATAACTTTCTTATCTTTGAAGGCATTTTGTAAATACTTGCCAAACAATTGTTCACAATAATGAGACGATGTGTCATGCGGCAACAACCGGTCACCTACTTCCACGGTCAAGGTCACACTTGGAGGTCAAAGATTAACAAAGTCTATTACAGGGTATATTTTGTGTCCGGTCCATAACTTTTTTCATTTATCAATGGAAATCTGAAATAACTTGGCACAAATGTTTGTTATAATAAAGTCGATGTGTCATGCCCAACAACCAGACCCCTACCTCCAGGGTCAAGGTCGCACTTGCTCATTCAAGGTCAACATTGTCTATTTGAGGATATATGTTGTGTCCGGTCCATAACTTTCTTATCTTTGAAGGGGATTTTGTAAATACTTGCCACAATTGTTCACAATAAAATGAGACAATGTGTCATGCGCAACAACTGGTCACCTACCTCCAAGGTCAAGGTCACACTTGGAGGTCAAAGATTAACATAGTCTATTACAGGGTATATTTTTGTGTCCTTTCCATAACTTTTTTATAGATCAAAGGATTTTTGTAAATACTTGCCACAAATATTCACTAATAGTAAGACAATGTGTCATGCGCAACATCTGCATCCCTACCTCCCAAGTTCAAGGTCACACTTAGAGGTCAAAAGTTTACGTATTCATGTTTTTTAGGGTATATTTTGTACTTTTTCAGGATTTTGAAAAAAAACTAGGCACAAATAGTCACAATAATAAGAACAATATGTCAGATACAACACCTGCACCCCTACCTCCTAGGTCAAGGTCACACTTAGAGGTCAAAGGTTTACAGAGTCTGTTATATGGTTTATTTTGTGTCCCGTCTATAACTTCTTCATAGATCAAGGGATTTTGAAAATACTTGGCACAAATAGTCACTATGATAAGATAATATGTCATGCATAACACATGTGTCCTTACCTCCAAAGGTCAAGGTCAACACCATAGAGGTCAAACATTTACATACTCTGTAATAGGGTATATTTTGTGTCCAGTCCATAACCTGGGATTTTAAAAATACCTTGCACAAATAATCACATAAATAAGATGATATGTCAGGTGCAAAACATGGGCCCCTACCTTACCTCCAAGGTCACACTTAGAGGTCAAAGATTGACATAGTCTGTTATAGGGGTATATTTTTGTGTCCGATACTATAATTCTAACATAGTTCAATAGGGAAATTTTGAACTGACTTAAAAGCAACAAAATTTTAGTAATATTAATTAAAGATGATATGTCATCCAACACAGTTCATCACCCTACCTTTAAGGTCCAAGGTCACACCTTTAGAGGTTCAAAGTTTTAAACATGATAGAATTTTACATTCCGTGTTTCATTTTAGTAAGTATTTCTTTAATAAATTTCATTGTTGCATTTGTAGATCAGCATTGATCATTAATTTTGGAAATGAAAGTCCCTGAACAGCCATAACCTCAATCTTTTTTGAAAATAGCGCCCAATTTTATGCTTCCATATAAAACCTTCCCCGAAGGCGGGGGACGTTTGGTAAACCCTCTGTTACAAATTCTTGGGTTGTGTTTAAGTAATTACTTCATTTGAAACTGTTAAATTTTTTTTTCAGTTTCATTTCACCCTATATCAGGTATTTTAGATGTTTTGTTGCAATTATTTTGTTAACAGCAATATCAGTATTGGGTTCCTATGCTCCCCCAAAGGGAAAGCATATAGTCCCCCACTTTATCCCCTCCCGTCCGTCCCCTTTTCTTGTCCGGGACATAACTCTGAAAACTACAAGAGGTATCAACAAAGAAAACTTTTGTAAAGTAGATAGATCTCATTGAGTTAGAAGATCCTAAAAAAAGAACCATAAATCTGCCTTGCCTTATTTTGGAGTTATTGCCATTTGATCATTATTTACACATTGAACTTTGCCGGGGACATAACTCTGAAACTATAAGAGATATCAAGAAGAAACTACTTTTCTGTGTCCAAAACCTATTCGGGGAGCATCACCCAGTTCGACTGGCTCAATGTTTTATGGTTATTTTTATGATTACTACAGTTTATTTATTAAGTTTATTTTGGATAAAGGTTGGATGGTCTAATTATCAGAAATGTTCATATATTTAAGACAGCTCATTTTTAGCTTGAACTTTTTTAGTTGAACTCTTTACTATTCTTTTCTTCCTCTGATGTGTTTGACTTTAGAAATATAAAAAAAGAGTCAAGCATGGCCCTACCCCCTAGTCATTGGCTCTTGTTAGGTACTTCTTCTGTGAAGGAATTTGGGAGAAGTGGATATTTTTTTTATTTTTAACAATTTCTTTACTAAATATGTTAGACTATAAGAAATATTGAAATAAACAAACAGACAACTGGATGATCAACAGTCATGCCTGTTATTGTCAGAAACCAACAACTGATCAGTAGCTAGGATGAAACATTCAAGTTGATTTATTAGTTAAATTTGATTAAGTTTTATTTAAAGAAAGTTATTTTTTTCTCAATGTGAAACCACTGATTGGAAATGAGTGGATATTATTTTTCAGAGATCATTAAATCTAAAACCCAATATGTGCTGAATGGGCAATTATATCTTATAACAGAAGTGTTAACCAATTGTTGTACTTAATTGATTTACATATTTTACTAGGTCATTGCTTGTACAAAATTTAAATACTAATACCAAATATAAAGGTTTAAAGTCATTGTAATGTAGAACTAGTATAATGTAAATAAGAAACTTTTATAACAAAATTTCAATGTGTTTTCCTTGATTGTATTGGATTTATTTCTTGATTCTTATGGTTTTTGGTGAGCCTTCCTTTCATAGTTTAATTAGGGTCTTTTTTGTATTTAATTAATTCCTAGATAAGACCAAGGGAAAATGTTTTTTTAAATATCATTTGATATAGTTTGATTTTTCATAGGAATAAATTGACACCATTTTGAAACATAGTGTAAAATAATTTGATTGAAAAATTTCCAGGACATCTCACGCTTCGGTTAATTTTAATGATAGAAGTTTATAAGATAGTCAATTATGCATTGAAATCCATTATAAGATACCAGAGAGTGTCAATAAATCCATTGTTCAATACGTTTCATACGAAATCTACGGTATCTTTTTCAAAACCTGATTCATTTCCGAAAGATGATCATGCAGAAACCTTGAACATTTTCAAAGTAAATCTCGCAGCCTTGAGTTTCATTTTTTTCCTTTTCAAAATTATTCAACTGTATTGAATTTCTTACGAGCAGTGAATCAATTGACGATACGTCTTTTATGATGTTTTTATCTGACAAGAAATGGCGAGCACGTTTTGATTCTATAGACGATCACTACGAGAAATCAATATTTCGTTAATGAGAAAAAACACACTTTGATATAGCCCTGTCGATTTTCCGTGTTCTGTTTGAATATTAAATCTGCTGTTGTACATAGGTAATGATTTAGTGACGGGTCTTCATAAAGCGCACAAACACTGTAACATTGTTTTGACTACTGAAGTCAAATGAATTTTTTTCATTCATTTCTTCACGTAGGCATAATCATAGGTGTTAATGGCTGACACTTTTAAATTTGTTTACTTAGGGAAGGAATTTTCTCTCAAGGTTTTTTATGTAGCCCAGGAAATTAGTTTTTAGCCTGTATATAGTAAAGGTTTTTTTTTAGTTATACAGTATTACAAGTACTTACTTATTCATATCATGGATTATATCAAAAGAACTTGAGTAAGTAAACTGTAATTGTCTATAAAAATATTTTTTAATCTTTTTTATTTATTAACATCTGTTCTGATAAGTTTGGAATAAGTTATAGTGCTTGTTAAGGTAAAGAATTATTTTATCAGATAACATAGTCAAAATGTTAAAACACAATCCTTAAATTACTGAGGCACAAAACATATTTAAATATTTATTGTGAGATTCAATGTACAAAAAATAATTAAGAATTATACACAGAAAAAAAAATGTAAATAGTATTTTGTGTTATTTTTGGCCCAATTGTAATGAAAAGTATTGCAATAACTATTCTGAAAAAATGGAGTAAGCAAATGATCTTAAACTTTACACATAAGTCTAGACCTACATCAAATGGAACATTTATCTCTCAAAAGTTATTTCAAGTCCTGTCATGTCAAAACAACCTCAGTAAAGTCCCTTTAATGTCTCGAAAGACAGGCTCATTTTACAAATAACTGTATTATTTTTAAAGTGTCTTAGTAACCAAGGGAAAGACAGAAAGTTCTTCACTTTACAAATGAATTATTTGTTATTTAGAGAAAGGAGCCAAAGTTTTCCTTTAAAAAATCTTAATGCCGTGCTATTTTTGAATTTATTACAATTAACTTAGAAACTGCATGCTTCCAGATGAACCTAATTTTTCAAGAAAATTGTACTAAGATTTTAAGAAAAGTAAAAAGATTGAAGATTCTAGTCATATTTTACATGTTATGTGCGATTAATGACAGATTTTGCAGTACATTGTAATACCATATTTCTACTATGTGACTTACAATAGCCAGCCAGGGCTATTTGTGCATATTTTGACTTCTTTTTGGTATTTTCATAGATTGTAAGTGCTTTTTGCAGTGTGTAAATTACTTCCTTTGTTCACTTCACAATATTTTACTTTAAAATACATAATTTCAAAATTTTCATGAAGATTAGCATGAATTTTGCGGCATGCAACTGTTCTTTAAGCAATAAAGACTTGTCTATGTAACCAGTACAGGGTCAGACCAGCCTGCACATAGATGCAATCTTACCAGACTCATATACTTTTGCCTACATGTATTGTTTATTTTATTTAAAGAGTCTGGTCTGCCTGCATATTCATCCATGCAATATCTAGCCAGATTCTAAAATTGTTTGGTGTCCATTTAAATTCTTTTGATACTAAAATTTCTCAATTGACTGACTGTCATTTCCTATTTCAAAATCAGACAAGCCAACAAAAATGCACTATTGTAAGTGTTAAAACTGTACAAGGTTACTAGTATGTGTATATGTGCGTGAATATGTGCGTGAATAACATCTTTGCCACATTGGTCTTATGTGAATAACATCCTTGTAACATTGGTCTTACATTAATAACACCTTTGCCACATTGGTCTTACATAAAAAACGTCTTTGTGACATTGGTCTTACATAAATAACATCTTTGCTACATTGGTCTTACATAAATAACGTCTTTGTGACATTGGTCTTACATGAATAACATCTTTGCAACATTGGTCTTATTGTAACAGTTTGTCTGTAGTATTTTATGAATAATACTTTCAGATTGAAGAGTCAGAGACAGCCAACACAAACACCAACGCTGCAGAAGGTGATACATCAGAGTCTCAAAAACAACAAGAAGCTGACGAATTGTCCGACACTATGCCTGCACTACAAAACGGGATGTCCACGGGGCTTCAAAGAATTCTTGATGGTAAGACATGTAGTTTTGTATAAATTATTGGAGACAACTCAACACTGTGACAAGAAACACTTGATATGCATGATTTAAAAGTCATGATTTTAACTTTATTCCTTGTCATTTATGGTACAAAATTTGCTGAAATTCTATGCAACAAATTTTGAAAGTAGGATGATGCCCCCACAGTTTATTTTTCGTAAACTTAATGTTTCAATTCAAAATAAAAATTTCTTCACCAGGTTTAACAATAAACTGTAAGAAATGTCTTAAAAGAGTCACCATGGCTTTTCTATTGCTTACTATCTTAGATGTTATCAATGTTAGAGTCAGAAAGCAGAGTTCAATTAGGGTCACAGTTTTTAGATTTAGCCGGAGAGCATTTGCCTATTTGGTTAATTATTCAAGTAATTCCAATATCCAAGGCATGATAAATTAGATGATAAACAATAATAAAAGCTTGATTATTTTAATTTTTCATGCTTGTTGATGTAAGATCAACAAAAACATTGAAAAGTGAGATTTGCGGTGCAGCCTATTTATGACATCATGCTTAGAGTGTGAATATTTGTTTACATCAACAGTAGTGTATCTAAGGAAGTAAGGTTATTGGATTGCCTTAAAACTGCCTCATTTTACCTGTCTAAAATTCTTCTGTTATGTGCATATTATAATACCAAAATAAAATGTTAACTGATCAATGGACGGAATTATGCTAGCCTACGTGAATTATGCCAAGTTGTAAATATTGCTGAATTGGAATCACTTGAATCTGGTCACTTTGGGTCTAAATCTTGTCAGGCACTTAAAATTGATTCTTTTACAATAGGAAATTATCCAGGATGCTCCATATGGAGCTCAGGTCCCAACAATTGGTTTTTCTGCTCAGGTCCCAACGATTGGTTTTTCTGCTCAGGTCCCAACGATTGGTTTTTCTGCTCAGGTCCCCAATGATTGGGGTTTTTTGCTCAGGTTCCCTGTTGGGCCACCTGAGATCTTTTTGCATCAGAATGTTTCCCCCATGAAATACAAACTGTTATACACATCAATGGCAATAATCATAAATGCATGCAAGTGTGCATTAAATTGTTAAAATTCATTAGAGTATTGTTCAAAGACAGAATATAATGTATATGATACATTTTGTGTAACTGGAAAAGATTGCAAAATGATGTTAACAAACTGTTTTCCCTAATTAGAAATATTATACTTTTCATAAATGTTCCTTCTTTATTTGTGTATGTGTCAGTAGACCAATGAATAATATGAAATTCACAATGACGCGAGTAGTCCAACAAAAAAAGATAGGGGCCACTTAAATGGGCATTATTATGTTTTTGTCGAACTGCTAAACTTAGCGGCATGTAATCATGAGGACTATTTTACTTTGCCCTCATTATAATATACAAGGTGACTGCTCACAGTTTTTAATACATTTTACGTTAAAAGAAAATGTTTCCCTAGTTGAACTTTTACTGTTATGTTTTAGTACAGTTTGATATAGCATACAGTATTTCAGATCTCATGGCATTATATTGACTTTCTAGTCTGCCCAAAACATGGAAGCAACTGAAGCCAAAATCGGTCACTTAGAATCATTCTACGATGCCTTTAATTGTGCCGTGTACTATTTCTTAAAAAGTTGTTTTTAGGATATTACGTAGGTCATGATAATTGGCTATCTACTTCATTTATGATACAATATTATTTTAAATTGCGTGGAAAGTAGATAGATAATAATTGTCTGTATTTGATGCCTCTGTCCTTACTTAATTGTGTCTGTCATTTCGAAATTGATTTTCTGAGCAGAAGACAGTTGTACTGTTGACCTATATATCAATACCAGCAACGTTGTAATCAAATTGTTTGTTCATTAACCTTTTGTATGCAAGTGGTGATGATATGATAATAATACCACTTTTCGACACCTCAGCGCAGACACGGGTTAACTCCTTATATGATTTAATAGGAATTAACCTGTTACTGCACTGAGGTAATGTTATGTAGAATCAGGTTAGCTTGGAATCTTACCAAACTCTTTACTGTCTTAACTATAGGACTAATTAATTTTGTTATTTTTACATTAGCATTAGCATTTAAATGCTCAGTGGGGATTGCAGTTCGGAATGCAAAGCTAGACTAATTCAGTACACAAATTCAGCTTGTGAAAAAAATTATTGAATCAGTTTGCCATGGCAAAAATGTGCTTTTTGCAAATATATTTATTTATTCTTGTTTGTGAAACAAGTTCTTGCAACTAATAATACTTTTAAGAGAGCCATTTCCTAGAACTAACCAGAATAGTGTGGTACATACGAGGAGGCAACAGTAGGTGACCCAAGTTTGTCCTTGATCCTGCTATCTCTGATTTGAGAAGTAGACACTTTACCATCGCTCCCCTTGTGTGTTTACCCCTTTACCATGCTTAATATCTTATCAAAATGGACTTGTCATCTTTATATCTGGACAATGCCATTCATCAGTTTTAGGCGAAAATTTTTAAAACATGTACTGACTGAAAGTAGCAGACAGTGCAGACCATGATCAGATGGCATGGATGTTTGGACTGATCTTGGTCTGCACTGGTCACATATGTAGAAGCGGGCTAAGAGTTTGTGAAGGAAAAAGTGATTATGGCAATAACACTGCAATCAGCATAAGGATGTTTAGATTTAGTAAATTATGTGTCCTGTTTATAGATGAACAATACCGGACGAATATGTGCAGAAAAGGTTAATTAAAACTGGGGACTTTACAAAAAAGTTTTATATAGTTTTGATTTTTTGCTTAAAGCATACCTTCTTATGTTACCTTGTCAAAATTGAATTTATGTCAGAACTCTAAAACTTTATGCAGGAGTTTATATTTCATTTCATCAATAGGTAAAATCATTCAATACTTAACAGTTTTTGATCCATGCAATGAAATTTCAAATACTATAAGTAAAACTGATACTTAAAGGCCCAACTGGACTATAAAAGCCAGCAGATGGTGCTTGGGCAGGTTTCTTATTAATTTTATGCATGCTTCACTTCAGGGACCCTTTTTCAAAGATTTAAGATTAATTATCAAATGCATTTAAACAACACTTGGCATGTATGTAGGCATAGATATTTTTGATTAAGATTGACCAAAATTATTCAAAATATAACTTTGTAAAGTGTATTTCTGGAAAAAAATACTGGCTGTCAAATTTGAAATTTGAATTTCCCTGGGAGGAGCCATGTGATCATTACAGGTCATGAACCTTCAGTAGTAAACAGAAGCACGTGGCAGTGTTTATTTCAGGGAGAGAGATTTGTAGCAGGCGATGTATATTTCAGGGAGGGAGATTTTTAGCAGACGACACATTGGAATGCTGAATACATGATTAGAAAAAAACAATAACTTTTACTGACTTGCTTTATCAAATCCAACAAATTTACAATAATCCATTAATATATGATTTTTTTTTAAATTTCAAAGTACTGATTTAACTTGTATTTGAATGGTTGAACCTTCATGAAAACAGTAAAAGTAACTTCCAGGTATATTTCATTTACACTATATTTTGTTGTAAATATCTTGTAGTCAAAAACTACATTTCACAAATGGTAATGAAACTGAATGTTGCATATGCATAAAAATGTTATACATTTACAGCTTAAAAATATTTTAAATTCCTGTCAAGAACATTTTTAGCATGTTGTTCCTATGTAAGGCACATGTTTTGGATTTGGATATAATTGTCTGACTTGATGAAGGACACATACAGCATTCCAGTGAAAAAAAGAAAAACAACTGACTTCAAAAATAATAATGTCTTTAATTAATCTGCGAGTTATATAAAACATCCATTAAACCTCTCCTGTGTAAAATCAGCTGTTTTTGTTTACATTCTCTCTGCAGGTTAACACTGCATGCTATTTATAGTTCAGGGTTTATAACAGACAGCTTTACATCACTGATTAGTCACACCCACAAATACTCGCTGCCGCGGCAGCGAATGTTGCCCCTTTAAGAGGGAAACTTAATATTACGTTTTTTGATGTGTACATAAAATTAATTACTTTTTCAATTTGATCAATTAAAGGTCTTTCATGAAAATTGAAATTGAAAATTTTCTTCCATTGAAATTGGTTATAAAGGATTATCGATGTATGGAGCAATAGGTCGTTTTCAGTATGAATAACGAGTCAGACTTTTAGGTTTGTTACAATGTAGACAGATATTGATGTTGTGGCAACCTAAGTTTATGAAAAGCGCCACTCTATTGTTCTGTGTAACTGATGCGCCATGTTCAATTAATGAAGAAAGGGAAAGTGAGAAATTGATGAGTTAAGGGATTGCCTGGATAGTCAATGAAAGGTTTTTATGAAACATCATTTGTATGTTATTGACAATGATTAAAAATTTATTTTGCCTGGTAAAATATGGTGTCTAATCATTGGTAATATTGCGTTATTCAGTTTATTCTTTATCATTATTAGCTTTTATCATGGATTTTTTTGTTATCTTTTATAATTAATTGGTCATCAACTACAAATTATGGAAACGTCTCATGACTAGATGACTGTATGTTCAAAATTTGATGAAGTCCTTTTTGAGGTATACATACAGGTTATAAAGTTTTCTAAACAGATTTGTTTGTTTTTTTAATTTGTCATTTTTAGCCAATGACCTGTTGAATCTGTGTGTTAGATGTGTACGTCCTTTAAATTTTGAACTGTACATTAATGTTATTTTTTGAGATTTTGATTTGAAAATTATGCAATTAAGGAGACAAAAAACATACAGCTGGGTCTATCTGTCTTGGATGAAAAGGGTAGTTGGCTCTGTATTGGTGGCATAGACTGGTCATGATTACTACAAGTACTATATGGATCATGATCTAAAAATAAAACTTTTATAGTAGTTTTTATCACAGAAAGTTAATAAGAGAAATACGCAGCTTATTCTAAAGTTATTTTAGGGAAATTTGTAATTAATTTTTGTTTTACTAACATTATTTTGCACCAATGTAGTTTAGAATTTTTTAAGTTAATTTTTCTTAGTAACTATTTTAGAATTTTTTAGTTAATTTTTCTTAGTAACTATTTTTATTTCGTTTTTTTCCCCTCAGGCCCATATTCAAATGGAAACCCAGATATGGTGTTGAGGCGCCACAAAACAAGAATAAGATCGCATGTAAAGGGGAATAAATCTGTTGGAGACAGTTGTGATGTTGACGATTTAAGAGGTATCTAAATTATAACTGTACATTTTGTTCTTAGTCTGCACTTTTCTTTTGTTTTCTTATCAAAATTAAGATTGCAAAATTGTTTGAAGTTTTGCCTTATATCTGTCTTTGGGTTGTTTTATTTTTTGGGGCGATTACATTTTTTGAAGCAGTTACACAGTCTACTTTCTATTTACTCCTCTCTGCTTTCACAAATATTTCTTTTGCATGCGTTTTTCATTTAAAGGAAACACTACATTTGCTACAATATTAAACAATATTGAATTTTAAAGAAGCATGCCTTCAGATTCATGCTAATTTCATAAAAATTTTGAAAATATATTTCAAAGCATAATAACAAAGTAATTTACATGTTGCAAATAGCACTTACACTCCATGTTAAATGCCAAATATGCAAAAATATCTACTAGTATTACTGTGTTAGTAACGTAGATAAAATACTGCAAAATGAGTCATTAATAACACATAGCATATAAATTTATTACTTGAATCTTAAATCTTTTGGCTGATCTGGAGGCATGCAACTTTAAAAACTATAAATTTGTATCATGGGGGAAAAAAAGCATCATTCCAGAGGTTTTATTAAAATAAAGTCATAATCACTGAATGATATGGTATCATAATACTTGCTTGCTATGTTTAACATCCAGTCCAACTGTTGGTTATTATTCAAAGTTTCAATACATGAATTTTCCAGAGATTTGTCTAGATAAATAATTTGAATAAAAGAATCCCCAAAGAATTTCTGACATGGCAAAATTGACAATGTTTATGTTCATAGACTGTAGCTATCTTCTAAACTACCTAGCACTTAATGTTATTTAAGCAGTACACATTACATGAAAATGACATTTACAAATGATATGCATCCTGATACTTTATCTTGGAGCTTTGCCTTATCTTATAACTGCTTATACATGTATATGAATGGTATTGATGATATTGACTCCACTGTGTTATTTAATGCACATGCATTGCACTGTGCTGTGAGTACTATTCTATATATGGACTGATATTATGACAATGTATATGAAACACTGGATTTTCAGGGAAAGCGCCCCCTGTTGAGGAAGAAGGTAAAAACACAATTCAAATCATTTATCATAGCACATCTTGGTGTTGGTTGTTGTCCATTTTTCGCACGCTTGCAGCCCCATGCCCTGTCTTTTTGTTGTCTTTGATCAACTTTTTGATAGTTACTTTTTTGCGACTATAAAGATATGGTTGCCATAATGGCAATTTAATACACATGTATGTATGTCTGCATATTATTTTTACCCAGATTGCTTGAAATAATGCTATCATTTTTAAATAACAAATTTTGGTGTAAATGGCCATTTGAAAAAAAATGCTTTATTATGCTCAAGGCCAAATTTTACCTATGAATTATATGCTCTTGGCCAAATGTTCAAATTTGACATATGAATTATTCACATGGCCTATTATGATCTGATTTGACATAAAACTTACCTGTATACGCAAGGCCTAATGTTCAAATTTGGCAAATGAGTTACCCTATGCTCAAGGCCTAATGTTCAAATTTGACATAAGAATTATCAAAAGGGCCTATTTTTTAAATTTGACATATGAATTATTCACGGAAGCTAATGTTTAAATTAAACTAATTAAATAGTCATGGAGTCTAATTTTTAAATCTGACTTATGTATGAGCAGCATTTTTCAAAAGGCCTATGATGAACAAACTTGACTCAAGCCTAATGAATTATGCTCAAAGTTTTATGAATTATGCTCAAGCCTAATGAATTATGCTCAAAGTCTTATGAATTATGCTCAAAGTCTTATGAATTATGCTCAAGCCCAAATGAATTATGTGCAAGTCCTAATTAATTTTGCTCAAGTCCTAATGAATTATGCTCAAGTCCTAATGAATTATGATCAAGTCCTAATGAATTTTGCTCAAGTCCTAATGAATTATGCTCAAAGTCTTATGAATTATGCTCAAGTCCTAATGAATTATGCTCAAGTTCTAATGAATTTTGCTCAAAACGTTTGTTAAGATTATCTTTATTTCTTGGGTGAAATCACTAAGGTGAAGATGAATTTTAATGGGGGATGCTTGATATTGGGGCATATTGTTTCAAAATATCCTGTGTAGTAAATTTATAGTGTTTTTTTAGTGTTCTTTATTTATTTTCAACATTCCATCTAAGGAATAAAAGCAGCTATTTTCTTTGTTTCTATAGATTTGGCAAAAAAATCCTTGTATGAATTGATCTGACTATGTATTTCACTTGTGATATGTTTTTTGTTGATTTTTATTTGTTTATTTGTAGATATTTCTCTGTTCATTAAAAAACTTAAGGCTTAGAAAAGACTTAAATTTTAACCATAAACTTAGCTGTTCGCAAGAAATCATGACAGGAAAATTCCAGTGATCAAAACAGTGATAATCTTACTGAGATTAAAAAAGAACTAATGAATATGTCAGGTGAATTTTTATTGAATTTTATTGGTGTAATAAATTGAGTTAATTCCTTTAGGTGTGAATTTTATTGGTAAAATTTTCCTTTTTATGGTTCTTTTTTTATCTCGGTGGGCCAAGTTCGAAAGCCTTTTAAAGTGTGGTTTTATCAGTAACCACTCATTAATTATTGCTGAATTTGAATAATGAACTTGCTTTGAATTTGGAACAGTCCATTTCCAGTTTAAGGGATTTAGATATGAAAGTATTAAAAGGAACAAATAATTTCTTACTCATTGAACTAAAATAATATGTTGAAGAGTTTTATGACATAATTATTGTTAACAAAAAATATGATATTCTTTACTCTGAGTTATTGTCCTTGAAAATCTGTAAAGTATAAAATTCCATATTTTATTATATTGAAAACTCTTAGAAGAGACCGCCTCGAAGTTAAATATTGACTTAATGTTTTATTGTAAAAAAATAACTGGATATAGATTGAAGACACATACTTCAATCAGATTAAGTCAATAGCAGTATTACTTTTTTTTGACAAACAAAAAATGGCATGTGGAATCAATTCCTCCATGTTTGGCTAAACATGTGCTGGAAATTTGGCCTAGATAATGCATGTATATAAATTTTAAAGGCCTGTACATGTATATTTTGCACGAGACATTTGTTTCTTCAAACCATATGAAATTTTTGAATTGATTCATGTAGAAAAGTAGTGTATTACTTGTGTAGAATAGGAAATATTTGAATCCAGAAACACTGTTTATGCTTATACAGCTCTAGTATGATATTATCCATTTAAAGAAACTGTTTGAACTGTTTAAAAAGCTGAAAAGTCTAGTAGCTTAACTTTGATTGTCTTAAACTCCTCATCATTAAATTTGGTTTAAGTCTACTCTAATTCTTTAAGGAAACAATGACCCATAATTGTTTACACTTAAAGCCTTAACCCATTACTGCTTTACCTTTAGATCGACCTAAGGCCAGTTTCAGCCTCTCGCAAGTCAAAAATTTTCTTGGCACCCCCCTGATGTATCTTTTTTTTTCACTATTTAAGGCCTGAAAAAGGAAAAGGCATGAAAAGACGTCTAATTTGAAGTAATGGGTTAAATTAAGACTTTGAAAATATTTTTGCAATAACTTGTTATTATGGTCATGGAGTTATTTATGGTCATTTTGATAAAAATTTGTAACAAGTTTTATCATAATCTGTACATTATTAAATAGATAAAGAGCAAATAAAATGTGTAGCATTTCAATGTCATGTTTTAAAACAGCTTGCCTCCAGATAAACCAACAAAATTTAGTTGATTTTTAGATATAAGCAAATTGAATGATTGTGTTTAAGAACTATTTTAATATTCATGATCTTTATATTAACCAGATTTACTATTTCTATCATCATATTTCATGTATTTGAACCTAATGACTATTGAAGTAAAGGGTTACGTTTTTTGATGCATTTTTTTGTAACGCTCATGACTTAATAATTGATAGCTATATTAAAAACATTATTTTTTCTTTTCTTAAAATTGGAATGAATCTGGTAGCTGTTTTAACGTTAAACATTGATGAATTTTTTATACTAGAACAGTCTGACTGTCAAAAAGCTCAATTTACTCACATGGAACAATGTGCGGTAGTACACGGTGTAATCAGATTTATAAATCGAGTTATTGGAGCCTTAAGATCTCTCTGACGATTTAAATAATAAAGGGGTAATCTTTTGATTTGACATTAATCTTCTCAATCAATTTTTAATCAATTAGATTTTCATATTGTAGATTGTATGTAAATATAAATATATTATAGGTTTTATTAGATCAATATATTTAGTTGATTTTGTCGATAGTTGAATGTTTATTTTCAAGGTCAGGTTAAGGTTGCATATTGATGAACGTTTTACATTTTATTTAAAAGTGTGTCAATATTTAAATGTTTATAAATATTTGAACGGCAAAGCACCAAGTCAAATATCTAGCTATAGTTTTGAACCCTGTCAGAATTAGAAAGTGAAATCAAGATCTATATTTAGTATTAATTTTACAATAAATTTTAATTATGTTTGAGATTGAAAAGTACTTTAAACCTTACACAAAACGTACTGTATTTCAACGAATTTTGATCGACTGTGTAAATATGCCTATTGTGATGCACCTATTGTGATGTACCACTTTTATGAACGATTATTATACATGTGCAGCTTATCCTATTGTAATTTGAAACCTGTTATGATGTCTACCACCTGCATGGCCTGTTGTGATATTCAACCTGCCCTATTGTAATATTCAATTTTCATGATCTATTATTAAGTGTTATAACCATAGTGTATCATAAGCATTTGTGATATAAAACCTTAGTTACCTACAGTCATACATTGTGATAAACCACCTCATTACAAGTGTTGTGATATACCTCCTCAATTACCTATTGTGATACCACCTCAATTATCTATTGTGATAAACTACTTTCATGAACTATTGTGATATACCACCTTATTACAAATTGTGATATACCACCTTATTACATATTGTGATATACCACCTTATTACATATTGTGATATACCACCTTATTACATATTGTGATATACCACCTTATTACATATTGTGATATACCACCTTATTACATATTGTGATATACCACCTTATTACATATTGTGATATACCACCTTATTACATATTGTGATATATAACCTTATTATACCCCCGCACAACAAAGTTGTAAGGGGGGTATACTGGAATCAGCTTGTCAGTCCGGCCGTCCGGCTGCTCGGCCATCCGTCGGTTTTTTCTTGTCCGCCCAATAACTTAAGATTCCTTTGACCCACAGTCTTCATATTTGGCATGGAGGTTAGTCATGATTAGTAGATGACCCCTATTGATTTTGAGGTCACCAGGTCAAAGGTCAAGGTCACAGGGGCCTTGACATTAAAAAGCTTGTCCGCCCAATAACTTAAGATTCCTATGACCCATAGTCTTCATATTTGGCACGGAGGTTAGTCATGATCAGTAGATGACGCCTATTGATTTTGAGGTCACCAGGTCAAAGGTCAAGGTCACAAGGGCCTTGACTTCAAAAAGCTTGTCCGCCTAATAACTTAAGATTCCTTTGACCCACAGTCTTCATATTTGGCATGGAGGTTAGTCTTGATTAGTAGATGACCCCTAATGACTTTGAGGTCACCAGGTCAAAGGTCAAGGTCACAGGGACCTTGACTTCAAAAAGCTTGCCCCCCTATAACTTAAGATTCCTTTGACCCACAGTCTTCATTTATGGCATGGAGGTTAGTCAGGATCAGTAGATAACCCCTACTTACTTTGAGGTCACCAGGTCAAAGGTCAAGGTCACAGGGGCCTTGACTTCAAAAAGCTTGTCCGCCAAGTAACTTAAGATTCCTTTGACCCACAGTCTTCATATTTGGCATGGAGGTTAGTCATGATTAGTAGATGACCCCTAATGACTTTGAGGTCACCAGGTCAAAGGTCAAGGTCACAGGGGCCTTGACTTCAAAAAGTTTGTCCCCCCAATAACTTAAGATTCCTTTGACCGACAGTCTTCATATTTGGCATGGAGGTTAGTCATGATTAGTAGATGACCCCTATTGATTTTGAGGTCACCAGGTCAAAGGTCAAGGTCACAGGGACCTTGACTTCCAAAAGCTTGTCCGCCCAATAACTTAAGATTCCTTTGACCCACAGTCTTCATATTTGGCATGGAGGTTAGTCATGATTAGTAGATGACCCCTATTGATTTTGAGGTCACCGGGTGAAAGGTCAAGGTCACAGGGACCTTGTCAAAAAGCTTTTCCCCTCAATTGCTTCAGAATGCCTGTCCAGAGTGTATTGATTTTGACATTTTCACATTTGAAGCATGTAGAATACATAACTTAGCAATGCACTGGCTTAGTAACCTCAGATTTGGCAGGGAGGTTGTCCTTGAGTTCTAAATGGCCACTGTTGATTCTGACAAAGTGGTATGCGGGGGTATTCCCGCCATGACAGTGGCAGTTTTAGTTATATATTGTGATATACCACCTTCATGACCTATTGTGATATAAATGTACCACATTCATAATCTGTTGTGATAAACTATCTTCATTTATTAATGTGATATACTATCTTCATTACCTATTGTAATATACTACCTCATTAACAAATGGTGATATACCACCTTCATAACATTTTGTGAGTAATCACTTTGATATCCTATTGTAAAACACCTCCTTCATAACCCACAGTGAAATATAGCCTTCATAATCCCACACTGCTTTGGGTTTGAACCCTTACAGGGACTTTGACTTTTTCATGTGAGAAAGCATGTGAGAAAGCTATCCAGCTAGGATATGGAAAGTTGGTGGTTCTACTCAGGTGTCTGTTCATGCCTTAAATAATGCACAGAGGGCACCTGAGGTCTTCCTTTAAAGTCACCATATGACCTATACTGGGTTGATGTGATGTAAAACCCAGCCAGAAAAAAAAGAATAACTGCATGCCTCAATGTAATAATTACAACTATTTTTATTAATTTTTGTGACATAGCAATATCAGGACCTATTGTGATGAATCGATTTTCACCTTTTTTGACACACCATTTTCTTACCCAGTGTTATGTGTCAATTTCGTGACCAATTGTGATACTTGAAGAATCATGATGTACCAATTTCATTACCTATTGTTATGTACTAATTTCATGTAAAATTTTAAGACTTTGTAGTGTACCAATTTCACTCCCCATATGAATGAAAAAATGGCTTATTCTCTCTTGAGCAGACACTGTAAAACTGTAATCGATCAGCATTTTTTAACTATATGTTTTTAATTAAAACTTTTTATTTTCACTGCTCTTGAGTCAGAATTTTTATGACTATCGGTAGTCTTGGTTAACATCTAAATAATTGTATACATATTATACATGTAAAATTTGAAACAAGACTAATTTTTGTTTTCCTTTATTAGATAAATTTAAATGATGACAGTTGACATATTTTTAGTGTAAAAAAGATGCTCAAAATTCAGGTGTCTTGTACTTATGCTATTTGATAGTGTTAATATTGTGAAGATATGTATTGGGGATGTGACCCCTGTAATGCTTAGATTTTAATAATAATATTTTACAACCCGAAATTTGTTCAAGTATTGATTGTCAATTTCTACCCTGTATACAAATATAATAAATTACCACGAGCCTTCTCCAATGGATTATACTGGGAATCATTTATTTATTTCTTTACTTAAGTTGGTGTATATGGAATGTAATAAGGATTCTTTTTACATTGAATTATTATTCACAGAGGAATATTTAATTTCATCAGGGTTGAATTGATGATTGACGTTACTTTGTTCAGTTTCTAACAACAAAAATCGTAAACTTATACTGCTCGTTCATGTTTTATTCTTCATTTAATCGAGGCAGAAAATTGAAACTAAAGCAACTTTATCAGATTGAAGGCTAGAATTTTAACAGACGGAAGACTAGCGTTTTTTTTATTCCATTGATTTTATTTTGTTTTAGATCGATGATTATGAAAGAGGTTGATATAGAGTGGATTTTAATTAAATCTCTATAGCCGTGGATATCAAATTAAAAACATGGGTTTTAAATATTGTTTGGATATTCAAATGTTTTGTAATGTAATGATTTAGGAAGAATTCAGATAAGATAATGCATAGCCATTGTGTATATAATCATTATAAAGGAAGGTCTTAATTAAGAAATTAAATTAAAAAATTTGTGACAGTGAATTCTGAGGTAAAAATTTCAACAAATACTCTGCTGAAATTTGCATTTTGGACTTATGAAAAATTGTATTTTCTATTTTTTGCTTATTATGACTTAAAACTAATTTCATGTCAATATGTAGTTTATGCTGGTTTTCTAATTTTACATTGCTTTTTACTGCATCTTCACCAGTGTTTTGTATCTTTTATTAAGATCCTACATATTATATTTATACGCCAAATTATGTATTACATTTTGACGTCGTTGTCCTTCACGTCATATGACGTTGACGTCATTTCCTGTAAACAAAGTATACCTGATGAAGACTTTTGAGTCGAAACGTTGTATATTTTTCAAATAAAATAATTACATTTTTAAATTGAAACTGGTTCAAACTTACATAATGGATTGCTCCAAATTTAAAGATGGGGCAAAATCATTATACAAATTCAGCAGTTTAAGGGTAAAGATATCAAGTGGTCATCTTAATGATTATCAATTATTCTTAGAGATCAATTGCGTTTACAACAGTGTTTCCTTGAACTGTCAATTTGGACAATTAAAACAAGAATATTGCAATTTTGAGATGTTGAGATTTTGATATTTCGCTGATCTAGTTATGTTGAATTATTATGACTATAATGCAAAGTCAGGCTTGAAAATACATTATAAAGGACTATTGACTTAATAAGTTTTCTGGATCAATATTGTGATTTGTTTAAAAATGATATGAAGATGGAGTTACCTCCCTTGGAAGTTCGGTTCATGAGTACAGTGGAAGCTTATAAAAATTCTAGCAGTAAGAGATATATTGCCCCAAAATTTCTACAGTTTGACATGGGAAATTGTTCTTCATCACATCTAGGTGAATACATTTTTATGTTATTTTTCGAACACATTTACAGAAAATATTCTATAAATAGCACTACAGTATTTTTATCCAATCACCACAAAGATGCCCTATAGTGACATTAGTTACTTGTGTATAAATATAAAGTGAATGTCTGTATATTTCAGATGACATCGAGAATGGCTCGGCACTGTCGCGCAGTAAAACAATGCCATCACTTGGCCGACCAAAACTTACTCGTAAAATCACCTCAACTGCCAACTCTGATCGTCTTGCCAAAGCCAAAGATCAAGCTGAAAAAGCTATAAAGGTATGACTTGATATTTTAATTCTTAATCTATATACAGACAAGAACATACATGTAAGGGCGTGAGTTCATGATGAACTCTTAAGTGGTGATAGTGATAATGATTTTCTTTTGCTATGAATATTATGTAGTGCCAGGCCAGTAAAGGGCCGCAGGTCGCAACAGCACTCTTTTTGTGGTCATCTATTTTTGTTCAGTATTTTAGTATAAAAGTCTATAATCAACAACTGACAATTCTAAACTTGAAGAAGTGTAAGTTAATTTCTACAATAAATGAGCAGGGTAAAGGTTTCTTATATTGATGATATTTTCCTTTTGACACTTAAGATTACTTTTTTTTTCACATTTGCATCATGTATAAACTTTTCTCTTCTTAGATGAAAAAGGTGTTTACTATACAAGGTGGTTACTCTGCAATTCGACAGTGTTTAAGAAAACGTGGATGGGTCGAGAAGTTTTACAGGATACCAGGACCTCAAAAACAGACAAGGAAACGACGGAAAAGAGGTGGCGATGATGATGATGATGACGACGATGACGATGATGATGATGACGATGATGATGATGATACAGATAGTGACAGTAAGATACTTATAGCTATTATTATCTTCATAACAATGTAAGATTTTAGAGTTGGGATTGTAACAGTCAATTAAATTTGCATGTATTTGCAAACTCATATACTCATAAGGTTAATGGTCCATGTGCACCCCCGAGCTAATTTTCTCTACATCATCTGGGATTTTTTTTTTATATCACATAGTATCATAGACCTATAGGTGTAGGGATGTGATTTTGTCCGGCAGGTTACAAAACAGTATATTTTACGAGATATTATTTTGAAATAATTGAAAAAATCTATATTTGTTCCCTTTTTTTTTATATTTCATATAATAAAGTACATTGTAACTGACTTTATAAATTTTATTTATCATTCTTTTTTCAAATTATGACAAGTCGTTTGAACAAAAACTTGAGGAAAGAAAAAACAATCTATGAAAAAGCAGCTTTAAATGTAAAAATTTATGCAAAATGTTTGTCTACCCTAAATGTAAATGACATAACGTTGTTTCAAGACTGAAGTTATAAAATGCAAATTTACTTTTATCATGTTTTTAAAAGGGGCAACGGTTGTTATTTGTTTTTCGCTTGTTTTGACTACCTAAAGATGTTTATGTTATAGTGAAATGTGCTGTGAATTCACAAGGTAAGAGTGTAAAAAAAATGCACCCATTATATCTATATAGAAACTACTTGAGCAAAATCTGTTCTTTATAAAATCTACAAATCAAGGGTCCGACAATACAAGTTTGTAACTCAACAAACTTATAAATAAAGGTGTTATGAACTGTATTGGGTTGGACCGTTGAAATACTCTATACATTTATTTTATGAATATAGCAAAAAAATAATAGAGACTTATTTAATCTAGTTCTTAATACCGTGGTAGATTTTTCTTTTTTTTCTTTTCTGAAAACTTCTGATTCTTGATATTGTGAACATGCCAATTAATTATGGTTAATAAAGATCAGTTTAAAATTGCTTCATTGTGTGTTTTTGTATACGTAACTTTCATTTTTGAAATTTGTATTCTGCCCATTCTCTTTTTCTCAAAGCATGAATATTATATATGTGTGGGATTTTAAAATATATAAATTTGAGTGCAGTCGCTTATTTTCTTGAAATTCTGTCCTATTTTTTTGTTCTTAAAAATAAAACTCCACATTTTTGTTGAAGAGTTATCAGCTTTCACATATTTATTTATGCTTATTTTGCTAAACAAGCTTTTTCAAAGTAGAATAATTATTTTTGACTTGTCTTCTGGGACTTTATTAAATACCAGGATTCTAAATGGTATGACAGTGGAAGGATGGTTGTTATTGCAGTAGATATAGGGATGAAGCCTACATACTCTAGGTTTAGAGGCAGACACCTTAACCACTTCGTAAATGCTTCCCATGAAGTTTGAGTTAAAAATAAAGAAAAACATAATATATATTATCACTGCATTTTATTTTTAATCCATTATAGTATATGGCTATGTCAGCTTTTTTACTTTGAATGTTTCTATACTGTAAGAAATATATATAGATAATGAATATTAGTAATTTTTACTCTCAGGACTCCTCACTTAATGTATAAACATAACTTATTTTTCTGGTCCTTCGGGATCATTGATGCCAGCTCTATTAAATGTTGAGAATTGAGTACCGCTCAAGCCGGTGCTAGGGGGTGTGAGGGATGTTGCACGTATTCATTATTCCTCAGGAATAATGATGTACAGACTCAATCAAACCGAGTCTGCAATTCTCTTGTGATTTTGTTGCGATTTAATGCTTCCGAGGGATCACTTTGTTTCCAGCTTTTAATAGTGGATTTAAAGATATTTGCTATATTATGGTAAATTCAAGGGCAGATAACTCTAAAACAATATTGATTCTTTGTGAAAACTGTAGTGTCATTGCCTAATATCTTTTTAACTTTGGTGCATATATTTAATAGGTGTAATAGCGCCATTTCATTATTATAAAATTTTCCATTAAAACAAGAATCTGATTAACATTAAAACAAAAAATACTACAAAAGAAATTAATAAAATCTTATTCTCTTATAATTATAAAACTAATTTTGTTTGTTACTTACCTTAATCATTTAATTGACAATGGAATGCCTGTCATACTTTTAAAATGAAAAGTTAGTTCTACTTTATCCATATACATGAAACATGCAGTATTTCAAAACTTAGTAGATTATACAATTATTAAATATTTTATCTTCATATTGCATTTCAGTAAAACGTTCAAGTTGTAACTGTAGCTACAGTATTTCTCTAACTTTTTAGCTTGTATATAGAAAAACCCTTAACCTGGTGAATTTATGAAATGGACTTGTCCAGCTATATATTTTGGAACAGTCCATTCAAAGTCTAAAGGATTTCAGTATCAAAATACAAAAATTGAGCTTGAACAACAGTATAGAGCTTGGTCAGACTACACGGTAGCGCAGGCTGGCCTGGTTCAATACTGTGCCAAAGTGTAATCGATGACAGTTCCAGCAGGTTAAGGGTTCAAACTTTATCTGTCACTGTATTTTATAAAACACTACATCTATTATATGAATAGTTACATCATAGTTTTGTAGAATCGTAGATTAGAATAGGTGTTCTAAGTTTATATTTAAAAATATCTTAGTGACAATAAAAAGTAATTTTTATGCCACCGCAGCATCTGCGATGCGGTGGCATATAGCGATTCACCTGTGTGTGTGTTTGTTTGTGTGTGTGTGTGTTATATAGGTTATATATAGTGAACTTCAAAAATCTTCTTGTGAAAAACCACTAGTCCAATTTCAACCAAACTTGGCAGGATTGATCCTTGGGTGAAGGGCTTCCAAAGTTGTTCAAAGAATTTCATTCCATGCAGAAATCTGGTTGCCATGGCAACCAAAAGGGATTATAAGAATAAATTTAAAAAATCTTCTTGTAAAGACCCAAAAGGCCTAGAGCTTAGATATTTTGCATAAAGCATTGTCTGGTAGACCTCTACCAATATTGTTCAAATTATAGCCCTGGGGTCAAAATCGGCCCTGCCCCGGGGTCATTGATTTTAACTATATGTACATATAGTAAAAACTTAAAATACCTTCATGTAAATACCCAAAAGGCCTAGAGCTTAGATATTTTGCATAAGGCATTGTCTGGTAGACCCTTACCAAGATTGTTCAAATGATAGCCCTGGGGTCAAAATCGGCCCCGCCCCGGGGGTCATTGATTTTCACTATATGTACATATAGTAAAAACTTAAAATACCTTCTTGTAAAGACCCAAAAGGCCTAGAGCTTAGATATTTTGCATAAGGCAGTGTATGGTAGACCCTTACTAAGATTGTTCAAATGATAGCCCTGGGGTCAAAATCGGCCCGGCCCGGGGGTCATTGATTTTCACTATATGTACATATAGTAAAAACTTAAAATACCTTCTTGTAAAGACCCAAAAGGCCTAGAGCTTAGATATTTTGCATAAGGCATTGTATGGTAGACCTCTACCCAGATTTTTCAAATTATAGCCCTGGGGTCAAAATTGGCCCCGTCCCGGGGGTCATTGGTTTTCCTTATATGTATATAGTAAAAACTTATAGTAAAAACTTTAAAAAAAAAATTTTTAGCAATTGACAAATGCTAGAGGTTAGATATTTTGCATGAAACATTGTGTAGTGATATCAGCTGACCTAGATTTTGACAAAGTGTCTAACTGTGTTGTCCTTTGATGTAGTCATGAAATTAATAGGCTGTGTGAAATATGGCCTTCACCACCAAATTCACCAGACTCAAGTGCATTGATATATTCCTACTCTGATCTTTTATTGGATTAACAATAGATTTAACCACTAATCTGATAATAAGAATTAGATAGGTCAGGGATCTATGCATTATGACAAACTTCAATTGCATAGAAACAAAAAAAAATCTGTTCCTACACTACTATTTAGTGTTGTATTAATGCGGTGGCATAGCATTTTTCTCAAATGCAATCTTGTTTAAACTAAGTGTGTCGGTCGTTTGAAAGAGCAAACTTTTATAAGGCCTTTAGGTGAAATAAAACTTGATTTCTTTGTAATTTATATAAAACATAGGGTAGGGAGTCATCAATTTAAAATATAAAGAGATACCAGGTATTTTATGAAAGCTGTTTTTATACTCCCTGAAATCTATGTCAGTGGAGTTGCAAGGTTGCCAGTTTGTCCTTTCTGTTTTACTGATTCTTATAGTGGCCTCATTTATAAACTGGTATATTAGATATTTAATGTGTTGGTACTTCCTGATTAATGTTTCTCAAAAATTCAAAATGTGTGATAACTATTTTCAGATGATCAGCCAAAAGTAGCTCCCTGGGAAGAAGATGATGGAATATATGGAATTATGGTATATTTGATCTTTTATGATTGGCTTATTTTGTAGTTAATATATGAAAGCAACCAATGACACACAGTAGCAACTCAGAATTCTCTATTTAGAAGCATTTTTATGACAATAATAATAACATTGAAGTGTAGTATAAAAATTCATAAACATGTCTTTTTACTTCACTGTTGAATATATCATTGATATTGACATTTCTATTTTGTTTATACAAATTTCATTTTAAGTTTGTTTTGGAAGCTATAAGCTTATTAACACTCTTGAATCTGTCCACGGAACCAACCAGTACTAAGCAATGAAAGTAAAGTTTCTTGCTCAAGGAAACAACGTCTTGCTCCTGACAGGGTTTGAACCCACATGGTCAGCAATCCTTAGATTATTAGTCTGACGTGTTAACCACTCGGCCATGCCACCACTTATCTATTTAAAAGAGATACCAGTAGATGTCTTCTTCTTTGCTTGAATTTAATCATATGTATGCATGTATAACTTATTCAAATGATTTTTAATGAATTTCGTACTTTCAGTCTCGCATAGTGCGTAATGTGAACCCTACATTTATATGGGTGCTCAAGCGTGATGTCATAGATTACCGGTTCCTCACCAGAGATCAGATGGTCAACCATTATTGCAAGGCTGGTTCCTTCACTACAAAGGTTTGTGATTCAAATTTTGGTTTGTTAAAAATATCTCGATGTATTCTTCAGTCACATAATGTTCGATTTTACGATACCCTGTTAGATTTGACAACATGCTTTTCTTATTTTGAAAGTGTAAGAAATTTTATCTAGCATTTTGACTTTAAATCTTAAGGTACCGGTAGTCTTACTGTAATGATTTCCAGCCAGAAAAATTCTAACATCTGCCAATATTGTAGCAAATTAGTTATTTTTGGGACATTATTTTTTCAAAATCTTTGGCATACTTATTTCCAATCACTCACCCTTTTTCGCTATGTATTAAAGTACGGTTATGAAAATTGAAAATTATTGAATACCGAAGATTGTGAATAATAACGTTCCGGAATTGACTGATTTATTGCGATATTGGTTTGATGTTAGATTTTTTTGGCGGGTCCAAGCATAACAGTAAGACTCCTTAACTGGTATTGTTACCATTGGATAATATCAAACAATAATCTGCTTGATTTGTGTAATGGATTTGCCCTGCTTTTAAGTTAAAGAGATTTTGATATCAAAATACAAATATTTAGCTTCACTCATCATAGAGTGTCACAGTGAGGTCAGACTGCACAGAATCTAACCAGGCTGACTAAGGTCTATACTGGTTACACAGCCTGGCCACTGTTGGTTCCAGCAGGTAAAGTAGGATCAAACTCAACGGCCATAATTCTAGTATTATTTGTTTTGTTCTTATTCTGCAGTGTTATGTTAGATTAAATTGTCAGTGTTAAATGATCAGTATGAAATGATAATTAACAAATTCATATCTTTGTGTTGTGCATTTAATATTTATATCAAACAAACGTGTTTTTGTCAAATAAACATTTCGTGCTTGTGATTGGATAAAACATTTAAAATAAAACATTGCTTTTATTAAGGTTCTGCAGTAATATGTATTGTTGAATGTTTTATAGGTTGGCTTGTGTGTAAATATGCGTCAGGTGCCGTGGTTTGACGAGTCAGATCCGGATGAGTTTTATCCGAGATGTTACAGACTGAGTCACGAGGAGGAGAAGGCAGCATTTATAGGTACAAGAAATACAGAAGAAACTTCTATGAATCAAACTTAATTCAGTTGATTTTCTTGATATGTCAAAGTAAACAAAAGTCCCTATTTTTTCCCCTATATGAATCAGTTTCATTTGCATTCCCGATGTGTCAAAGTTTTTACACAAGTTCCTTCAACTTCAACTTATCAAAGTTCTACTGTATCTTGAAATAAACTAATGAAGTACTTTTTGTGCATACTTTTACCTGCTTTTTGGTAATTTACATGGTTTGTATGTGCCATTTACAATGTGTTGTTTACTTTCTTTGTTCACTTCACAACATTTTACTTTTTAAATATATTTTCAAAATTTTCATGAAAATGAGCATGAATCTGGAGGCATGCTGCTTTAACCTAAATTTCTTATATGGACTTATCTTGTTTATATTTTTTGGAACTGTCAATTATCAATTTAGGGAATATCAAGATGAAAATGTAGAATAAGTCGGCAAACAGTATAGAATGTGTCGCAAAACTTAAACCTTCACAATAACATGAAAGTCAAGGTCAAAAGTCAAGGTAAGGGGGCATTGGGTTCATTTAATCATAGCACTTGATTTGAGTACATTTCATGAGTTAAGGTTTATACTTGATTTAATTTCATAGCCCATTTACTTAAATTGTAATAATGACAAAAAAAAGAATTGAAAGTCAAATTTTCTGTTTTTTATTTCAGATGATTTCAGACTGACAAGTTGTTTTAACATTCTTAAGATCATCACCAACATGTACATGGAGGGTGGCGAATGCAACGAGGAAAGTCGTGATAAAGAAAATGTCCCGAAAGAAGATAATTCGGTGCTGTTTGAATGTACAAACCCAGAATGTACCCGTTCAAGGCCAAATCAAACAACTGATAATTTATGTGTACATGCTTTACAGAAGAAAGCTGAAGAAGAACAAAAAAGGAAAGAAAAAGAATTTCTAGCCTCAGGTATGTACCAGGAATGTATAATTTATACTATCTGTCAGACCTTTGTGAGCTAGACGTAATTAATATCTGAAAATGATCTTTTGACTGTTCTTATATACTTTGAAGTATTCTCAAATAAACGAGGATTTTAAAATAAAGTAAGTAATACTATTTCTTTGTGTTCATTAAATAATTTATTCTTTTACCGGAAGCACAGTTATTTTAAGGCAGACAAGGTGTGTGAGATGGGGGGAGTGACTTTTTTGATGAATTTTTTTCTGTTTATAGGAATCCCCATTTGTTACTTTGTACTTTTTTGTGAATATTACTCATTTTTTAGTCAGATATTCAAAACTTCATACCCTTTTTCTATTTTCCCTAAAAGTTTTATTTTAGTCACATGACATTTTTATACAAGTCACATGACCTGGTTTTGTTGTTATTGTTGTCACATGAATTTATTTATAATTATAAACAAGATGAGGAAGACAAAGATATGGAAGTAGAAATTGATGAGAATGGTGGTAAGTTATTAAACACATTGGGCTGTTGCATGCATTGTCAATAAAAAAAGTATGGTGAGCGGAAAGATTCAAAAGAAAATTTAACTAATTTCCTCGTAATACTATGGTGTAGTAAAAAAACTTGAAATTTTAAACAGTATGTAAAAAGGATGTAGGCAATTTTCTATTGTGAATATTTGTTAAAATGCATGAATTTATATACAAGTTTAAGAAATTCAAAACAGTCTGATGTTTTCAAAAAAAAATTGTTTACATAGTATTTATATTTATATATGAAATTTAAAATAATAATTGACAGCTCGATGAGGACGGCTTATTTTTCATTTCACCATATCTCAATCCTGTTTTAATTTATTTATGTATTTCTTTGTTATTGATCCAATATAATCATGGCATGGCTTTTGTAGCAATTCCACCTTTTTTTCATTATGTACCCGTCTACGAGATTTTACCAATAACCTAAATCTTGATGTGAGCCCTGTGTGCTTTAAGACCCCCCAAGTTTTGTTTGATGTCCAAAATTAGAGGGACTTGTTCCTTGATTATAATGAGGTGATTCTAAGTTTAAAATATTAACCCTTATACTGCTGAAACAAAAACTGCAAAACTTTTGCTACCAGTGAATTGCCAGACGATCCTGCACAATTGGCTTGTGACTGATTCATGCAGTCAGATCTTTGAGGCTCTTTCCTGATTCGTGTAGTCTGACCAACTTTAAAGTTTTCATTGTGACATCCCTAAAAGTGATAATGGACTGTTCCGAAATGGAAGGCAATTTTTTTTATAGAAAATTCAGCAGATTAGGGGTTATATGTCTTGATGTGAAAAGTAGTTAGATTTAGGTTTGGGTGCATTTCTGTTATTATTTTAAATTTTTCTGAGCTCATGTTTTGTATAAGATAGTGAAAGTTTCAGGTTAATGGTACTGATTTTGAATCTTGCCTCACAATCCAATATTGGTTGGAATCTGACTTTGAAATGTCAGTGGTTCTACATGATGTACTTTTGTCTATGTCATGAACATTTTATAGAGAGGCACCTATGTCTTCTTTTACAACTAATTCATCTTGAAACTTGGTATCCACTTGGACTTAAAACTCTACCAAATTTATGTTATTAAAGGAACTCCACTGAGGTCCAAGGCCTTAAAATATAAAATTTGAATTTCTTACATACATCACCTGGGGTACTTAAAGCAGAAAGATATGCAAAAGATAATTTAGAAATATACCCAGAAATAAACTTGAAAATCGTATTTTTGTGCTATTCTTAGCACAGTGCAATGCTTTTCAGTTTTCAGTCATTTTTCACAATTTAAATATTTATTCTGGAAGTGAGTGAATGATCTGAAATTTTGGGCACAAAGGATTGGTCTAGATCTACATCAAATGGAAAATTAATCAGCCTGGTCATGTCAATAAACCTCAGTTGAGTCCCTTTAAGAACCCTTCTATAAATATGATGCAAAAAAAAATTATATATCGAATAAAATTAAAATTGCATGACTTTTAATTGGTTAGAATTTAGGTCAAACACTTTGCATTACCAAAAATAGCGTAGAAGTAGTCTCATACTGCTTTGTTTTTCAGTGATTAGTCATTTAGATATTTTGAATTGATAATCTGTTTTACATATTAAAATTTGCTTATTAGATTCTAGAGAATGAATTTAACACTGGAGTAAAAATGTTGAGTAGTTATTTCTAACAATTTTTATGGTTATATTAGCAGTTGAAAGTTGTGATTGAACAGAATAGAATAATTGACGATCTAAATATAGTGTCAACAATTTGCTAACTTTAGGTACCAGAATAGAAACATGTTACCTTTCTAATAGTTTCAAGGTCCTACTTGATTAAAGTCATTGAATCAGTGTGAAAGATATGCAATTTGTTTTATTATTCCGAAAACTTAGGCTTGCAAGATTAAATATCAAAATGATTTGGCACATTATTTGATTATAAGTACATCCAGAAAGTGTGACATTTGCATGAAATTAATTACTCAGATAGGTAAAAGGTCACTGTAAAGCTATTTGAAACAATTAGTAAGAAGAGTGGTGGTTTGTACAAACATAATGTAAAAGTTCCATAGCAGCATAAAAAACATAAACCGCAATGCATTTAAAGGTCAGTGGTCACATTGAATTTATAAAAAGATTGAGCTTTCCAAATTTCATAAATGCCTAGCAACATCAAGCACAATTTGCAAGAATCTAATCACTAAGGTCAAACAAAGGTCAAGGTTACAGTGAGCTCTCAAATAATCATTATAAGATTGAAATTTTTCAGACAGAAAACTGGAAAATTACTTGACATGAATTATCACTGTATCAGAATAAAACATTACATGCTAGAGCCATATCTTACAATGATTTGTTGAACTTTTTAATATTAAATTATGAATTGTTGGTTTTTGTTTAATGTTTTTTTAAATGATCAGATTTTTTTCATGTTAAAGGTACAGTAACCCATTAGATGCTTTCCTATGAAAAATAACGTTTGCTTGATCCACACTTGTAGTTAGATATATGTTACACTGGCCTATGTGCATGTTAGCAAGTGTATTATTATACAAAATTTGTTTAAAATTATATTCACCAAAATGTAATGTTTTATTTTCACCCTAGTATATATACATGTATATCAAATATATCTATGCTACACATGTTCACTTTCAGCTTTGCATTATTTTCATATAAAAAGTCACATTTTTAAGATAGAATAGTTTTCATTTATAATGATAAGCTTTATTACACATCCTAGGTTTTTTTGCCCCGGGCATATAGTAATTGTACCATCCGTCCGTCCGTCCGTCCATCTGTCCGTACAAGGTTAACCTAGAATGGCAAGTTGGATTTTTCTTAAGTTCTACCTGTACCAAGATGGCTTCATAATTACAACAACTTACTTATCCAGACAAAGTATAGTGATTTGGCAAAGTACATAACTATGGCTCCGATTTGCACCAAGTTATGGCCCTAATTTCAGAATCACTCTAGAAATGAATAAGGTTAACCTAAAACCGGCAAGTTGGAAATATCTTATGTTCTATCGTGAAACTAATGGCTTAATAATTTTCACACTTACTTAAAACAATACAAAGTTACATGATATTCGCCAAGCTGTATATAATGTACGCCATCGGATCCATTATCCCAGTATATTTCCCTTTTTATCACTTGAAAATAGGGACTTGTATGGTTAACAGGCTATTTCGCCAAGTTGGATTTATCAAAAAATTTCACCTAATATAGGCTAATTACTTAATTTATTTAATGATATCTTTCATATTTGGTAGGTGGATACCTTTAACGGTCCTCTAATTTTTTGTCTCTAGCGTCAAGGTCAAGGTCACTTGTGTAAAAAAAAATAAATCTAAATATTTCTGCTCATACAGCCTTTATTTTTAAGTTAATGTTCATGTCATGTTTATAATAGTCATACCAATTGGAGGTCCTCTTTTTTCCTTTAGTAAGGGGTCATTTGGGTCACGGTTTCACGTCACCAATGTCAAAAAATAGGATTTTTTACACTTTTTTACAGGTGTATTAACCTTATTCTATCGACAGATGTCTTGTATATTTTGTAGGAACATAAAATTGAGGTATTCTCATTTGGATGGAGGTAGGGGTCAGTTGGGTCAAGGTCACCAGTGCTAAAAATAGATTTTTTACACACTTTTGCTCATACAGCCTTATTGATGACAGATTGTATTATAATTGGTAGGAAGAAAACTTACATGGTATTTCTACCTTAGGATGGAGTTAGGGGTCAGTTGGGTCAAGGTCAACAGTGCTAAAAATAGATTTTTACACTTTTGCCCATACAGCCTTTATATATTGACAGATTTATTTCATATTTGGTAGGAAATAAGTTGCATGATATTCTTCCTTTGGATGGAGTTAGGGTCAGTTGGGTCAAGGTCACCAGTGCTTAAAATAGTTTTTTTACACTTTGCCCATACAGCCTTTATTTTAAATATTGTTTTCTGACAAGAATCTGAGCCGGGGGCATTTGTGTTTAACAAACACGTTCTTGTTTCTCTCATAATATTGGTACCCTATATAAAGCCTTTGCCAGCTGGCAGCTACACAGAATCTAGCCTTGCGTCCAGTGCCAACCAGTTGGCACATCTTTCCTGTCTGATCATGGTCTGTACCGTTTGCTATTTAGTCAATACTTTAAAAAAAAACTCTCTAAAATGAATGGTTTTGTCCAGATTGAAAGATGGACAAGTTCATTTAAAATTTTTAGCAGAGTAATGGTTAAAGGCTGTAAAGCAATATTAACTGTTGAAATAGTGGTGAATTATTTACTGAAAAAGAATGAAAGAATCTGTAATTTTCTTAATTTCTCCCCTGGTCATCTAGAGAATGTTTTAATAAAAAAGCATCTCTTTTGAATTATTGCACATGAATTTTGTTACAAACAGGATAAAACATTCCTTTTGTGCTATATTAAGTAGGTCCTAAGCAATGATTGTGTACAGTGTACATGCAGTGCCCACTTTATTGTAAAGTTACAAACAATATTCTTTCAATTAGGGCACTTTGATATGTTTTTTATCAAGATTACAGACAATTATTAATATAGCTTTATACCCTTTATGGTAGTCTTACCGCGAAAACATTTCTAACATCCGCCAATATCGTAATATATCGGTCATTTCCTGAATTTTTTTTTTCACAATCTTCTGTATTGGCAATAACTTTTAATCGTTTATAACCGGAATTTAGTACATAGCAATAAAGCAATAAATGAGTGATTGTAAATAATCCTATGCCCAAGATTTAAAAAAAATAAAGTTCTGGAAATAACCGATTTGCTACGATATTGGCCGATTTTAGATTATTTTGCTGGAAAGCATTACAGTATGATGACCTTTATTCAATATCATTTATCATAGTGTATAATTATTGTTTATTTAGAGGTAATAAGATTATTAGATTCATTATGTATTATGTATGAGCACTTATATCTCTGTTAATTATTGATAATATTAGAAGAAAATATGTTTAAATAAAAAAAATAAAATAGAAGAAAAACACTTTCATCAGAATTGGTTTAGTACTGTTTAAAACGATTCTGAAAACTTTTTTCCTCTACAGATTAAAATGCCTGCTGGAAATTGGGCAAAAACAAGCAATTGGAAGTTTAATTATTTTTTTATCTTTCTAAACCTTTTCTATATTTCACAGTTGCCAAACCTCCAGATAGCAGTAGGAGTAAAAAGAAGAAGAAACGAATCATAGTACCGCAGAAATGTCTCGATCGAGCCATGGTCCAGTGTGAAAAATATCTCACCTTCCGAAACCATGACGATATTGACCAACCTGTTGAAGTGAGTTCTATTTTTAGTCATTTATGTATAAACATAATTATAATGTATTAATTTTATGAAATTTTCAACTAAGGAAAAGTCAGTAATAATTTTACATAATTTGTATACTTATTTTCATAAAATTGTGGATTAAACCCTAAATATAAAGTCACCATGATATAAGGCAGACTATTGGATATGATGTTACAAATGCCTGACATCTGTAGCACTGTTTTATAGACAAAAAGTGCATTAAATAAATAAAGAAATATTTGCAAAATATAAAATATATTTAAAACATTTCACAGCTCACTAGTGTGTATGTAACTTCTAGAATTCCAGGAGGGTTTTCTCAATGGACTCTGTCCTGCTTTGAGTCGGGAATTATTCAATGTTATTAATAAAAGACATAATGCTAAATTTTTAGCAACCAGCACACTTCTCAAATTGGTAGGGCCATCAAGTGCATTATTACACAATTATGCTTAGCATAAAAAACAAATGCTCACATGTCATATGACATCATATATGATGTCAATAAACTAATGATGAAAATAATACTTCTATGCTCAATTTAGTTTCACATATTTTTATCAATTCTCTTCTTTGTAAGCATGTTAGAATCGAAATAAATATTAATTTTTCTTGCACTATAGTATATACTTACAGGACCCACATTTTCCCCATTGAACATAGAAGGACCGAAAGTGTGTGTTATTTTTAAGAAAATAATATATCCCAAACTCTGTGATTTTATTGCTCAAATAACATCACTGTTTGGAGTTCGGATGCCGGGAATTATATCACGAGGGCGTAGAGCCCGAGTGATATAATGATGCGCATCCGAACGACAAACAGTGATGTTATCAAGCAATAAATCACCGATTTGGATATATTATTTCGATTCATAACGCGACATCAACAAATAAATGCTGCCCGTACATGATAATTAGCTAAAATGCGCCTGATTTGTGTCCGTACTTATTGTCAGCGAATCACATTTTTTGTGTTAGGTCACGTTTATAATGATTACGTCACATGTCTAAATATAGAACGTCAAACAGTGATTTTATAGCATAATAACACACACTTTCGGTTCTTCTATGTTCAATAGGGAAAAATGCGGGTCGTGTTAGAATTTGCATTAAAATAATTCTTGACATTTCTATTTAGAAATGTGACGTAACCATAATTAGACGTGTGACGTTACCATGAAAAAATGTGACGCACTGAAAATAAGTACGGAAACAAATCAGACGCAATTTAGTTAGATATCAGGTACTGCAGCATTTAATATTTGTTGATTTCATGTTGGAATCGAAATAATATATCCCAATCAGTGATTTAATCGCTTGGGATATATTATTTCTTAAGTAATGCATGCATGGTTTATCGTTCAGGCCTATTGGAAAGCAACACATTAAATTATGTTATATACGGTGCCTCCATTTTTCAGAGAGATGCTTTGACTCCTGCTCAGTGGGATGAAATGATCACATGGTACTACCAACTTGTACAGTAAGTATTCTATAATAAGTAATTTATAGAACATATTGAATGAGTGTAAGTTTAACAAATTTAGTTGGACGGAATTGAATAATAGACACCATTATCAAGACCTACTCTGGCAGAGCCGATAGATATTTGATGAGCCTTATGAGTCAAGCGAGTTCAAATGTCTCTAAAATTAGCTTAAATCATTGAACTAAAACGAATTTAAGAGGAGAGATCACTCATTTCTATGAGAGAGAGAGATAAAGAGACAAGAACTCGATGGTCATGTACTGCCTACAAAGATTATGCACACAATTAAGCAGTGTCTTGGAACCAGGGATGCTATGATTATGTAATATCGACATGAAAGAATCTCGTACAATTATATATAGCACTCTATTACACAGGCCATGCATACACCATTTCTTACGGCAGTCCCTAAATTGGCAACGGGTATGTATTATACAATCATAGGTGTTCAGTTTTTACTGGAAAAGAATGCAAGGCAGGGTAAACTAGTCTTATCTTCAGTAACACTGGAGAAGTTGTGATATGACTATAACAGTGTGGTGTTATAAAAACAGTTTTTATTCATAAGGCAAGGAAGACAAACTTTGCTGTTTGCAAATTATAATCAAAGGGAAGGGTAACTTCAAAGCATTGATAAGTCATTAAAGGGTTAAAAGCCAGTTACAAAATGTGTTTTTATTTGTTTGAAACTGGTGCTTTAATATACATGTAGATAGGTTCTATTTTATATAAAAGGACTGGATTTGTATTCCTTTATCTATGAATAAGAAGAAAGTGTGTGATGGCAGAGCCGTAAATGAAGATAGCATCATAACGACATTTCAAGTTAAAATCTAAACGCTTAAGATTATCGTCGCCTCTCTCAATCTGTAAAACAAGTTACATGTCAGCTGAAGCAAAACCCAATAAGCTCATGCACTGTGACATGATTCCTTGTTGCCCCAAAGAAGTAAAATACGAGTTGCAGGCGGTGTCAAAATGTGTGCCGGCTGGCGCCTCAATAAGACCAGCACAAGGATTTGGTAGATCGTTGAAGGGTTGTAGGTTTGACAGCCTTGATTTAGGAAGTAGCGTCATACAATGGATCTCAACATTGGCTGTGCGGATCAATTGCTCAGAACCAGGTTGATTTGTTGATATAAGTAGCTTATACGACTTTATGAGTGGAGCAATTGGAAATCAACAATGTACATTTAATGTATAGCTGATGAAAGCTGGTGAAAGGGGAACAATCAACCTAAGAAATTACAACAGAAGTAGCTCAAATTTGGCATAAAAAGCAAAATCAGTCATTAAGAGCACCTTTCACTTTGTACAATCAACCAATGCATACCGTTCACTTTGTGATTTTCAGTGATCACCACACACACAAATGTGCCAGCAAAGTAATTAATAGGGTCCAGACTGAGAATAGTGGAAAGGAAGCCAGAAATAAAAAAGCAATCGCCTGCCTGTATACCTGGAGGTGCAAGAAGTGTGATGGAGATGTGCACACACAGGGATGTCCAAACCAAAAGGCAGAGCCACACTGGCGTATCTATGTTGGTCACTAAAAGCGTCAGTAACGAGTAAGGTTACATATAGCAAGTTAATATGTACGATTAGGTCAGAACTGAATTGCAACATTCTATATCACTTTTAAGTCAGCTTTAAAGTTTGTTTTAAAAATGGACTTGTATTATAGGATTCTCAACGTCGAAATCTTGGGATGATAATAACCGACCAAGAGACAATCAAACCCAGACACCACACGACGAGGCGAGAGGACTGGTCAGCAGATGAGAATGTTAGGTTATATCTGATAGTGAGCACATCTAGGTAAATCATTTAGCCAAGAGCAACATTCCGTATATATGAACTTATTAATTTATCTAGTTGCAACATGGAATCTAGATGGGAGAGAGAGATGTACCGAGTGACAAGAACGAGAAATCAGTCTGGCATAGAGTCCACTATCGGATCTGGTCTAATTGGATGTTGCAAGACAGCGAGTATCCAGTGCTATTTTAATTTTTAACCCAAAATGGATTAAAAGTTGGACGGTCCATAAGTGAAGAGCACGGCAAGTGTACATTAAGATATGCGAGTCTATGGAATAGTGTATATTTTATGCAAACTTGTTTATGCAGGTAAACATGATATCACCCCACATAATCGATTTCTGAAAAATTTTACACAGTTATAATTCTAGTTTCATGGTCATAGAAGACTTCTTGACAAAACAAAGTGCTTTATTCTTTATAACATATGCATTGTAAAATTTCACAAATAAATAGAAGTTGCTTTTTTGTGTGATAATGTTTATTTTTGGATAGTAGAATAAATCCATTGTGCTTTCGTGATTGACATCAATATCAAATGGTGTGAATTATCCCAGACTTTAACGTGGGGGAGGAGAGATGAGAGAGGGTGCGGTGTTACGCTAGTTCATATTGTATTGTTTCAGGCTCTAGCTCGCCACCTGGTAAAAACATCAACCATATCATGAAGCTAGCGGGATAAGGCTTCTCTATGCCCATGAAAAAGCCAAATTTAGCTGCTAGGATTTACTTGAACAGTAAAGGGCAGATGTTAGTTACCGTTGAACCCACTTGTAACCTATATACCCACTTAGAACATACAGAAGCAGTTTGTCAAACCAAAGAAACAAACAAGAGTGTTTGTTTTTATAATTGCAAGAACGTCCATAATAATATTGATCGATAACTGTAAGTTTGATATACGACAGTGGTTTCTGGTCACAGATTGGAACCCTCTTACTATCTACTTCTATATGGATAGCTACCTCAGGTTTGTGTACAGGATCACATCTATATTTATATCTTTGGTTACTCTAAGTTGCAAACATTAAAATGTATCTTTCTATACTGCATATGTACAGTTTGATGAAAAACTGCTTTGAGGCAGTTTATTATTTGACATCCCTGATACATATTTCTGTTTTTGCCATCCTTTTTGCCTCTAATTTTAACCTCTTTATGGGAACCGAAATATCATGCTTTAACCTCATGCCAAATGGTCACTTTCTGGATTACCTAATCAGAAATCCTACCAATGTGAATTAAGGAAGCCATCTCTTCTCTGGTGGGTTTGAATCTACCACTAACCCATTCTATCATTTTCTTGTAGGTGAAAAGATTGAACATTTAAAGCAAAGAGTATAAATCTGAAATTTGAATGCAAAACTTGTCAAGTTAACCAAGACAAACTTAACGTTAATCAAATAAAGGCCAGATCTCACATGGTAGTGAGACTTAAGTACAATACTGTTTTCTGGGAATATCAGTCATTAGGACAGACTTGGTCTCATGAACTTATGTCATATATGTTTCTAAGTGTGAACTTTTTTATTTTAATATTGTTCTATGCTGTAAGCAGTGACTTATCAAGATTTTGTCTCATAGTAGAGAAATATCATTTAAAAATAACAATTTAATGTTACAGGTTTTGTTCCCAGCAGTTTACACTGGAAGATTACGATGAAGCTATTCATCTGTCAAACAATGCTATTCAAAAACATTATAAAAACGGTCCACGATCAACAGAACTGCCAGAAGAAAATATGTGGACACATGAACAGTTTATTGACTACATTAAGTAAGTAGTTTTTGTCAAGCTCTGCTTTCAGTCTTTTTGCTGGATTTATTTATCGCTTTGGCGATTTGATGTATGCGCACATGTTCGTCTGATCTTGTTGGGACTAAGATAGCAATGACTAAGGACAAAATGTTTTTTATGAGTATTTAAAAAGTGTTATATTTTGTTCATTGGCATTACAGTCAGTCGTCATGTTTGTATATATACATGTACATTTTTATTATACTATAGAGACCAAAAGTTGCCAAACCACTGGGATGATTTGATTTATCCTGGGATGAAAAAAGCAATCATCTGTTCATTACTTTCCACTCAAGATCTTGTAGAATATAGAAAGGTGAGTGTTTTTTACTTCCTAATACATCATGTCACACCTTTGCAATCTGTGAATAAAGGTCATATGGAAAGGATTTTATGTCATTTTATTTTTCAAAAATTGTTACTCAAAATATTTCTTTTCCACTTGTTGAGACTTGTCTTTATTTATAGGTTTGACTTAATACTTTTTTTCTTTGTTCCTTGACCACCCCCCCCCCCCCCCCATATTAAATATTGACCTATTAATCAGTCTGTATACAACCTCTGCAAAAACATATCCAGCCTTTATTTTTGGACTCCTGTTCATGAGCTCTTTTTGACATATTGACTTTAAAAATATGTTTACCTTAATTGTCAAATTCAAAATTGAGGAAATTTCATCAAAAAAAATCTAATTTATGAATCAGATTTCAAATTCAGGCATTTGTATATTACAAACACATTTTGTTGATAGTTTTTTAATTTTTGGAAAATATTTAGATTTATATGTCAGATTATAATTGTAGGAATACTGTTGGTAGCATGTTTGCCTTTTATGTACAAGTTAGATATAATACTAGTTTGTAAACTTTCATCATGTTTTCTGATCATCTGTCTGAAAAATGTTACGCGTGCTTAAGATATCATGATGTTTTTTATTTTTCCAGTCATCATTTGAGTTGTACGGTGCTGACTTCATGTTGACGGAGGACTATAAACCATGGTTGATAGAGATTAACTCTAGTCCTAGTATGGAAAGTAGTACGGACATTACATCACGACTCTGTCATAATGTCCTCGAAGATACACTTAAAGGTAAATTTTTTTTTCAGAAATGCAATTTACAGGGTTTTAATTATTAACAAATTGGCAATCCATATCATAGGTTTTTCAGTAAATTAAAATATTTCCCTCGACCCTTGACCTTATCAGCTTTTTTGTTTTTTTGTTGGCACATCTGTTGCACCAGATAAAAGTGAAAGCCCTGAATTGAATCAAGAGTTGCATGTCTTCAGATAAGTGGACAAATTTTCAAATAATCAAAGTTGCAAAAAATATTTTAATAGTTCAAGAAAAATGAAAAAACTCAAAATTCAGTGACAATTTACATGTAAGTGTAATCTTATTTCTCCTATTTCAGTGGTGCTGGACAGAAGGTGGGATAGAAACTGTGATATAGGACGGTTTGAGTTGGCTTACAAACAGCCTGTTGTCACTGTACCTCCGTACATTGGAATGAATCTATGTGCTGAGGGTGGCTCCATTAAAAAGCCAAGTTGGATGAATGTTAAAAGGAATACTAACAATGATCCTGATGCTGTGTTTTCCCCTAGAAAAGAAAAACAAGTGATTTTCAATGATAAACTGACTGGAAACAATGTTGAAACGTCCAATAAAACCACAGGAAATTCTCGGCGACCTCAAAGTGAAAGTAACCAAGAGGAGCATACTAGTTTGAAAACAACTAATTCAGCTCCTGTTAAAAAGTCAACAACAAAAGAAAACAATAATGAAACTCACACACATGTGAGAAAGAAAGCACATGTACAAAAGTCACCAAAAATAGTTAACAATTTAAGTGCAAATCAAAGTAGTAGTAACACTAGTGTACCTGCTGAAAAATCTACCAGCGATAGTGCTAGTTTACATAGTCATCATCAGAGAGAAAACACTCGTAATATTGAGCAGGGACGTAACTCTGAGCAGGGACGTGTTTCTGAACAGGGACGAAGCTCCGAGTTAGGTCGTTACTCTGAAACAGGTCGCGTTTCTGTGGTTGGTCGGTCAGAAGCTGATACAAACATAGACGAAAGTCGTTCGGAAAAAGGATTAAATAAGTCACCACCGGTTTCGCCGTTACTGGCCCCAAAAATGAATATGTTTGGATCTGGTGCTATTCCTACTACAAGCTATGTATCCAATTTAGCATCAAAGAAAATTGTGTCAAGAACTTCTGTGTCAACTAACTATACTATACCCCCTTGTGATAATCGAGAGCGTCCCGCTTTAAGTGTTAACAATGTGGAAACTACAGATCTGAAGACACTTAAAGCTCAGGCCAAAGGTAATGTTAATAATCCTCTCTCTCTAGTTAATAGCAGCACCCAAACTCAAGAATTACTTAGTGAATATTACAATATAGATGCTTTTCCCACACAGCCCCGCAGACCGAAACGACGGCAGCTGGGAGTTCCAAGACAGCACACTGGTCAACCTAGGAGTGGTAGTAGAGCTAAACGACCAGAAGTCACTATTAAATTCCCAAAAGTCCCATATGCCAGTATTAACGTCACTTTCAACCCAGAGGAGGAGAAAAGTCCAAAGTTTAAATACTTTAATCTTACCCGCTCAACTGAAGACCTTTACCGTCCAGGCCCAGGTTCTGCCACTTTCCCAATTGAAAATTATTAGTACATAAGCAGTATCATATTTGTGAAATTGAGAGAATCTAGGCTTGTTGAGGGCAAAGGACAATTCCATGTTGTGCTGGCCAGATTGGTTTTAGAAAAAAGTCCCCCCGAAAACTGCCATTTTTTTAACAAAGTTACTTTCTCCTGATATACTAAGCATGAATTTCAAAACGTTTCAGTACAAAAGTATTATTTTGGTAATTCAAATGTGAAATGACTGCATTTCTTGTTTCAATTTATGAATATCAAATTTCTATAGGCAATGCATTTGTTTTGGCATGGGGGCGAGGGGTGGGCGTCGTGGGTATTTTACTGTATTATCTTTGTGTATATACTTTCTCATTTACTGGATGTCGAATCTGGAGTTTTTACTGGCGTAATAAGTAGATTGTTGCATTTAGAGTTATGTTTTGATTTTTAACAATGATTATCATTTGATAGATTATTAGTGTAAATAGAAAAAGAAAGTTATTTTACCTTCCTGTTTTTAACTTTTACAATATGTTTTATTTTCATACCAGATTTTATTACATACACAGATATTATTATACATTTTTTATACATTTGTTGTACAATTGAGAATAGTTTTTTTGTTTCACAATGCATGGTTATATGTTTATAACAGAGATGTTTCTGGCATTTGATGGTAAATATTCTATAAATAGAAACATTGCACTGTTTGATGATGAAAGCATGTGACTGTTTTAATATATTATTTCTATATCTATAAGCAGTAGCGTAAATGACCAAGAACATTTTAATACCTCTCATGTAGCAATTAACACCCACTATTGTTAAACATATATATTTTGTATCATAATGTATATTTGTTCATGTGTATTTATTTGCACATTGTGAAATTGCTATTTATATACTAAAAAAATTTTTTTTGCAAAATATGTTTTCATATTGATTTTTTTACAATGAACAGCATTTAAATGGCAGCATATCTTAGAGTGAGCTTAGTTATCAAATTCTTTTTCAGCATTTAAAAATTTCAGCATTTTTATCAAGATTTACTACATGGTTATCAAGAAATAGGGATTATATGGACTTAATTGTGTCAGTTTTTAAGATGATTTTGTTAGGAGCTATTTAGAAAAATACTTATGGTTTTGCTAGTTAATTCATTTCTTTCTTTTTTTTCTCGATGAATTATATATAAGCTTGTGTGAAGTTTGCGTTATTGACCATTACCTCAGTTGTTAAGTTTCATATGTTTTTATAACTGTTAACCAGTCGTTATTTCAATTCATTTTTGTCACACATTGCACGAGAATCATTGTCAGGTACACAATCAGCGGGTCCCGGAGTGGTTGCGCAATATCACCTCATGTTTGGGGCTTTTCTCATTGGGTAGGCACACCGATTTTTTTCTGGTTTGGAGTTGTATTTTTTTTACCATTCATGGGATGATGTTACGATGCTGTTTGTGCAAGCTTCTAGTGTCTGTGATGATGAGTTTGTTATGTAAAATCTCTGCCTGTCGGTTGCTAAGATTAACGCTAATGATGTGACGATAGGAATGGCAATGAAACAAAATGCTTCGTTTTAACCTATTTCACTCTTCATTAACATTTTAAGCTAAACTATTGAATAAATACACTTTCAATACCAAATGATAGACCTAGTCCAAGCAAAAACAAGGGTGTTTTTTTTGTTTAAGAAAAGAAGAAAATGCAATGAAAAATATAGCTATGAAATAAAAAACAAAAAAAACCCCAAAAAACATGAAAAGTTTTGGTATTGAATTTGTTAACATGCTAAGTCTGTTATTTTTTATTTTTAGATTGAATGTTACATGAAGATTTTGTTTCTGTAAAACTGGCTTTATTTTCATTGGTTAATTTTAATTTATCATTTTGTTATGCATTTTTGCTGAGAAAATTTTGCTCTCAGTAAAATAAGTTTTTTATGAAATGATGATCAATAAGAAATTGCTTAGGACAAAGAGATCTTAATTTATTGAACAGAATGCCAGATTTTTAAGTTATTTTTAGAAAAGAAAATATAGCATAGTAGTTTACCAGTATCAGAAGAAGTTAGATTTCATGACAAATCATTATTCTCCTTAGATTCCCATTTTTCATTGTTATCATCCCAGAGTGTTTTTGTTTGCTGTGACTTGGCCATTTGAATAGCAGTGTGTGTTGCTCTACTGCTGCAAATGTCTGTTCACACATATAGGGGAAGTAACTTTGTGAGTAATACACATAAAGGGGAGGTAACTTTACATGTAATCAGAAAACTATCCATTTCTTGTTGTCATTGTATAAGTATTTTATTTATGAATCATTTTGATAATTCAATTGTTTTAAAGATGTCTACTTTGATAATGTATAAACTTAAAAATACACATTTAATGGGTTTGATAAGAAAAAGAAAATAATTTTTGCTGTAAGATATTTTTGTCAGTATGATGTTGAAATTAGCGTTTTTGTTCAAATTACCAAAACATTGTGTTTCCATGGTAACTATTTATATTTTAAAGGCCGACGTCGACGCAAGAGATACCGGCTAGGTCGAAGTATGCCTGTTTACTCATCAGGCACCACTGAGCCTGTAAAACTGCATTTCTCAAAAGGAACAACTGCTGCCCCTTCTCCGTACATGATGGTTCAAAAACTACCCGTTATAAAGGTCCATATTATAAACGAGGGTCAATGAAGGGCTTTTATATAACACATTTATGTAGAAAGGTACTGAACAATTTATACAAAGCATGTCTGAGATTACCCCACCCACTATCTGTTACCTCTAGTCGTGCATGACTTGGACAAAAAAAAATTAACAAAACTGTCTAAAAAAATAAATACCTGGCAGTCTATTATTAACTGTTTATTCCAGCTAACTCTATTATATACATGTCCTTTAACTTGTATTCTTAATTAACATAAATAATAATAATTCAGTAACTAATGGAAGACATTTTGGCAGCAAAAATTTATCAACATAGTTTTAAATTGCTAAAGTTTCATTATAATTTGAAGGATGAATAGATTTTCTTCATAAAATTTTTAAAATTTACTGCTTGCAATAAAAAATGATGATTTGCTGCTTAATGCACATTCAAATTGCAAGTTTTTATGCTGAAATTTTAAAGAAGGTAAAAATTACTTGAGACATTTAATTGAAATTAAAGACAAGTTATTGACACATAAGTTTGTTGATTTTGGTATATAGAGGATATTCAAGTTTTTTCTATAAATACATGATTTATTTTCATTGAGTGGTATGAAAATAAATATTTCATGAGTGGCGGTAGCCACGAGTGAAATATGGTAATTTTCATGCCACAAGATGAAAATAAATCATGTATTTATAGAAAAAACTTGAATTTTCTGTTTATTATATACATTTTTCTCTTTTTTGATATTAAAATTTGAAAGATTTTCCTGTACTGGCAGAATTTAAAAGAAAGTAGTCCGGCAAGACACCAGTGAAAATACGGAAAATATGTTTCACTGCAGTGAAAAATAAATTTTTACAGTGAAAATACGGAAAATGAAAATACGCATTTTATTTCATCAATATTTCTCAATATTTCATTTATAAGTATATAATAAACTTTATATATTTTGATACTAAATCAGTATATATTGTCTAAAATTAAATTATTTTAATGAAATATATAAAATAATGTTGTTATTTGGAATTCAAGTTTTTTCTATTAGTTTCTGCGTATACATGTTAATGAATTGATCAACAACAAAAGGTAACCTGTATGTATTATAATACGAAAAAAGAAATAACCCATTTTCTTAAATTTCGCTTCCTTCCTATAGGCACTATTAATAACAATATACATGTAACCCTACGTAACAAAGGATACCAAGTATTTGGTTTTCTTACTATGTTTTGACAACATGACATGCTTTGTGTAAACTATATTGTATGTGTGAACAGCTAACAGCCTGCATAGAGCCTGCTTTATCGCTGGGTTTTGTGATCATTACTTTAGCAGCTTTTTTGGCTGCCTGCTTTGTACTGGTAAAGTTTGGTTGTAGCAGGTTACGGGTGCAAGCTTCATTAGGTGTTGGTGTTGGGAAGCTTTAGGTACATACCCGCCCCACCCATACAAACTGTGCATGCTTGCCTTTTCAGACGGTAGGATGGTGTGCAATACTGAGTTCCACTTTAGTTTTTATGAAAACTTAAAAACTTAAGATTTTAAGGCCATAAGAATGTAAGTTCTAGGGATTTTTTTTGATCTTTAGATCATTCTGTCTGCCTCAAAAGTATTATGCTGTCTAATTCTTGAAAAGCAAATTTGTGATGACTGGTAACAAGATCATACTTGTATTGTACTTGTAACTGTATTGTTACCTCCTTTTGACTTGGTGTGAAATACTCTTTGTATCAAGCGAGTTACAACCTTTTTGTCCCAAGCCTTTGATATGAGTTGCAGACCTTGGCTTTGTCAAAAGAGTGACACTGGTAGTCCATTGGATAAATTTTTATTTTTAGATAATGATATGTAAAAGATAAATAGATCTGTGTAAATTAAAGGCCCCATGCACAGTTTGTATGTATGTTAATATACAAGAGATAATCTCAGCTGCTTTGTTTATAAATCACGCATTCCTGTTGTAATCATAGTCACCTATAGTTTTACATTGTCTTTCACATTTTGTAGACAGCTTTACAAATTGTATACCCGTACAAGTGGTGAAGGGATTTTTCCTCCTAATAACTTTATGTACTCAAGTGTCATCATTTTATTGGCTTCTTTCAATTTGCTAAAAAAAATGTTGGGTTTTTTTTTTGAGCTCTGATGTTGAAAATACCAACTGTAAATGTCTCTTATTGAGCACCAGTTGTTAAGGAGTTTTGTCCCCTTTATTGCACAAGCTCCAAACATTTAATATGTGACCTTGTATAAATGGTTATGACAAGTATTAATATTATCTTACTGTCACAAAGTAGGCTAAGGTACTAATTTCAAATAATATTTTGACTGTTTTAAATGAAACCTTTATTTTTTTGTGGTATATAGCATTTCCCCTTATTTATATACATAAGACTTGTCATGAATGAGGGTTTTTCCCTTTCATACGATATGAAATGAACATTTTTGTATAGTTTGCTCAGACAATGTTGGTAACGAATATCATTTCATGATTTACTATTTTTTTCTAACTGTGCAGTCAAGGAGTGAAAGAAAATTTCTTTGTCAGTATATTCCTATGTTGCCAAAGTCTATGGTTTTAAATGACAATTTGAGTTAGTTTTTCTATGTTTTGAGTTTAAAGTGTTGGTAAAAGGGATAAAACAATGGATGTTTTATGGTTTTAACTAAATGCTCACAAGAAAATGTTATATTTTCATTTATTTCCCCGCTTTTAACTGTTACCTTGTCACCTGGTGGGTAAACTTTCATGTGAAGACACAAAAGTTTTAATGACTTTTTTGTCACAGTTTAAGTTGAAGAAAATGATGTTTGGCTTTTCCTTTTTGGTTTCATACTATAATATATGTAATCAAATTCTCATCTATTATAGTCAAGAAGGGAATCAAAATAGCCACAAACCTTTTAATTTATCAACCATGAAGCATACCATTTCTTGTTACAATTTTTGTTATTGTGGTGAATTATATGGGCTGCTTTCTTAGTTCTTTTATCAAACTTAATATACAACTTCTGTAATATGATCCGTTTCCAAAATGAAATGAGCAGCGCCATGACAGAACCAACATAGAGCGTTTGCGACCAGCATGGATCCAGACCAGTCTGTGCATCCACTTAGAAACTCTATTACAAGTAGAGAAACTGATAGGGAACAGCATGGATCCTAATCAGGTTGCATGGATGCACAGGCTGGGTCGAATCCATGCTGTTCGCAAACACACTGTTGGTTTTGTCATGGCGTGACTAAAATATTAAAAAATACGGATGTATAAGATGTTAAAAACTTTGGAAGCAGTCTTCACAATTGATATTGCATGTTATCGTGTAACACGTAGGCAATTATATTGCTATGTAATGTTATTGTAATATCCTAATTATGTAGAAATTATCAGTTGTATATTGTTTATACATGTATGTATGTTTAATTGTAAAATGTCAAATGATAATCCAACACATGTAACTTCAAAATGTTATCTGTACAAGATATAATATATATTTTAAGCATATTATCCAAAAATCATTAAATTTTTCATATTTTTATTTCAGCATTTGATTTATATACATATACATGTAGTTAAATATCCATTTTAGGATTGCGCATCATAAGAAATGCCAAAATATATGATTTAAAATTCACAGCTTAAATCTCAAAACATATTACCTTAACAATAGTAATAATTGTATACGATAATTTCGTTAGAACCTTATCTAAGAGATAATTACGAGGTCTAAATATAGTCGCTATATTAAACACACCCTATATAAAATCAGTAGCAGTTATATTTAACATTTCAGGTCCGCCCGGGTTGGCTCACAAGCTCTTTTATATAGGTACATGGCTTTATAATCAATGAACCTAAATTAACATTTAACTACCAGAATACACCTTGACAGCAAAGTGATAGGATGATGGTAGTAATTTCATTGACTGGTTTTGTGTATTTGTATCATTCGGCATCACAGTTTGAATGAATGTCTGAATGACTTTTTTTTCAAATTCTTCAGTTTTAAGTTGTGTTTGAACTAAAAAGAATTGTATAAATATTTGTTAAATTTTGCATGAATATTCACCAACAGTCAAAACGATGATTTTTTATTCCTATCACTTTGCATGACAATAAGGGCTTTAGCTAAAAATTCAACCAAAATCCTATTTCACAAGACACCAATCATAATTTGTAACATTTTAGCAAAAGCAAATAAAGTCAATTTTCAGACATTGTCAGAAATAGGAGTGGTTAAATATAGGTACAGCCCTGAATTAATGACATCAGTATAATATTGTGTTGAACCATTTTGTAGCTGCTTAACTTTATATACTCTTTGTACTCATGCAATCTACATGCATATGTATACCAATTTGTACAGTGATATTTATCTAAACCATTGTACTGAAAAGTACAGAAATAATTGTTAAATCCCATCTTTATGAAATGACAGTGTCTGAACAAGATTTCATTTTTGTGTGTAGTGCTATAAATAGTTTATGTCTTTTCGTTTAAAATGTTAGTCTTCTACTTGAAAGCACCTGCCCTCTACTGTAGTTCCAAAATTTATTAATTGCATGTTTATCATACATCATATTCAGCCAGATAAAGTAAAGTTTCTGCATTAAAATGGTCATATTTCCCTGTTTCGGACCCTTATTTCTTACAATTATAAATCATATTTGCCTATTGACGCACCATTAAGCTTAAATTTATGTTACAGCTACCATAAATGTGTCAATCTTTAGGCAATTACTGCAACTATGCATAATACTAGTATTCCAGTCTTTCAGTTTTCTTATGTAGAATTGACATCTCCCCTTAGTTCAGTACAGACTTTGTGTTTAGCTAATCGTAGATCTCTTCATGCATGTAAAATTGTTCACTTTCTAATGTATGATGTCACTCGTATTTTCAACATTCTCAATGTTTGTGCTCTAATGATAATCTCAAAAGCATGTATCAGTTTTATCATTAATAAATCTAACAAGAGTTATAGCTACATAAGATTTCCATCAAGCATGCTAAAATAGATAAACTAAATTTTGTCATCTTAGTGCAATAACTGATTAATTCCTAATAAATTTAGAAGAACTTACTCTGTTAATGCACTAAAGTGATGTATTGTAAATGATAAAATTAGAATTTCGCAGTCATTTTGTAGTCAGTTTGTTCAGAAAATAATAATGCTTAAAGTTTGGCATTTTGCCAGAACCCCAGATTTCTGAGCCATAAGGCAAAATTTAAGAAAAATGAAGTGCTGAGTTCTTCGTAATTTTTCTGCCACTGGTAAATTGTTTATAGTTAATATTCAAGTTAAAGTATCTGTTCATTGATATAGTAATCAAGAATTTAAAGAAAAAAAAATCTTTTTTTCAAGAACTATGGGCTAGATAGGCTGTCTGGTTTGAATGATATTTTTCTTGTGTATGTATTAAACTGTTGAAACCATGTTTTACGTTTCAGGCCAGTCATATCCTCAAGGTAATAAGACAAAGCTGCCGGCACCCCTTTCATTAATCCAGAACTACTCGATTACAAAAAGCATGAACAATCAGACATACATGAGAGATATTCGCCAGAGGCTTAAAATGGCAACATTGAGCCTAAAGTTCCACAATGCTTATCAATAGATCTTATATTTTTGTAGGTTCTGAGAGAAAATTTTGTTTAGATGTAGCTGGGATTTTTTTTCATCTCTTCCTATTCAGTCCTTTTATAGATATTCTTTTTAGTCAGACATCGTTGTTGTTGGTGTTGTTTTTCCTCTATAGAGTAAAAAGCTCTCTTCTGTTTTATAGAAGTGTTGAATGCTACAATCTTGAGCTCTGGTTTGAGCTTATAATTCTCTTTCAACAGCCTGAAATTATTTTTTAATCTGTATTTTTATATTTTCGGGAAAGGATAAATTTTCTTTAAAATAAGGGTAGCATTTGGAGAAAAATAGTTTATGTTATTCAAAGACGTAAGATTTTAAACAATTTAGTCTGTATTTTTTTTTTTTTTTAAATATTTTTGTACATTTTTTGATATGGTTAAAGAACAGATGTATAAAAAGAACTGGTCTGATATCAAATGAATTTATTTTGGACAACAAGCTAATGAATTAAGGAAAGAGTATATGAGTTGCCTGAGAATGAGACACAAAAGAAATTTTGGTCAAAATAAGAAAACATGACATGCTATTACTTAAAATTGATACTTGCTTTTGTTCTTTACTGACTTTTCCCTTGCTTTTTATTTCCTTTCCTACATTATGCTAATGCGTTTCTGTCATGAATCTTTCAACTACAGTTATATATAGAGTTGTGACCCCTGATTGAGCTACACTGTTTATAACCATTGCTTTTGTGTATACCCATGTAAATATGTGTGCCAAATTTCAGCTGTTGTATGTTTGTTTTGAATATTAATCCTTTGTTGCTTTTATTTCAACAGATTTTTCTTTCTCAAGATATTGTACCTCGAAATTATTTTATGATTATATTTTAGACATAATTACTGTAGACTTTTATATGATTTATAGACAGGGAACAAGTGGTTTTATTTCTTTCAAAATCTATTTTATGAAGTTATTGATAGATAATTATGGTGATTTGAGATTTATAACATAAGCAAATGTCATGTTGGTTTCTTTTTATCTTTTTCTATGACTTCATGGCAATTTTGATTGACAAATGTTGATTTTAAGATTTTTTTTTACTTATACTAGAACAAAATATTTTTGTCCAGCCATTTTGTCTGAATGGAGCATGGAACATGTTGGATTAAAATGTTGATTCCATAAAATTTCAAACAAGAGCAGATGGAATGGACTCTCTTTAATAAGAATAGAACAATAAAAACCAGTTCATTGTAAATCTAACTGAAAGGAATTTGATTCATGCTTTTTAACAAGTTTTAAAATGAAGAAGTGACTTAAACTTTGTAGTGACAACCTTTATTTTGCATTTAAGTTTTACATGGATCTGACCATAAGCAATATTTGGGATAGCAAAATTAAAATTTGAAATTGGTCAGGCAACAGTATCAAGATAGGTCAGACAACAGTATTGATTTTGGTCAGATTGCCTGGATGTGCAGGCTGGCCTGGCTCTATACTGGTGACATGGGCTGTTAGCTTTTTGTCCTTGCTTTGTTGCTTAAAAAATCATTCAGACAAAAAAAGCTGGCAAAATTCTAGATATATCGAGGATTGAATAACCTTCCTTAACCATAATTTAATATTATGAACTGTTGCACTTTTGCACTCTCATCTTTAATTTGCACATAATTATAACAAGAACATTAATATCCAAGGTCACAAAGAATGATGAAGCAAGTTGGCTAATAAATTCAGATGAATTTTTCGATTAATAATGAAAATTCATCTGAAAAAGTAAAGAAAAACTAATGAATTAACTTGACCCATCATCAATATTTTCATGAATTTTCAAAAAAAAAAAAAAGAAATTTTTACCATCTTTGTTCAAATTAAATTTGCTAGACATGACAGTAAACAAAGAATTTATTTACATTGATAACTAATTTTATATTTAATAGATATATATTAAATTATGTGACCTTAGGAAAGTGAAATGCTTTTTGATGACTGCTAATACCTATTTTGTTAGCTACATTTATTACCTTTGAAAAGTTTACAGCTGAAAAAAACAGAAACATCGTAATAAAAAATGTAGCTTTCAAAATTAGTTTTACAGATTTGCTATGAAAATTAACCACATCATATCTAACTCACATTTTTCTAACATCTTTTAACAGGTGTCTACCCACTAACTGAGAGCACATGGGCGCGGACCTGTAATGACTGCGGTAACGGCATGAATTTACATTTAGATAACATAAATCCTTTCTGTAAATGCCGTCAAGATGGTATCCGTATATCCCCAGATCCCCAGGAGCCTCGTTCTCCCAGATGTAAAAGTGCGCGAAACATTTCACGTCCCCAAAGTCGTGCAAGTCCCCGTCCACCGAGCGCATCAGGAATGCACACAAAGAGACAGCATAATATGTCCGCTGACACAGGTGGTAAGGTGTTGCTGCGTTACACCGACGGTTGGATACAAAGACCTATAACTCCTCACATTTACCCGGGACCGAACTCGTTACCGAGACTAGTACGCAGATACATCGGAAGACGTGTCGGACAGTACCATGAACTGTCTGTTGCCCAAAGTCAGACTTTATTTATAGATACCTCTCAGTTAAACGGGGCTCTGTCGATTGTTTCTCATGGATTTTGTCCAAAGTGAAATAGAATAAAGCTGTGATATCTCTATATTATATATATTAGAATAAAACTCATGAGTGTTCATTTATAGCTTTATTGTCATATAGTAGAAGCTTTAACATAGTGTTAAATTTTAATATCTCACATCTAAATTTGATTAAAGTTTCGCTAAGTTCTTTACAACAGAACTCAGGGAGCTTAATATAATGTCTAACATATAGAATCAATATTTGCAATCATAACTTGTCAGCATTCAAGACTTGTAGCTTATTTTTATGAAAAAGCTACAGGTTATTTAATTAGTGACCTGACCTAAAATGATGTTGCAATAAAACATGCTTTGTTTTTGAATATTATCAGGAATTGAAATAGGTTTTATGGTCTGTGACCATGTTTTATTACTATCAGTATATTACACTGGCCTAAAAGAATACTTTGTATGTTAGAGCTGTGATATATTTTCATTTTTAAAATGTTTATTGTAGATGTTTCCTTTTAGAAAGGATCCAGTATTGTTGATTATATTTTTCATCCTAATTACAGAGCTTTTTTTATAAAAAATTATTTTTGACAACAAGTTTTCCAAGAGAACTTTTTCTCAATGTTTGATATATGTAAACATGTATACTATGGTAGTTAAGTTGAACAGTATTCAAGAAGTAAAAATTTAATTCTTGTTGTGCAAACAAAAAGATAAATTTGCTTAATTTGGATAAAATGCATAAATTTTACTCTGGGATTTCCACCAAATATTGCCCTTTACAGGCTACCATTACCTTGGGTTATATGTTCCGTCATTTGGTTATATGACCATGTTTATGATTTTATATATGGCTAGCCTTTGTCTGTTTCGCCCCCACTTCTTTGGGAGAGGGGGATCCTTAGACTGACAAAACAGTGAAATGTGGGGGCATCCGTGACCTTAGGACACATGTTGGGGCATTCGTGTCCTAAGGACACATTGGTAGTTAACATGTAGTTAAGGTTTTATCAGTTATTCTGTAATAATTATTTATAAGTCTTTGAACATAAGCAGCTATAATAACTTTTGTATGCCACTGGTATTGAACCTGGCGTGCCTGTATTTCACTGCAGTTCGACCAGACTGTTTTGCTGGCTGCTCAATTTAAGTGTTTCCATTATAACAGACTGTTCTGAATTTAAAGCACAGCAAGGTCTTTTATTATACAAACATACTTATTGTTGTGTTTAGGGTTCAAAACTGTCTTAAGGTCAAGAAATTCTATGATAGACCACCTGAGTGTAAGTAGATAAAGCTTTAAACAGGCAGGGTCAGTCAGGGGTATTTGTATTATTTCTGTACCATAAAAACTGCAAGAGTTGAATTTTTACTTCAGTATTTGGACGATCTCAGTCAGTAGAAATTATAACTATTCATAAATTACAGATGTATTAATTATATAATTTATACATATACATTTTATTTTAGGAAATGATAAAATTACGATGATATTTTAAAAGTATATAGAAGATGTTCAAGTTTTCTCTATAAATACAGGATTTATTTTCATGGAGTGCTATGAAAATAAATATTTATGAGTTGTGCATGGTAGCCATGAGTGAAATATAATAATAATCATACCACAAGATGAAAACAACTTGAATTTTCTGTTTATTATATATATTTTTCTCTTTTTTGACTTTACAATTCAAATCTTTTGTATTGGCTGAATTTAGAAGGAAGTATTCTGGCTAGATACGGAAAATATGTTTCACTGTAGTGAAAAGTAAATTTTTGTAATGAGAATACGGAAAAAGAAAAATTATTAACCAATAGTATTGTGCCAAATGCTTAATGAGATTTAAAGTCAGTATTTAGCAAGAATTATTAAGACAGTCTTGGCCAATTGTAATGTATTGTCATAATGAAGTATTGCCCATCATCAACGTACCTTTATGGGTTTGAGTCCCACTCGGGACATAAAAGTTTTTTCTAAGGATTAAGCACTTCTGTCTTGGTGAAATTGAGTTAAAAGTCTGTGGTTCTACACATGACTTGACATAGTAATATTTACTGAATAAATGCTAATTCATAAAACATTGAAATGTAGTTGGAATTTACAGTATACAAGTTTCTGGTTCATTACTTTAATTTAAAGTAATGAAATAAAAAAAGAAAAAGTTAAATTATTAGTTTTATTTGACAATCTTTTTATTTTAAGAAATGCATTTTAAGTACAAAACCTTGCCAGTATAAAATATGCTCGGAAAGTGTCAGTATGCTCGTAAATTGTCAGTATTAGAAAGATTTTAATACAAAAATCTTGACCTTTGTTCAAGACTTTCTGGGTTGTTTTTTTTTGTGTAAATTTTAGGACCAGTGTGTACTGTAAGTTTTTGTCATATCCTGTCACGCTAATTTTGTGACCATGAATAAATTATGTAAAATATGACATTTCTTCCAAGATTTGGGTGGTACAGAAAGTGTATTTGATGAATATTAATTTATATCTTTTTTAAAAAACAAATTTATACATGTGTATATAAATGTATAATTATGTAAAATAATATGTCGACACTGGTTCCGCTTCTGAAATGCTAGCCTAACAGTGGTTCTTGGCCTTTTTAGAAATAGGTTTTAGAAATATGGTATCTTTGAACCTTGAAATCTGTGATACTTGTTAAAGAGTTTAGAAGTACTGTTATGTGTGTGTTATTAATTTTGTTTATTGTTTAAGCATTTATGTTCACCAAATAGAATTACTATTGTACATGTACTGTTTTTATACTTTTGTTTGAATGGGAAATATTTCAGAATGTTTTATTTGAGTTTTTTTGGTGATCAAAATACTGGCTGTTAAAAAAAAATCATTGAAATTGAATAGTTTTTACATTTATTTCAGGTTGTATTGTCATCCTTTAATTGATGTTAGAAATCGATCGTTTGCAAATCAACTTTTCTGAAAATTCTGAAATTTTTTTGGAATATTTCCATGTAATTGTAATAGAAGGGTGAGCATAATTATTTCCAGGACATGCAAGGTTGAATTGTTTCAATATGCTATGCAAGTATTTTCTTTAAATAGTTTTGATATTTATTTTTTTCTCAAAGTGCTTCTTTTATATATGTGTGTGTGTGTGTATTGCATTTTATCCGCATTTAATGGTATATACGAGGGTTGATCAATATATTCGTGGACACACTCCATAAATTGTTTTTTTGGGGAAGGAAATATAATATGATTATATTTGACATTTATTCAATCATTTATCAATTTGATGTGTAAGTTTCAGATAAATGATCCGTATATTTTATCCGAAATGACAGTTTTCAAAAATACATGTTAAGCTGATCGCCGCAGCTCATTCGCAACTAACTTTACGTAGGCGTTACATCTTCTCAAAAAATGCAGCACCAACTTCTACACATCGTTCATGCCTGTGTACCCACTGACTGAAAATATTCTTATTAAATGAAATATCAAATATCGCAACACAGACAATGCCATGGACTGTAAATCATGGAACCTTGTAAACTTGTGTCCCTTTAACTCAATTTCACTCGCATAACGTTCTCATCGCAACAAGTTTCGATTGGTCTGCCGCATCTCTTATTATCCTGAAGTTCTCTACTCTCATGGAAGCGTTTGTGCCACTTATAAACAAACGAATAAGACACTTTTTTTGTTCAAGATACACTTTCAAAGTTTTCCATAGTCTGCTGTGGCGTCATACCAAGATTTACACAGATTTAATTACTGCCCTCTGCTCCAACAGCGTCATGCTCCTCTCTGGTGACACACCCCTGTCTCCATTAACATCTCCAACAAACAAACAAAATCGCAGCAACACTTTTTTTTAAATGTTCTATAAACAATATGAAAGAACGTTGCCGTCATATTCATATTCATATTTTAAAGAAGCGCGCCAAAATAATGCCAATTTTTAAGTATTTTAAAATGGTAAATATAACTTTTTTTAAGCTGCGGGGTTAGTACAGCATAGGGTTGCTATGGCGATACATAAAATCAACAAAATGAGATTTTTTTTAAAAAATCACAATATATTTGTAATAGTATTTAATTCTTCTCCTAAATAGCAAAAATTCTTTATAAGATCTTGATTAATTATTAAGTTATTAAAAGTGTCCATGAATATATTGATCAACCCTTGTACATGTACTGAATTCACATTTTGATGCACAAGTCAAGTACAACTTGAAATCTTTAATCTTTTAAATGTCCTGAATGGAATTGTCTAAATTTTGTTTAAAGACAGTCCATTACTTATGGTTAGGGTCATTTCAGGTTTAAAAATTGAAAGTTGGCCAAAATTAAATAGCCTTAAAAGTTAATAGGGTTAAAATACAAGTATTACAAGTATATGTATACATTAACACAAGGGAGAGTATTAGAGTTGTGTGACATTTTCTTTTCAAAGAAAAATTACCTCTTTGACATAATTGGCTTGGGGTTTGGAGGAGATATGACCAATTTTCAGGGTATATGATTAAGGACAATGTACAGATTCAGTAAAAATAATAGATAATTAAGTTACAGTTGTCCAATTCCCTTCCACACTTAAAATACACAGATTCCAAAGACTTTTTTTCATAAGATATGATATCCGAGCAATGGAACAGATTTGTTTATAATCTTTTTTACAACATTTTTATCTCCAAATTTTTTATGGAACATACAGTTGCTAGTTTGTTTATGGACCTTTTTTTGTCACACTATTTCAACCTTCATTTTGTTGACTTACACATTTAGTGTTGTTACTGTCCAATGACCTCTAGTCATTGGGTGGAGTTTCAAGTTGACTTTGTCAAGGTCAAGGTTACTGAGGCTAAAAATAGATTTCTCTACTTTCTAGCTTTTACAAAGTAATGAATGGGAACATTCATTGGTTTAACTGATATTCTTGTTTGTAAACAATGGCCCTGGAAATGGTTGCCAGTGGAGATGTTTACTAAATTTGAATAATTTCTGCTGATTCAGCTAATATTTTAACAGCCACCATATGTCTGTTATTGTTTTTGAGTGAGTTTTTAAACATTTGTTACTTCATTGTTTTGATTTTGATATGTTGATGTCCATATTTTTTTTGCAGATTTTTATTATTTACAGTTTAACAATTTTTTCTATATACATGTAATCCATTATGCTTTATGAAAAAAGTATATATAATAAAGTTTGTTAACTTTTTAATACTTGTTTTATTTGTTTTAACTTGACGATTCAAAGAGAAGAGGTATTAATTCACACAGGTGTCAGCTTTACACTTAAGTTAAGTTTTTGAGTGCAAGTTTGTATCTCCAAAACTACTGAAAGGAATGGATTAAAACTTCACACACTTATTTGAAAGTATAAAAGGATGTCACTGTCAAAAATCTATAACTATAACATGGATTTTGATAGAATTATGGCCCTTTTTTAACTTAGAAATTTCTTTATTATCTAGGCTCCTGTTTTACTTTCAAGCACTGAGAATAATCAGGCATGCTGTCCTTCAATCCAATTTTAATTCTTTATAATCTTTTGAGTTTATCACAAAAACAAGTTGTATAAAGTTTTGTGACTGATGGAGAGCCTGGCGTTCTAACGCTACAGTACTTATGTGGCTACTCCATTGTTCTTTCAAGCCACATAAAGGAAAATAGACACATAACTATCCAAATGTAAGTTCAGACAGATGGACATCTGTCCATGGAGAAGTGATCCCTATTATGTTGCCACTACTCTGTAGCAGGTGACACAAAAACAAAGTGAATAAATAATAAAAATTATGCACACATGTTTTTGGTCAGAACCTTAATCAAATGGTACTTAAAACATGAAAAAAATATTTCCAGTTCCGGCATATATATTGAAACACCTCAGCAGTTCCTTTAATTTAAACTTTCAATACCAAAAGTATTGTTCATCAGGATGGCTTTGACAAGTGATGGTAATTATGCCATTATAATGACTAAGTATTACTGTAAAAGGCAAGTATGAGAATGATAGCCCCACAACCCCCTATAAATAGCTGAGCTTAAATCTTGTATATGTAGTCCAGTTAGCTCAATAGGTAGAGCATTTGACTGTGAATCGGGCAACCCAAATTTGTTTCCCAGATGGTGAAGGTCACTTCCATTGTGATTTATTATGAAATCTTTTCTATGGTCATTCCCACTGTACTTCTGCTCTGGCATGTACAGAAGTTTCAGTTTCTTCCCAAAAGGAGGCAACTAGTACTGGTAAACTGCTTGACAGTCAGCCCAGGAACAGTCAGCCCAGGTGGCTGAACTGTGCTCTGATAAATTCAATGTGACTTACTGTCATGATATGAAGTGAAAACTACCAATATAGTGTGGAAACAGTGACAAATAAACACCAAATTAAACATAACATTTTAATGCATGTGATTTATCATAAAACAACATAATATATGGCAAAAAATAACATAGAAAGAATACAAAGTTTTGCTTGGTATGCAAATAAGTACATCAGGGTACGTAATTCATAACAGTTACATTCGTAAGTTCATCAGTGTACAGAGTTCAAAACAGTTACATTCAGCTGTTGTCTTTAACTTAAATCATCCTTAATAAAAGACAAGAAATGTTCTCATCAACAAAAATGCTAAATTCATGATAAATTTATGATTTTAACAACCAAAAAATGTATTCTCAGAGAAATAGTGGAAATAATGATGCTATAAATCAGCAAACAGAGTGGGTGATAGTTCACAATCATAATTTGAAACATAAACATCTCTTATTAACAACCTAAACATTTGAAATAGCCACAGTTTTCATCAAGTCAGTGACCTTGTTCATGCGGTCATTTATGAAATTATACATTAACATTCACAATGATTTGTATAACTATATAGTTAATATATTCAATAAGAAATTGATTGGATCAAAGATAAACTAAAGTTGACTATTACATGCAATAATTAATCAATTCAATTATTAGTAAAGATTTAGTTATGTAATGCCCACAATATTTTATACCTAGAATCATTCTTATCTGCTTAAACATAAAGAAGGCGGTGCCTATTTAATTAAAGAGGAGTGTTTAACAATAGAAAGGTGTGCCCACTATGTGTGTTTTATAACATCACAATGGATGTAATTACAATTTTAAATACAATTTTTTTATCACCTAAAAGAGGCTACCCTACAACAAGTATGTATAAAACTAATAAAAAACTATAAAAAAATCAATCTTATATTTAACTTTAAAGCCAAATTGAAATCTTACTTTAAGTGATGATGAAAAGACATATAAATACAGATATATTTGTAAATTTTTATAATAAAATACATGACTCACTGTGAAGAATAATTCCTAACACATGCAGAGTTACAATACTGGTTACAAAATATACCAGAATGATTATAAGTAAAAATATTTCAGATCTAGAAGAAGATATTTCAAAATATAAATACTCAAACATGTATAGATAGACAGATCAAGTAAAGAGAATGATTAAGTTAAAACTACTTTGTATATATAGAATTATACCTAATATATTAAGAAATGCATAGTAAAAAGTGACATGCCAGCATGAATAGAAATGGTTGGGAAAACTTTGAATTACTGCTGTCAAGTAGAAAGTGCACACTTTACAAAACATAACCCTGTGGCGGATGCAAATGTTGCTGCCTTAATTTCAGGGTTATAAAAAGTTGGAAAATGATGCTTTGTTCAGAAAAGGAAATAAAGAATGGTCAAAGAAAAATTTAACACCTTATATAAATTCAAAATTTGATGTCTTTATGAAAATGGCCTATTAATTAATGGTTATGGAAATTTCAATCTGATTAAAATCAGCTATAAATAATGCTACACATAAGGACCATACTACCACCAATAGGTTGTAATTTTCTCATGATCTTTCAAACAACCAATCATCAGCAAGCTTTCACAATTTCGAAAGCGATGTAGTTTCTAATTTTAACCGTTGGAAAACCAATTGTGAGTAAGCATTCAAGAACAGACATGGCGTTATCCATATAGCCCACAAGTAACCTGGAAAACAATCTTTCCCATTAAAAACTGAATCTATATTTCCAGTTTATTTGTATCAAATTACTTCAATCATTTTTTTTTTCTAACAAAAATGAACAACTTGTTTTACTTCCACGGAGAACAATATTTTGACTTCATTAGCAGACCTTGGTATTGATAAGTAATAAACAGAGCTGACCTTTGAAATAACATCTAACAAACTATACAAATAACATGTACATTGTATTTAATCCGTAGTCAAATTTACCTAACAATGGTATAAAGCTGTATAACTTTAATGACTGTAATTATGAGAACATTTGTTATCTTTTATAGCAATCACACCTAAGCATCAAAAATTATGCCAAAACATCAAATGAATTCAAAGGTTCAGAATTTTATTCTTAGCAGAAAAAGTTGAGGGGAAAAATTATTGCTGTCGTATTTGACAAGATGCCTTTCGACGAAATGTTGTGCACCAAAATTATTAGTGTATTTCTTCCACACATTCTACACTGTAGCAATATATTCTTTGATCAGGAATGTAGATATAAAAACCGGGATTTCAAGGTAGAAGAAGAACAATTTACATTATTCAACATGAAGAAATCAGTGTTAGAGATAATATTTACAACTGGGACAAGAAAAAAACATTAACTACACATATATTACATACATGCACTAACAAATGCTGTCTCTAAAAAAACGAGTATTTTTATCAAAGTAAAAAGGCAAGCATAAAATGTTCCCAATATGGGAAGAAACGTGTTTTCCTTTTCACAATAAGTGTACTTGTTTAATCATACATCTACGTTAAAGCATAAAAAGGGTTGGTCTATCACCTCAATATTTCAGTCGTAGCAAAATAAAACATTTCAAAAATGCTTACAAAAATTCTTTCAGCCTTAGCAAAATAGAACAATTTAAAATGCTTACAAAAATTCTGTATTTAAATGAAACACTGTTGAAACAAACATTTGCAATTTGTATACACTATTAAAGTAATGGACCTTTCCAGTAAAACACATTTTATACAAATTGGCTAATTGGCTAGCCAAATGCTACACTGGGATAATACAATGTCATTGATCGACCTGGTTTACACAGAAGAACACATGGTTTTGTTTGTGATACTGTTTGTGAACAGCTGACCACAAATAGCAATGAACAGAAAAGACCGGGCTAAACTTCTCCCTGCAATTAACAAACAATAAAAACTGAAAAGGTCCCCTAATTTCGACCAACATTTCAAGCTGTAACTGTAAAAGTTTGTTTGTACCAGGGAATAAACATAGAAAAACCCACATTTGCCGAGTTCCGGGTAATATTTATTACAAATCAAAGTATTAAGCATTAAAATAATGATACTTGTTAACAGACCACTTCTCGGAAAAGAGGGGGTTAACCAGTTGAAATGATAGGAGTAATGTATTGTCTACAGCACAAAGAGTCTTTAACTTTCATAATAATTTCAACATTGAAACAACCAATATAAATAGGTAACAAAACAAAACTTGCTTTCTTTAAATGAAAAAAAAAAACACCATTTTTTAAACATAATTTCAACAGAACAATGAAACATGTATATGGCATATATTATATAGCACCATATCTGCTATAACATAACTCATTCCAGCACCTTTAAGCATTATAAATAGTTCTAAACCTTTAACCTGTTCAATTTGTGTAATACGAGATTTCAATATCAAAATTGAACTACCAACAGTATACAGACTGGTCAGACTGCATGGTATGCTTTTTTTGATCTGGCAGTATACTGGTGGCTAAAGCAAAGTCCCTATATTTGCTAATATTCAATGGTTTACAGAATATATTGTTCTCCTGGTAAATGACCTTGGATAAACATTTCTGTTTTGTTACATTTCAGTGTGTGACAGATCATTCTCTATATAGGTATATATTTACATGTATGTAGGTTGACCTATTTTATATCACAAAATCATTATTATTTTTTGTTGTAAACTAATTTGCATGGTTTTCATCGATAGGTCAATCTACGAATTTAAGATCCAATGAAATTTCATTCTGTCTGCTGTAAGATTATTTTGCATCACATTTTTTTTTCCTTTTTACCTTATGGGAAAAGAATTTAACAACCCACGAAAATGTTCTGTGTGACAAAACCATGAAATTTTATGCCCATGAAATTAAGTGAATTCACAGAAGTTAAAAGGTACTGTAATAGTAAGAACACAAATCAAAATAAAATTTATCTCAAAACCCTTAACAGTTTTTGTTACTTTAAAACAAAAATTCATTTATAAAGGTGTGTTTCGTAAAAATCTAAACTGCTGGATTGTAGTTCATGAAAATAATTCATCTAATGTAGTATTTAATAATTTGTTTCTACCTGCGGATAAGCTGGGAACATTAGCCAAGTTCTGCATAACATCTATTGGCTATGCATATAAACTTTTTATTTGCAAACAAAATGCACTGTATCTATAAATAAACAAATCCATTACAAGAATGAAAAAAGTTATAAATAGCACTAGTACAATAAAATATAATGTACATAATTTGTGTAATATCATAACTATAAATATCATCAATATTGTAAAGTATATAATTATTTCATACATTTCCCTTTAACACTAACACTTTTTTACTTACTTGTAGATATATAACCAAAAAAAAGGGCATGCAATGAATTGTGAAATTGATTTTTGGATGCCTAAAGGCTGTGAACTATTTTCTTGCATAACAATGGCATATCTACAGAAAACTCACAAAGAAAAAAATACATTTGTCTCATTGCATGTTCACAAACTATATAAATTTACATGCTTTCTAAAACAGACACAAAATTTCAGAAAAAAATGCTGTGGGCCACTTTAATTTTTATGAAGTTAGATATGATGTATGATTCAATAGACATGATGTGTGTATTGTGTATAATGCAATATACATGATATAGATACTGTGTATGATCCAATAAACATGATGTACACAGTATATGATGCAATAGACAGGATGCAGAAGTGTATGATCCAGTAGACATGATGTAGACATAATGTATGACCTAATAGACATGATGTACATATGGTGTATGATGCAATAGACATGATGTAGACCTAAGACACGGTGAATGATACAACAGACATGTTGTTAACATAATGTATGATCCAATAGACATGATGTTTTGTATATTCTAATACACATGGAACCTGATCTAATATACATGAATATAATTCAATAGAAATGATGTATGGCATAAGAACATGATTAATGACCATATGGTGTAATAGACATGATTGATAAGCAACATAACATGATCTAATAGACTTGACACTTGAAATTTCAGACATAATTTATGATCTAACACTAACATCCTAATTCACAACTTTACATAATCTCTTTTCACTAACACTATAAACAACACAATACATGTAAATAAAAATCTACACATTACATAAAATCCAAGTTGAGATGTAAGTTTATAAACTATAAAGGTATATTAGTAGTAATAGTACTTTAATAATATTTATCAACCATTTTTTCTTTCTTGTGTCTTTTTTGTTTGCTTTCCCATAAAAATTTCAGATCTTGAAATAAATCTCATTTTACTTCATTACATATATTCATCATACAGTTTTACTTGATTTTACACTCCTTGCTATAGGCGTGTCTAAATTATATACATTCATATACACTGGAATACTATCAGCTGATTGGATATCTTGTTCACATGACTCCGCCCCATCAAGAGGCTCTGGTGGGGGTGGTTTGCGTCTCTGAGGTTCTTTGAGGGCAGTTTTATTCTGAGTCAATGGATTTCTACACACTACAATATCAAGACTTTCCCCTGCATCAGCAATTAAAGGAATTGCTAAACTACAGTCAAAATCTCTTGTCCTTATTTTGTTTATCTGAAACAAGATAATATATATACATAAATATAATAAGTTGAAACAACACAGGTTTGTTGCATAACAGTCAGAGCCACAATACAAATCAAATAATAAAGGACAATCAGAGAGGGTATAAGCTTTTTTCAGTACATTTTTTTTTCCATGACAGCAATAATATTTTCACAAGCTGCAATTACTAATAGCTCTTTTGATAATGAAGTAAAATTCAGAAAATTTGCTTACACTATAAAGCTAAGAAATTTTCTTTTAGTGCTATGTCAATTTTTTCAGTTTTTACTTTAAACTGCTGATATTTCTATAACCAGTACTGCACAATGTTCAATGGCAGGACTTTTTCCTTCCATACAGCCAAGGGCTGTCTACAGGAAAATTCTTTAAAACCAAAAATTTAATCTACATGAGTTTTTACCTCCTTTTTTACTGAACAACAGTTTATTTTTTTCCTTAATTTAACAAACCATGTATCCCTGCAAGCTCTGCATGTATGTTTAAATGTAAAGTTTAATAGTAATATAGAAAACTAGAAATGATATCATAGGCCACGGCATTCCCTACATTCCACTGTTATATTAGTCTAGTGACTGGTAACAGACAGTGAAGCAGCTAAACAGGCAAGTAAGGCCAAATCTTTATCCCCTGCACCTAATTAGGGCATAAATAAACTTTATAACTTTCCTTTGCAAGTCACTGCACATGCTGTTTCTTTACACTTCATTTATTTTATATTCTGTATGATAATACAACTGTATGATAATACAACTGACATATAGCTCTTATATTCATAGATATAATACAGTGCTATAAGCTATAAAATTATCTGTTTATAGAAATATATTACCTGTAATATTCTATCAAACTGTTTAAGTCCCATGACCTCTGCAACAGATCCTGGGCGAATTGCACTTATATAGACTCCTTTATCATACACGCCGTCAGATACTCCAAAACCAAAGTCATCTGTCGGCGAATCTTTCACCAATGTTACTCTATGTAACTGAATTGGCTGAGGTGAATAGACTGTTTTTAATTGATCTTTTAACGGCATATTGTCCAGATCACGTGCACTAGCACTACTTGCACACCGTCTTTGCCGTCTATCAACAACATAAGGTCGAAGGTCGTTTTGACTAATAGCACCACGACTCGTACTGTGTGACCAATTCCTACGTACTTTCTGCCTCTCTTTTTTTGCTCCATTATTGCGTGATGATCGTCTATCTAAACTACCCGTACTATGCTGTTTATCTGGAGAAGGGATTTGTTCAATAATTTCAGCTTGCGCCTTAAAGTTTCTAAAGGCCCTTGACCAATCATCCGCACCTGGACTAGAATCCTCACTCCGACTGCTTTCATGGTCGCCTTCCCATGCTTCATCAGATATCTGTAGTTCAGACATCTTCTTTCCAAAATCATCTCCGGTGTCGGTTGAATCTGACGAGTAGGGCCGTGACCGTCTATGTCGGTTTTCACGTGATTTTGGCACAGATGTGCTATTTTGGCGGGGTTTAAGTACAGCATTACATTGTCCGTGATGGGATAAAGCATTGATATCTTGACCAGAACTGTCCCACGAATCTAGTGCACTGTCTACACTGAAAACTGGTGTCGTGGATTTACAAGAATCTTCCCTTAATGCCTGTAACAAAACAAAACATAGTGTCACCAAATTATACCTAATAAATATGTTTACTTGTATTAGTTTTTACAAATATCAAGACTGCAAAAACCTGTTTTCAATATTTGATATAATTCCACGCATTTTGCCTCAAGAAGCCTAATCAGAGCAATAACAACATGTAATAGGTAACAGATGTCACATCAAACACTGCCTTTGTCGGCAAAATAAAACATAACGTTAATATTTGCTTTTTTTAATACTGGGTGTTTGTAAACAATATCAGGAAAAAGCTATGAAAAGTCCAACATGACCACATACATTTATAAAAGATTTTTTTCTGATCAATATTATCAATTCAAGCATGTTATTCAAGAAACTTACATCAGTTTTGCTGCTATTATTACTTTGGTTTCCCTGGCTCTCTGAAAACAAATGTATATGAACTGTTTTATTTCTGGTCCTGATGAAGGTCAAGTTCGACCAAAACTAGTTGACACTAATAAAATATTGTAAACCTGTCCTGGTTTTGACGTGTATTACTCCTTTAGCTTGAACTTACTATGGTTGTTTTATTTCTACATTTATGGTTGAACTTCAGTCAAAAACAAGTTCAAAAACATGTTTATCATTGATCATTAAAACTTCACATATGGTAATAAATAACAAACATATGAAACAAAAATATAACTAATCTATCGGCAGAACGGCATAAAATTATAATAATGAGGCTTTTATGACATACTTATATAAATAAAGAAATAATGAATACTCTTTGGGAAAAAAAAAAAAAGTTAAATATATACTTTGCTTATCATGGCGAGCAATTTTCAGTGTGACTAGATCCCCCGCAGAATGTAGCATATCTTTAGCTTCCTCCAGAGTTTTACCAGTCGTGGGAATACTGTTGATGGCAAGCAGACGGTCACCAGTCTGTAAAGCTCCAGTTCTGTAACACATTATGTATATGTGAAAAAAAACCACCAAAAAAACAACCCAAAAAACATGCTTATGCATACAAAAAATACTTTTACATATCTAAGATTGGTGATAAGACATCAGTCTGCATATAAAATGTCAAAAGATGCAATAACTAGACTTAGTCTAAACATGTTGATAGCAGTCTGATTTTTATTTTTATATACTCTCTTACACTTTTATACAATATAATTATTTACCTGCCTTTGAACTTGCAATGGATCATAAATATTTTTTAAGGTTTCAAATTTCAGTATCAAAATTCAAACATACGAATGTATAAACACTCTGAAATCTCAAGATATGTCAGTAAATAAACACTTTAAAAAGTAATAAGATGGCAGGATAGAATAATAAAACAGTCAAAATGTTTGAAAACTTCTTGAAATATAAAAATCGGAAGTTATAAAGACTTACTTGGCAGCTAGACCACCTTCAACCAGGGCAGATATGACAATTGGGTCAGTGGGGTCATCAGTTCCTGATATTGTGACCCCTAGAGGACCACCATGTCTCTCCAACTCAACTGTATACGATATCAACTCTTCTCCATTCACATCTGAAATGTTGTTATCAAGTACAAATGAGCCGCACCATGACAAAATCAACATAATGTGTTTGCTACCAGCATGGATCCAGACCAGCCTGCACGTCCGCGCAGTCTGATCAGGATCCATGCTGTTTGCTATCAGTTTCTCTACTTGTTATAGGGTTTGTAAGCGAACAGCATGTATCCTGATCAGACTGGAGGAAGACCTTAAGTGCCATCCCTTCATGGATGCCGTGTGTACTCTAATTGTCCAAAACAGACAAAATTTACATCATTTCATGAAGGAGAACAGACTTTAAATATCTTTCTAAGTAACATTTAATAATATCACATCTAATGTTAAATTTAAGCCACTACAGTCTTGGAGCCGTATCTCTAGACGTTTACAGAAATCATGTCCACAAAAGGAAAAATAAAAAAAAAATTTCCTTTGATTTTAACATTTTTTTTCTCATTATCTTAAATAAATTGTTACACAGAGATGAATTAGACTTACATGTCTTAAAGTGCATTTTAGCGAGTAAAAAAAACGTTTATAGCATTAAATCAATCAAGCACCTTGTCTGGTATATACCAAAATACTGTATTAAGTGTTGTGCTTCAATTGAAACACAACTCCTCAAAATATGGCAAACTAAATGAGCCGTGTCACGACAAAACCAACATAATGGGTTTGCGACCTGCATGGATCCAGACTAGCCTGCGCACCCGTGCAGTCTGATCAGGATCCATGCTGTTCGTTTACCAACTCTATTACAAGTAGAGAAACTGATAGCAAACAGCATGAATCCTGATCAGACTGCGCGGATGCGCAGGCTGGTCTGGATCCATGCTGGTCGCAAACCCACTATGTTGTTTTGTCATGGCACGGCTCAAATCATCTATTTACCTATGCAGAGGTCTTCCCTTTTCAACTTGAGTTTTATGATCTCATCATCACCTTTCAACAATGACACAGCTTCTTCTATACTTAGATTATTTGTCCGTATGTCATTTATAGACAGTAATTTATCACCTGCTTGGACAGACCCACACCTGAAACATATATGTAATATTAAAGAAGAGCTGTCAAATGATATCAGAGTGTTCTCAATGTATGATAAGAAAGGCTATAAAATTAATTTCTCAATTTCTGAGATTAAACATTTTATCTCAGTAACTTCAAAATCAATGTTAATTTCTAAATGTAAATTGTAAGTGTAAAATTTGTTGTTGTTTTTTTTACAAATAACAAAAAAACTCACTGGGTAAAAAAACAACAACATGTACATTGAATGATGGAATGTTTGGCCATAGGCTTTAGATGATCTGAGCCGCGTCATGACAAAACCAACATAGTGCGTTTGCGACCAGCATGGATCCAGACCAGCCTGCGCATCCGCGCAGTCTGATGAGGATCCATGCTGTTCGCTATCAGTTTCTCTACTTGCTATAGGGTTTGTATGTTGGTTTTGTCATGACGCGGCTCATCTAACATTGACCAGTCTAGGCATCTCATAAGAGGAATGCTGGTGCTGATAATGTTATGTACCAGTATATGCCGACAGTTCAGAGCCTGGCTTATCTGTACCTCTGTCTAGTGTGACCATATTTTTTGGTACTGATAGTCTTACAACGAATAATACACTGATACAAATTAAGGGAGGAGTAAGAAAAAGTCAATTATATAAACTTAATAGGATAAAGGTTTATAGATTAGGCACAACAGTGCTATTTCTTATTTCAATCTCACCAATCACTTGCACTGTGAGTTTAATAAATCATACAGTTTGACTGGTAGTCTTACACAAAGAGTTTGACCAATCACTGACAGCCTTACATAGAGAGTTTGACCAATTACTGGTAGTCTTACATAGAGAGTTTGACCAATCACTGGTAGTCTTAAATACAGAGTTTAACCAATCACTGGTAGTCATAAATACAAGGGTTGACTATTCACTAGTAGTCTTTAATAAAAAGTTTGGTAACTAACATTTAGTGTCAAGTCATGAATAAAATGAAATTGCACACCTACCTGTAAGCGACACTTCCTTTCTTAACTTCAGTAATAAGTAATGGATTTCCTAGCTTGGTTTTCACTGAAATTTATGTTTTAGTTCATTAATGTTTTAAAATCAAATTGCAATAATGAACCTCAACCTCTTTCTCACTAGTTAACAAAAATCTTTCATTTACTATCTAGCTATATATACTTATTAAATTGGTTGATGAGTACACTACAAATTCATTGGTCAATATTCAACAGCAGGAATACTTATTAATTTACATTAGATATTTCAAAATTCACCATTATCACACAATAATGCAGAGCAATGCACATTACATAAGTATTTGAAATAAACATCCATGCAGACTACATCAATGAAAGTAATACTCTAACATGACAATATATCTCCACTCCCTAAGTAATGGGTGCATAAGAAAAAAATACCATATACATGTATGTTCAAATAGCAATCTTGAATTACTCACTACTCAATGTTATCCCAATTCCACCTGGTTTCCGTGGCAACTTGACAACGAATGTTCCACTACTTGCCATTACAGTGTCTGCAATATCAAACTCTATCTCAAGTCTGGCATGTTGCCAAGATTCTTGAAGCATTTGATTGACCTCGTCCATGGTCTTCTCACAGACATCCACACCATTGATAGTGAGTAACCTGTCACCTTCATGTATAACACCACATCTAAAATATGTACATGATGATGATGAAAAGATAAATCTTGGTGTTCAAACCAAAATTATTAACACATTTGATGAGACCTTGACCCCTAAGCCTGCTTAAGACAATTGAAATTGATTCTACAATGTGACCAGCACAGACCAAAACTAGCTGGACATTTTATGTAAATATAAGTATAAATAGTGCCTCAAAATAATACAATTTTTCCCTTCTTTTAATAATTTTTTAAGGGGAGCGGTGGCCTAGTGGTTACTGGTTAGGGTGTCTGCCTCTCAACCCAGGGATCATTGATTCCAGGGAAGGGAATTCGAAAGTGTTTAATATAAGTTACAAGAACTTGCATTCGAAATTGAGCTTAAATAAATATGTTTAAACCAATAAAATTTTGACTGTTGAAAATTTAAAAAATAGATTTTAGGTCTGATTTACCTTTCTGCTGCAGTGTGTGGCTCTAATCTTGTTACTACTGGAGCATCTTGCAGTATACAAGTAGGCGGGACTGTAGATTCTAGGACCAGCCCTAGCCCCGCCCTCTCACCATACAGGACTACCTCATGAATATCCATACGGCACACCTGGTTACTGGCAGTAAATACTGAGGTAGAAGCTGATCCGATTGAGGCTGTAAGGATTGATTTACATATTAAATTACTTACTGTTATAATACTGTGTGTAATGTCGCTTTTTATTGGATAATCAATTTATATAGTTTAATATACATGCTGCTGTCAATTTATGGAGAAATCTCAATTTTTTTTCTTTCAAAAAATGGAAATTTGCTGTATTATAAATCTGTTATAAATATTCCTTACATTTTATACGACCTAGTGGCTCAGGTTATATTTCCAAACAACAATTACATAGGGACTGTATAACATGTCAAAAATCTTTGTAACTAATAAAATAAAGATAAACTACTGATTTCCAATAGGTTTCTACTTTCATCAATTAAACTTGATGAAACTAGAGACAAGAAACAGTAATTTCTCAATTAAATCTTTAACAAAGTTGTGGCATTACAATCATTTTCCAAAAAACTTTATTTTGTAATAACATCTTAACCTAGCCAGCTAATGGCTAGTAGATACACATGTGACCAATGCAGACCACGTTCAGCCAAGACATCCAAGTCATCCGATTATGATCTGCAATGTTTGCTATTTAGTACATATTTCCAAATTTCCCCTTCAGATGATGAATGGTGTTGATCAGATTGAAAGATGGACAAGTCCATTCAAGATAATTTAGGTGGTGAAGGATAATTCTACAAATATTTGATCAAACAAGCAAATTCGTTGAATTTATATCCCCCGCCGAGTACTGGTTATTATTAACACAACAACTGAAGACATAAGGCTATGCAACAGACCAGAACCATTTGATCAACTTTGGCAGGGGACCACCCTAGGATCATTCCTGTAAAGTTTGGTTGCTGTGCAGTCATTTGTTTCTGAGGAGATGTTGTTTAAAGAAATTGCTGACGACGCATGACGACGGACGGTGGGGGATCACAATAGCTCACCTAGATGTAAAAACCTCTTAACCTCCAGACTTCATTATTCGTAATTTAGTGATGTTGATCATTATTCCTGTAAAGTTGGTTGATTCTAACTCAAGCACTCAAGGATCAAATAACAACATAATGAAACAGTTTTTACTAAGTCAAGGGAAATAACTCTACAAATACTGGATAAATCCACAAGCGAAACCCAGGAACAAACTAAATATGCTGAGCAACTTTCCAATAAGGTTAAATGACTCTATGTCAAATCCTTTTTGAGTTACATGCGACACATGTTGAAAATTGCAAACATTTTCTAAGTCAAGGGCAATAACTCTAAAAATACTAAATAAATCCAGACGAAAATACCCAGGTGCACAACTACACATGCTGATCAACATTCCTGTAAAGTATCATGACTTTAGGTCAAATACTTTTTGAGTTACATGTGACACAAGTTGAAAATTGCAAAATTTTACTAAGTCAAGGGCAATAACTCTAAAAATAGTAAAAATATCCGGACGAAAATACCCAGGTGCACAACTACACATACTGATCAACATTCCTGTAAAGTTTCATGACTCTAGGTCAAACACTTTTTGAGTTACATGCGACACAAGTTGAAAATTACAAAATTTTACTAAGTCAAGGGCAATAACTCTAAAAATGCTAAAAATATCCAGATGAAAATACCCAGGTACACAACTACACATACTGATCAACATTCCTGTAAAGTTTCATGACTCTAGGTCAAATACTTTTTGAGTTACATGCGACACAAGTTGAAAATTACAAAATTTTACTAAGTCAAGGGCAATAACTCTAAAAATACTAAAAATATCCAGAAGAAAATACCCAGGTGCACAACTTCACATGCTGATGAACATTCCCATAAAGTTTCGTTGAATTCCAGCCATTAGTTGCAGAGAACTACTCCGGAAACGAAATTCGGACGTTTTACTAAGTCAAGGGCAATAACTCTAAAAATACTAAAAATATCCAGACGAAAATACCCAGGTGCACAGCTTCACATGCTGATCAACATTCCCATAAAGTTTCGTTGAATTCCAGCCATTAGTTGCAGAGAACTACTCCGGAAACGAAATTCGGACGGACGGATGGACGGACGGAAGGACGGAAGGACGGACGGACAACGCCAAAACTATATCCCCCTCCCGATTCCATCGGCGGGGGATAATAACATCATTACACATTACCTACTTTTTGTATATTTATCAAAATATTATATTTGATTATATTTACAGTACACTTTTGAAACAATGAATGTTTCTTAAGCCTAAAGGCTTCAGTTCAATTGGTCTTCTTTTTTCTATGACAGCTGACTGAATATTCATTTCTTTACCTACAGTCTTCAAAGGTTCAATTCCCAGCATGCCAGCTGCTGTTCATTCTTTTTGACATAAATGAAAATACTTTACACTTAACACTGCTGAATTTGTGTTACAGACATGCCTGGACTTTAACATGAATCAGTCCGTTCAAAGTATGATGGAATTTCAATATTGGAATACAAAACTTGAGCTACCAACAGGAAAGAGCCTGGTCAAATTGCAGGGAAAAGCAGACTGGCCTGGCTCTATACTGGTGGCAAAGGCTTATCACTTTTATTTCCAGAAGGTTAAGGATTAACTTTTGCATGAATAAAACATATCATTTAGCAATTTAAAAACCAAATAAAATTACTGTATGATTTAATAAACTGAATTTCAAATATAAAATATATAGAAGTAAAAAAGTGTGACCATGCAACGACAGAGACAGCTTTGTGATTGAATAAACTGTGAACATTACTGTGACAGCAAAATCAGTGTAAAATTGAATTACAAAAAGGTGAAAATTTCATATGAATATATTGGTACAAAAATAATTGCTGAACTTGCCAACTGCCTGAAAAAAAGCTTTAATATATAGTTTAGGACTTAACAAAATTCCTATTCCAGGTCAATACTACACTACACCATTTGATTCTTTTACTCTCAGTCAGGTTATATTCCATATTCCATTATTCATAATGATTCTCACTGGTCTGATTGTTTGTAGACTATCAAATGATCTATTTCCCCCAAAACAATTCACCATTAAAGAGGCAACAGTCATTGTCAAATAACAGAATAAACAAACAGATATTGATGATCAATTTTATAATAAATTTTAAATTTTGTTACAGCAAGACTGCTGGATAGTTTGTTTTAATATTGTCATACTAGTCTAGTATGTGGAGAGAACTGAAGCATGTTTTTCTGACAATTTGTCATTCAAAACAAAAATCAACAAAACATAAACTAAATCAACTGTTTTAAATCATGTACTTTTATTACATGTTTTACATGATTTTTATTCACTGCTGCTAATTTTAAGTATTGGTTTAACTTACAATGTAAATTTCACATTGCAAGAATGATAAAAGATCATCAAATTTGAAAACAAATAAAGAACCGAAATGCTGAATAAAAACCCAAATGCTGAATAAAAGAACCAAACGGCACAATATGTACCACAAGATCCGACTCTCTTTTCCGACTTCATCCACGATTTTCTCCTTTTATTGAGCATATCTGTAGACAAGCGTCCGGAGAATCCGATGGAACTGTAACTCTTACACGACCCAATACCGTTGAAGAGGGAGGGGTTGTTAAGGACGGGAGAGGATATAGAAGGTAATATGCTGTTCTTCTGGAAGCCTAGAAGGATGGTAAACAGGCAAAACATGCAACATAATATAATGGGATAGGATGTATTTTGTATCTTATCAGGCATATCTGTGAAGTGATGTTTCAAACAATATCTAGTACTTGATATCTGATTGATAAACTCTCTAAGATACCTTAAAGATGACCCACCTTAGAAACATGAGCAATTATTTCCCTTAGATACCTCAAGATTACCCCCCTTTTTAGTTTTTTTTACCTGGGTGATTATCTCCCTTTAATCATCCTTAGATATCTAGACCTAGGTAATTATTCCCTCAGATACTGATGATTATCTCCCTTAGATATGTAGATGATAATTTCTGATTATATAGATACCTGAGAGTTTATTTCAAATAAAAGATGGTTTTTTTGGTTTCATTTTTTGTTGTTGTTTTTTCAAAAGAAAAAAATCCCTCATTTTTAGTGCAAGGAACCATTATTTTGTATGATTCTTGGCAGTACAGTCTTTATATAATATCTACAATTATATATGAGATAATTATTTTACAAGCATTTTCATTTGCATACATATAAATAACTTGTAATAAAATAGTATCAGCAAGATAAAATTGTAAGCTTAACTGAACTTGCTATATAAAATCCTATATAGGAATAACAAACTTTACTTTTGAAATTAAACTTTTAACTGAACGCGATAAATACAAATAGCAGTCTCCATATAAATAAATAGGAAACCTTTATCCATGTAGAACCTCAAACAAACAAAAAAATTATTCTTTTTAAAGAAATTACAAAACATGCATGTGAATTTTCCGTGGAATAATGGAAAAAGTACAGAACAGAGAAAGTTATAAATATCATGCTTTTTAATAGAAATAGTTTACAGAGTACCGACAACAGCTTTATAAAGTAACAACATTTACTCTGATGTTGTGTATAAGCAGACATATTGATTTTATCATGCATTGAAATTTAAGAAATTTAACATTGATAAAAATCATGAGAAAATTTTTATAAAATTACGCACCTGCATTTAAGAAAATCGTGTCCGTCGACATTTTCTGATCCACTAATCTCGATGGTAGAATCTCCATTTTAATTTGGTCGCCATGAGACGATTTTAACAACTGCATCGCCTCGGCAACAGTCATGTGCTCAACAGAAGCGCCATCTATTGACAAGATTAGATCACCAACGTGTAGCGCTCCACATCTGAAATATTACAAATGTATTCAAATTTCTATTTTGGCTTTGCCTTCAAACGATGGACTTAAAAATTCATTAAAATCTAAACTTGATGTAGGCTTGATTAAAGCTGAAACATAGTATATTAATGAACACAGATCAATTCAGTTTTTTTATGAGCTGCTTTGATCTTTTGGTTTCACAGTAACACCTTATCTTAATTGATACATTTGTATTTGTTAAAACCCCCATTTTCAGTATTCACTATCAGAAGTGAACTTTTCTTGAAAATTTATTTCACTTCGGGGTCTTGTACTTAATTTTAACTCCACTGTAAGTATGTAGTCTACCAAATTGAACACACTTGCTTATATAATTTAGGTATTTTTGAAAAAGTTACAGTTGACCAAACAAAACAAAATTTTAATCATTCTCCAAAATCACAAAATCATTTGATCCTAATAAACTTTATATTAACAACAACAACAACAAGAGGATACCTGTCAGCCATGCTCATAGGTCGTATACTGTCTATACAGACACAATGTTTGCCTTTATGTCGACCATGAGACAGTGTTATACCCAGTGCTGCACCAGGAGTCTTGTCTATCTCAATTAATAACGGTCCACTAGCCTTCTGTACAGCATCTGTTTCAATGAAAGTGTTAATATAGAATTTATTTTACTTTGATTGCGCAGAAAGCTATAAACTTATAGACACACTTTCAAATTCCTTCCATAAACCAACCAGTACTAAGCAATGAGTGGATTTCTTGTTCAAGAAAATTGATTGTCATTTTTGGTAAATGAGAATCATTATTTTCTAAAAAAAATTTGATTTGCAAATTTCTGTATTTTTTTACAAATAAAAAGTATATTTTTGTGGCATAAAATTTTGAATGCAAACAAAACTTAATGCTCGTTGACATTTGCCAAAAATAGATCCTGTAACCTACATGAACTACAGAACTGTTAACTCCACTTATAACATTATCTTTTATAATGATGCTGCAATGGCAGTCCCAACTCTTTTCTAAATGCCTTTTTTAATGGCTGCCTCTCAGATATAAAGATATAAGCCGCGTCACGACAAAACCAACGTTATGCATTTGCGACCAGCATGGATCCAGACCAGCCTGCGCATTCGCACAGTCTGATCAGGATTCATGCTGTTCGCTATCAGTTTCTCTACTTGTAATAGGGTTGGTAAGCGAACAGCATGGATCCTGATCAGACTGCGCGGATGCGCAGGCTGGTCTGGATCCATGCTAGTCGCAAACCCATTATGATGGTTTCGTCGTGACGCTGCTCATATAAATTTGGCAGTCCCCTGAATTGTTTTTACTGTATATTAATATACTTCAGATTTGCAAACTTTAAAATCTTCATGTATTTAATCTAGTACTTTATAACAAGAAAACTAAAATTGTATCATTTACCAATCACAGAGACATCATATTCTATAGTAAATAATGTCTCTTCATTGCACTGAGTCAACAGCATATTCATTTCTGTAAGGGTCAAGGTCACTATACTAAAATCATTCACTGCCAGTATACGATCTCCGACCTTCAAGGAACCTTCCCTGAAAAAACAGATAGCAAAAATTTTAGATTATTACACATTTCAAGTAATCACTGTTAAAATGGTTTACAATCAAATCCTTTTGATCTGACTATTCAGTTTGGCTGGGATTTTATTATTATCATAATTATTATTTAATTTCATGTTAAATATTATTGCTCTAAACATTTCCAGAACAATCTGTCAGCTACTGCTAATCATCAGACAGTAGTATTAATGATACTATCTTTGTCCACAGATGACTTTGATTTAGAGAATTAAAAAGCACTACTCGAGTTGTTTGTCTCTTTGTAAACTACATAAACAGGGGTAGATGTTTTAATTAAACTAGAAATGTGTCCATAGGACACAGATGCCCCCACACGCCACTGTTCTGTCAATCTTATGACTCTAGGTCAAATATTTTTTGGACTACATGTGCCACAAGTTGAAAACTAAAAATCAACAAAGGGCCATAATTCTGTTAAATTTGGTCGCAGCAAAAATTCCTTCCTTTCCTACCATCTACACATTAAGGTTGTTAATCCCTGGAAGTTTAAGCAAAATCTGCCATCCGGTTTAAGAGGAGTTGCGTTCACAAAATTTCTACATAGTACATGTATATAATGAAAAAATCAACAAAGGGCCATAATTCTGTTAAATTTGGTTGCAGCAAAAATTCCTTCCTTTACTGCCATCTACACATTAAGGTTGTTCATCCCTGTAAGTTTAAGCAAAATCTGCCATCCGGTTTAAGAGGACTTGCATTCACAAAATTTCTACATAGTATATAGTGAAAAAATCAACAAAGGGCCATGATTCTGTAAAATTTGGTCGCAGCGAAAATTCCTTCCTTTACTACCATCTACACTTTAAGGTTGTTCATCCCTGTAAGTTTAAGCAAAATCTGCCATCAGTTTAAGAGGAGTTGCGTTCACAAAATTTCTACATTGTATATAGTGAAAAAATCAACAAAGTGCCATAATTCTGTTAAATTTGGTCGCAGCAAATATTCCTTCCTTTACTACCAATTACACATTCAGGTTCTTCATCCCTGGAAGTTTAAGCAAAATCTGCCATCAGGTTTAAGAGGAGTTGCGTTCACAAGATTTCGGGACGTACGGACGGACTGACGGACTTTCTATTAGGAGAGTAATAATGTGGCTACTCTATTGTTCTCTCTATTGTTCTTTTTAGCCACACAAAAGAAAATAGCCACATAAAAGCATTACGGAATGAATGACATCAAAGAGAAAGAAAGTTACCTATTGTCCCTCTAGCCACATAATTACTCTCCTGTGAGTGCGGACGGACGGACGGACAAGTGCAACCCTATATGCTCCCACATTGTGGGGGCATAAAAAAACCCATATTTTTTTGTAAGTGAAAATTTACTTATGTATTATATATGCTGGTAAACAACCAATTATAAACTTTCTTGAGCTCTTATATGGTCTCCAAAGCCGTCCAACTACATCAATAGGTAGAGCGATGCACTATGAACTGGGCTATCCTGGTTCGATTCTCAGACAGTGCAGGTCACTTTTGTTGTGACTGATCATGAATTCCTTTCTACTGTCATTCACACTGTACCTCTGCTCGGGCATATACAGAACTTATCAATTCCTTGTAAAAGTGCAGGCAACTAGTATGGTAAACTACTTGACAGCCTGTCCAGGAACGATGTGCTGACTAACTGTGCTCTGGTAAATTCATTGCAGCTTTCTGCCATGATTCTGAGTGAAAACTACCAACCATACTTATCACTAATAAATACTGATGTATTCATCCAATCTGATCAATTTACTGTAAAATATTGTCAACTTACCTATCAGCTGGACCACCAGGTCGGACTTGTGTAATAGTCAATGGACGAGACTTGAGTCTGTTCTGGCACATACCGCCTCTCAGAGTAAAACCAAAACTAGCATTGTCTGGATGTACAGCTATTGAATGCTGCTTACAACATACAGAAAATGCATCTGCTGGGACTGAAATATAACACAAAAAAATGTTGCTGACAAAATGACAAACAGACAGATGCATTATTGGTAGGCCAACTTTTACTGGTACAGAATAATGTTTGTTTACAAATGTTTGTATATTTTAACTTGTGGTTCAAATTTGTACAAATCTTTAGTTTTCATATGACTAATGTTTATTTATATGTTTTACTCCAGCATTTATGCTGTCATTAGTGATATACATGTGATTTTATTTATATAGTTCATTGTTATAACATAATCATGCTCTTCTCATTGTAAAAATATTAAATGTCACTGCCTTACATGTTTATATATGTGGGTAAAGAACATTTAAATATGTTCATATGCTCAATAAAATATTGAATTGATGAAAAAAATATGACCCTCTATCCACATACCTAGTATCATAAACCTTACAATCTAGATTTCTTCAGAAGATGCCATGATAAAAAATACAGTATTTTAAGGAACTTTTTTTCTGTTACCAAGTCATCACAGTCGGTGGTTTCTAACATTCCAATATACAATGCTATATACTGGGCCATTTAATATATCAAAATTCTTTTTAATTAACAAGGAAACAAGACAAATAGCACGTTTTTTTTTCATTTTTTTGTCAAAGAAAAAGTCTTAAAAGCAAATACAATAGGAAGTTATTTTGTTGACTTAGCCAAGACTTTTTCTTCTATAACAGGAGCCATATACAGGCATCTACCACATGGAAGATTCTTCACAATAATGCATTAAGTACCCCAAAAATGCAATTAACATCAACTTGTTTCTCTCCCTATTTACAACAACACCATGTTATTTTTACCCAAATTTTAAGACGGGCCCATTCCTTTACCTTGGGGAAAAAAAAGTCCCAGACTTACCTAACTCTGGTAGTTCATACTCGACTTCCAGCCTCACACTTTCATCAGCATTCTTTAGAAGATTGACAATCTCATCATGTTTCATATATCCTGTTTTAATTCCATTCACTGACAACAGGATATCACCCACTTGTAACAGGTCAGATCTAAAATATAGTTTGCAGTGCTACACAGAATATATGTAACAACCAAGGGGAAATACTTTTTTTTTTTACTTTATAACAGTTCTGATTCATTACACAATGACAATATAGATAGATTTTTTACATAATGATAAAGTGATGTGTCATTCTAAACAAACCATTTAAAAGAAAACTTGTTGAAAATACATAACAGGGAATGGGGGCCTTTAACTAAGAAATTTAAATATGGTTTACATTTGTATACCAAAAATTATATATGATTATTTTTTTAATAAACAAAAATTTAATAGAGTTCAAGTTAGAAAACTTGATTTTTTTTACATTGAAAATATTTTCATAGATAGTCACTCTGTCATTTGTAGGTTGTCATTTGTAGGTCTGTTATGATGCAAATATCTTTAATTTTCTAAATCGAATTTTGGGACACAAACTTAATTACACTCCCAAACATATCTCAAGCTGCTTTTTAGAAAAATGGGGCTTTAATAGGGTCATTAATGAAATTGTGGTCATAAAAAAATACTTCAAATTTTACAGCATTAGTCTCAGAAAAGGTCTTCTATAACATGTTTTTATTCTTACCTGTGAGCTACACCACCAGGCCTCAAGTTGGATATATGTGGACGAACATGTTTGTCTACGCCTCCTGTAAAAAATCGAAAGTGACACAGAACTAGGTAAAACAGTTAATACATTTATGATGCTATCAGATTCAGTATTTACCCATGTGAATAGTGAAGACCAGGATCAGCTGGCATGGATGGTCTAACCAGTGTCTGCACTGTTCGCTTTTGAGTCAATATATCCTTTTGCAATTTTCCCTATAAATAGTGAATGGTTTTGTCCCGATATAATGATGGACAAGTCCATTAAGATATTATAGGCAGGGCAAGTGTGAATTTACAGTCATTGATTAAATTTCTCCTTTCATATTTTTTGTGACACAGAAAACAATTTCCATTCGACTAGACTTTCAATCAAGCTCGGCACTGTACAAGTGATATGACAATTTTCTGATTTTCCTATGAAGACAAAACCGTTCACTCTTAGAACATACGGGTGAAAGTTGGAAATTTTAAAATCCTGAAAATCCTGAATTTAGCAGTTTTTCTATAGTTTTACATAGTAAAAAGAAGACTTTCAGGAGACTGAAAATCCTGAAATTCAGGAATAGTCCTGAAAACTTTCTCCCATGTAGAACATCATTTTTACATGTCAACATAGATTTAAACAATTTATCATTTATTTGCTGAGTTTGTGAGTTTGAAATTAGAGTTTCCTGATTTGAGTTCAATGGATTCCAGATTTCAATTTTTTAAGCATTTTTTCAATTAACACATTACACACACATCTTTTCATTTAAGATGACGGTAAGATTCATTTGAAACCTTCAAAATATACTTTTCCAAAATAAGTTTGTGAAAAGGTAGTCAAATCAAAATGATCTGGTCTGAGTTCGGGGAATATAACAGTAAATATCAAGCAGTCAACAGTATGGAGACCAGGAACTTTGTCAAACAGAACAGATGAGCATTCTCAAAAAGACAATTACCGATAATATTTAAGTAGTTTAAAAGACATATTTACAATACCTGCAAGAATGAGACCTAATCCAGACCCTTCAATCTTACGCAAATCAACCAGAGTCGTTCCCCTTGTTTCATCTCGAACTGAAATTGTAATTATTGACAATTAAAAATCAGACTCCTAGTATGCAGACTTGAATTTTTATTGTATAAATCATACAATTTTCTTTGAAATTCATGAACTTTAAAATGTAATTTTGGACAATAGAAAAATCTTAGCAGTGTCTCTATCAGAACAAAAGTTACTGTTGTTAAAAATTGAACTAAAGGCTGAATCATAAATTAGAGGGTATGCATAATGTATTTTGCCACCATGATAAACAGGCATACATGTACATTAAGATTTTGTTTTTATAAGGAAATGGTGGAACACTTTATATGCTATGTTCATACAATTATAGTCTACATGTACTATAAACACTTGATGTTTCTTGCGAACTGCCTCAAGGTCACACTGTGGTTTTAATCATAGAATATAATTAATGTAGTACTGGGATTGAGTTACGAAACTAATAAATTAAACAGTCATGAGTACATGTAGCTGAAGGCTGGAAGATAATGTTACTTTCATTTTGAAAAATAATACAATATATTACTTCCATTGTTAACTTAGTTACTATTATGTATATAATGTACTAAGTTGTACTTGACAAATACAAGTCTGTATGCATTTTGGATGCATACAATCATAGTACACACAAAGTATACAAATGTACTATATCATTATTTATTACCGTAAAATTCAATCAATATGAAGATACATATGTATCTTTTTATCCAAATTCAGCTTGTGACATTTTAAAATAAGGCTTTCAATAATATGTAATAATAATAGTTTATATATATATAATCATTTGTACACATTTTTTTAAAGGAATAACTTTCATTTTTTCAATTTCATCAACATGTCTAAATTTTACCACAAACAATATTTCAGATTTACTTTTATTTCCTCTATTTTGGAGAATGAGTTTCTTCATAGGTTAAACCATAAGTCACTTATTTTTGAAACAATCGAGAAATTCTTTAAAGCTGCTCACAACCAGGACGAGCATATATATTTTCAAAAATCAAACTTCAATAAAAGTCAATATAGAGTTAAAGTACAGGAAATGCATTAATTATTATCCAAGTGAATTTAAGAGACACAGTGACATGAATGATATCTGCAAAACATTTACTCATAAGTTATATCACTTTATTTGTACTGTCACAGTGTGTTACTAATGAAAGCAAGGGCTGTTTCCACAGATTTTGTAATTTCACAGGGCAATTTCTCTAGGTGCATAATTACTGCCTTAAATTTATATAAAATTCACAATCACTTTATGTGAACACCTGACAAAGTTTTTAATAATCACAACAACTTTTATTTAAATTTAAAGAATCTAGTGGTGTGCTGCTTTTAAAATAGGTCCCCAGTTGTTGTTTACAGGTCTCTATGTGATATTGTATATATCTTATATAAAACAGTGGTAATATGCATTTGATATACTCACAGTTGTCTTCATGCGCTGGCCCTGGATATCCATTAGTAGCTGGACGATACTCTATAGGATCTATAATTGAAACAATGCATTTAATTAAAGATAATAAATATGCAAAAAAGTAAGTTAAAAAGATCATTCATTCCATTTACACTTCTTGAACAACTGGAGTACAAATTGTAACAATGTCCATACTAACAGAGGGGAAATTGAGTGGGGAAACAAGGAAGGCAAACATTTAAGAACAAAGAATACAGACCATAATATATAATGACAATACCATTTCAAAAACTACAAAAAAATGTCAATCTCTTCGGGAAATGGATCTATTCTACAATAAAAAAAATTTGAGAGGACCTTTTTTCAGATACATCTATATACCATCATTACTAAGTTAACTGTTCAAATTTGTTGGATTTTATTCTTGGGGAAATAGCAAACAAAATGTCATGATCATGTGACAAAAATTATGTGAATTAATAACTTCTTTTTTAGTCAACTACAGAGGCCATTGCAATGAAAGTCAGTATGTAACAGACTAATGCAATTAAATTGGTAAATATTAAAGTAGCACCTCCTAGTCAGTGACAAGGGCAAATGCAGGTTATGCTCAAACTACTTATTAAAGCCAGGATATTTAATATTTTAGAACTACATGTATATTTCAACAATTTTATCATTAAAATAATCAAGGAGTTTTAGAATTAAAGTTTGATGAAACGTTAAAACCTAAATTTTGGTTAAACTATGAAAGTCAAACCATGTTTACTAGTGTGCCTACTGGGTGATTGCCATTGAAATAGTTAGTGTAATGTTTACAAAGACAGGCAGGGTGTTCACTAGCCTTGAAATCCTGAGGGTCATTTTGACTAAGTTTTACCGACTACAAGGCCAAATCCCCATGATTAATAGATCGGTGACTTTATTGCTTAAAAACATAACTATTTGTCATTCAGATGCGCATCATTATATCACTCGGGCTACGTCCTCGTGATATAATTCCACGCATCCGAACTCCAAACAGCAATGTTATTGAGCTATAAAATCACTGTTTGGGATATATTATTTCTTAAATCATAACTGTTGAATAGCACATATCTTGCCAACTAGTCATAATCGGTAAGCAATATCCTGTATGATCTTCAAGAAAGGCAATAGGTCAATTACAGGCCAATTTCCATAACATGTGTTTTGTGTAAGGTTATGAAACACTTAGTTTCCTCTTCCATTGTTAAACACTTCACCAACCATAACATCCTTTACCACCTCCAACATGGTTTCAGGGAAAAAAGGTTGTGTTAAGCAATTTGTTATGTTGGTAAATGACCTGGTCTCCTCATATGAGAAAAAACATGTAGATCTGATTTTTTTAGATTTCAGTAAGGCTTTCAATAAGGTCAGTCACGAGAAAGTACAGCTGAAAATACATGACTATGGAATCAGAGGTCAAACTTTAGAATGGGTCAAAAGTTTTCTATATAACAGGCTGCAGTCTGTTGTGCTTAATGGTAGCAGCTCAAACCCCATCCCAGTATCCTCAGGTGTCCCCCAAGGCTCAGTACTGTTCTATGACCCCTCCTGTTTCTTGCCTGTATACATGTTAATGACCTCCCACAAAACATAAATTTTTTTTTGCTTGTTTGAAAACGATACTGCAATATACATTAACCTGACATCTGCAAACCAATCAGTCACCCTCCAAAATGACCTAAATTGGTTAGAAAAGTGGGAGTTGAAGTAGGATATGGAATCTAACCCCTCCAAGTGTCAAGTTATTCAAGTCACAAAAAGGAAACATCCTATCCCACCTTACATGGAATGCAATCCGGTCAACTTGTCCTCTGGTCAACTTGTCACCTTTTTGGTCAACTCGTCCCCTACTTTTGGTCAACTCGTCCTCAAAGAGTCAACTCGTCCCTAATATGGTCAACTCGTCCCCTAATTTCGATCGATTCGTCACTATTATATGTTTTAAATCAATGTCTTTAAATAGTTCTTTTATGTAAAATTAATAATGAATTTGATTGATATCGAAATATTAATAAAATAACGTCTTTTTACGTCAAATTTTAATGATCTTTTGCGCACGTGCATAGCTTTGATGTTAAACTACAAAGACAGGTAAGTTTGCAAACATTCAATTAATGTTTAATAAATCGGAGTTTTAAATGATAATTAAAACTAAAATTAGGTCCAACTCTTTGATTTTTACCGCCTCCCTAAATGGATTAAAGACTGACGACAGATTAACAGGAATTAGAAGTGCTAAAAACTTTATGTCGGTGCGTATTGATCTCATTATAGAAGGATCGTGTTAATTAAAAACATGATAATTATTTGTTGTAAAATTGTCAATATAAAATTTGCCCTGATAAATATAAGATTGGTTAAAGTCGCTGATTTGAGATCACAGGTCCCTCACCACTGTAGGTTCGATCCTCACTCGGGTCGAAATCTTTCATGTGAGGAAGCCATCCAGCTGGCTTACGGAAGGTCGGTGGTTCTACCCAGGTGCCCGCTCGTGCCTGAAATAATGCCCGGAGGGGCACCTGGGGTCTTCCTCCACCAATAAAGCTGGAAAAAAATCTCGGCGGGACGCTCTAGAATGATCCGACTTGAGTGTACGGTCGCCCATATGGGCTTTCCGGCGGCGACCTTAAATAAACGCATTAAAAAAAAAAATAAGATTTATTCTTAAAATCCCATTTGCGTTGTACGTTATATCAACATTGGATTATTTTTTAAAGTGCATATTGATCATTTCTTAGAATTCCATATTGTTGGATTATATACTGCATGTGAACGGCGTATGTGACAATTTCCGTACAATAATATTTGCAGTGGATATTAACTGATTGAATGGAAACATGATTGAAAACATAAAGTAATTACCAAATATTTAATTGCCATCTAATAACTAGTAAAGATTAATTTTAAATTTCCATAAATAAATCTTTAAATTGATCTCAAAGAGGAGCTGAAAAAACTGAGTTCCAGAATTTCTTGTATGATACAAGTCAATATATTGAATGTATAAATTATATTTTATCATTACATATGAAACATGTTTATACATTAAATGGTATTGCTATTGATCGTATTCGTGTTTTTTTTTCTGTATGTAATTTAATCAGAATTATGCATATATATACTTATTATTAGAAAAAAAGCTCCAAATATTCGCATACAAAAAGCGTCAAAATATGTCCAATTCAGTAATTTTATAATATATTATTTTAACAGTCTATAATAATTTATGAAATATATGAAAAACAGATAATAATAAAATATAGGGGACGAGTTGACTAGGGGACGAGTTGTCCAAGGGACGAGTTGACCAAAAAGGTGACGAGTTGACCAGAGGACGAGTTGACCAGAGGACGAGTTGACTCTGAATCCATGGAATGCCCACATAAATCTAGGACATCCAAGAAAGCAAACCAAACCTAAGGATTCCTACACGATCATCTATGCAGAAACATATGAAGGTTAAATCCCAATCCATTAAGTCCATTGCTTACCATATGTCAGTCAGACCCCAGCTTGAATATGGTTCCGAAGTATGGTCTCTCCACACCAAAATACAAATTGAAAATGTCCAAAGAAGAGCAGCCCGATGGATCAAGCTAAATTATGGTCAGACCTCTAGCGTCACGGACATACTTCATTCATTTAAGCTTCAAAAACTGGAACTCAGACGTATAGATGCTAGGTTATCCCTTTTCTATAAGATTCACCATGGTCAGGTTGCTAACTTGCTATCCCTATAGAAGAATATGTGACACCCTCTCCTGAACATCACACATGGCAATCTCCTGTGTAATTTGTTATTCACAGCTACTTAAGGCTATTAAAATTATCCTTCTTTTCTAGTGCGGTATACCAATGAAACCACCTACCCCCTACAGTTGCCCTTTCCGACTACCCTGAAAAGTTAAGTGCAGCCATAGCTTGCATCTTGCATTGAACATGTTTCACCCTGGTTTTCCAGCCGCCTGTTTTTAATGTTTTAAATTTAATATTCTTCTTTTATCCTGTAACTAAACATCTTTTTTTTTAAACTTTGTTGTGATTTGGACGTGAGACATGTCTACATCCCTGCAAGTGGTTTGACATTAATGGAAGATAGATAGATGGATAGACATATCTTTAAAGGTATAAATTTGAGTTTTGACCTGAAAAATATGTTTGCTCAATGACTTCCCCTCATCTGCTCATTTCATAATAACAAATTAATTTTTCAATTGTGAACTCTCATCAAACTTAAAAACCACACTTTGACAGATTGTCACTTCATTAATAGTACTGTATACCGAAATCCCGTTCTAAATTCATGACCTTTGTTTTCATTGAAAATAATCTTTCGTAAAATCTTTCAATTTTGAAAATTGGCAGGTCAAAATATAGTATTTTAATGATAACACCTGACAAGATGCATGCAATTAATTTTTACCTTTCTCATAAACTGATCCACGAAGACAACCGGGCCGCCAGTGTGGCATTTTTCATTTCAAAAGTGAGTATTTTGCCATTTATTTACATGAAATTCTTGTCATTCCTCTTTTCACAAAATTTCAAACGGTGTCGTAAGAATAATTTCTCCGTAAGAATCGCTTACACTTTCCTACAGTTCAGTCAAAATAAAATGTAGGCCAATGTTATCACATTAATGAATTAAGAACATGTGAAATTCTTATCTCCGAAGAAAATAGCTCTGAATATGAAACATTTCTGATAAGAGCAGAAAAATGTTAACAAAGTAGTATCTTTACTTCCATACAAAATACAAATCAACTAATTCTATAACTGTGGCAAAAGTAGCAAAAAGAACACTCAGGTGTAAAGCCAATGAGTTTTTTTTATAACTGTAACAGATTTATAAGAACTTTTGAAAAATAAATGATTAGAATTGAAAATCCTAGCTCAGATTTTATTTCTCCTAAAAAGGCTTTGCAATCAATTTTCTTTAATTGTATAATAGTCCATTGAGATTGGCTCTAGGATGACTCCGTAACGTTCGTATGTAACACTATTTACACAAAATATAATTACAACAGTAAGATTAACATATATATAGTCGTTATTAAGCAAAAAAACAGTTTCATATAATATTATTATAATGTTGAAATATGATTTAAAAAAAACAACGTATTATATAGCGTCTTATTGATATATTTATTACAATATTATAAAAGAAATGTTTGCCCTTTCCGAAGAAAAAGACATTTATTCATTTCTGAGGCATAACGTGCCTTTGAATAGATATGCTCGACGTACTTTTGAATATTTTGATTATGATCCAAAATGGCAGATTTGTCCATGAAATTTGGTATCTTCTTTTTTAAATTTTATGAATGAAAAAATAATAATAATGTAAACATTTTAAAAATTTCAACATCTCATAAATATCACAAAAACATTATTTAAGACAATATGTCGAAACGAAATTTCTTAAATTTGTAAAATTTGTCATAATCAGTAGACAAAGACCAACCTGTCAACTGAAAGATTGACCTTTCCAAACCATGGTTACTTACTAAACATCTGAGCGTCTGCAAATGATTATATTTTTATGCAGTGAAATTACTCATTAAAAAGACCGTTTAACCATATTTTTATGATATTATATGGACGCAAAATTGTAAAATTGAATCATCTTTAAATAACTTAATCCGTGGAGCTCTAGAACCCTCTCCAGGGTTCTACCCTGCTAGGGGGGGGGGGGGCTATGAGCCCCCTTTGACCTCCTGCATATAATATGTGCGTACATTTAAAATTGCCCCCAGGTACCCCCATATATCCACCCGACACCTCAAGTCCGTAGAAACAGGTCAGCGAAATGCGACAGTAACTGAACCGAAAATGAACTTCCACTGCGTAGTCAATAAAAGATATTCATTACACGTGTAACATTACTCGTGCGCTGAAATTCACGTGCTTTTACATAAGAAGGAAAATTACTGTTTTTAAACTATTAGTCTATCCATATATTTATACGAAGATTATATCAGATAATTTTGGACTTGTTTCCCAGTTTCATAAAATACTTTGAGCGAGTGAAAGAGACAGGTTAAAAAGTCTCCTTTTTGTTGTTGTTGAAAATGTTTCAACTAGCCCGGTCGAAGACACATTGCTGCCTTTGATACAAAGTTTGTATATGCAGAAACATAGGAACTCGAAAACGGGACCGCAGATTGCGGCGCATATTTTCGATCGTGTAACGGTTTTTAAGAACGTTTCTGCTACACCTTAATATCTTTTAGTATTATCCGAGTATATGGCCTCAAAAATATATAATCGATTGAACCCAATCTGTCTCTTTTAAATCTGGTCAAATTTTACGGTATTATAAAAAAAAACAATATACCGTAAATTTGACTGATTTTTAAATTAGCAGATTTAATTAAATTGAGATTAGATAATTAAAGACCACCCGCTCGCATAATATGAAAAGATATTCAAAGGTCGGACAAACAATATCTTAAGCCGGTACGGATTCGGATTTATGCGCCGCAATATGCGATCCTGTTCCAGAGTTCCTATGTGCACAGACGCCGATGATGGCGGAAACGCTCTGAAAGTGGCAAAAATTACATTTATAACAAATACAAATACATTTGTTTACAATATTTCACATGTTTCTTTGTATTCTATTATTATGTCAAACCGGGTTTTGGCAACGTACTTTGCATTACTTTGTAAATTAATTCGATGAGGACGCGTTTCTCGTGCATAGATCTCTACATAACCCTGATCTGTCCGGTTCGAATTATCATATAAGTTTTTTACCACAACATATTTGTTAACAAAAGAACGCACGTGAATATGTGTGATTAAATCTATTGTTATTCACGGGGGAGGAAGTGTTACACGAAGGATGGAGTTCTTATGATAACTTGTTCAGGAGTTCTTGTGATAACTGTCACGGAGTTCGTCGGAAAACATCTGTATATACTACAAAAACACTCGTCAAAAATGGTTATTTTCATCGTTCAAAAATGAGTTTAGGTGCTAAATTAAACTTAAATGATTAAGCTTGTCTAACATCTTGCATAATGTGTCAAAAACTAATTCACAGGCTATTTTTCATCGCCTCTTGCTTCAAATCTGGTAGTTTTGAGTAAAATTTCCAAATTATTTGCCAATTCGCAAGTTTTGACCTGTTTATTTCTGGTCTTCATCCTTGCCATACATAATTACCTAATTATAATGCAAAATTGCAAACATAAAGCACCGGCTAACAGATTTATACCCGATTTTCCAAATGTCCCGGAGTTCTTGTGATAACTCTGAAGATGTCACAGAGTTCTTATGATAACTTTTGTTATTGCCAGTGTGTTTCTTGCGCTAAATCACGGCACGTTTTGGCGTTTATTATCATTCAATAAGATTGTAAATCATTATGAAATGCAGTACGATCATCCTTTGCACAAAAATGTGGATAAAACGTTGGTATTAAGTGTCTGCAAAGGATAAATAGGTGGTAGGCTATCATCTACAGTAAAAATTGAACCAGCGGCCACTGATATTCAGCAGTATAATGGCTTAAACCACAAAACAAAAATGTCTCAAAACGTACACGTTGTTCTCAGTTTCACATGTTTTAAGCAAACACCTTTCTTAAGCAAACAATATAAAGGCATGCTTCCTTTACCTAAGGGCTAAGTAATTTGTATCATTTTATACCATAATAAATAAGTATATAACCCGGATAATTTCCACACATATGTCTTAAAAAAGTACGATACATGATAAAAAATCAACTGCGATTGGCTCTAACTACCGATCTCTCGAACAAATTTGAACTGTCCTTCCAGGTTCAGGCGAACTAAGTTTGACTGTATATTTTTGTTATCAATTACAGCAGAAGTAGCAGAGTTTCCTCCACTAAGATTACATAGGGGAAATACTCATCAAACATCGACAGAAAAATATACATGAAAATTTAATATACCATATTTGAGTATTTCAAAGCGCATTTTATCACGTTTCATAGCAGTTCATAGCAGACCTTCTTTGTTTTGAATATAATTCAGTACCAATAAGCAATGTTAACCTGTTTTTTTTAAATAGATATAACTTCCCAAACTTTTCCGTGTCGTCTGCAAATATATTGTTTAAAAGTAGTGATTTACCTAGAATGGGATTTCAGTTATTGTGCATGGGCATTCAAACTAGAATTCCCCAGGTGTTGCTTCTAAGTGTCGCAAGTTCTCTAATGTAACTTAAATTAACAGAAAAAAAACGTTTGAAACATATTCATCGCTGTACTATTATAACTGCTATTTTACATAGAAAACAAATGTTTCTCTGATTGACGCAGTAACATAGATGCTTAACGAAAATGATAAAGGGCCAGAATACTGCTAGGAGCCGGAAACTGCTGGGAAACCAGTACATAAATCCTTTTTCCAGTCTACGAAATCTGCGTCAAACGAAAAAAAAATACTATGAAAAAGAAACAGGGGTAAGAAATAATATCTCTTGAACTAAAATCCACTCAAAACCAACATTATATATCCTATTTTTTTGCGCAAAGGATGAGCGTACTACATTTCATAATGATTTACAAGCTCGTTGAATAATAAAAAACGCTAAAACGTGCCGTGATTTAGCGCAAAAAACACACTGGCAATAACAAAAGTTATCATAAGAACTCTGTGACATCTTCAGAGTTATCACAAGAACTCCGGGACATTTGAAAAATCGGGTATAAATCTGTTAGCCGGTGCTTTATGTTTGCAATTTTACATTATAATTAGGTAATTATGCATGGCAAGGGTGAAGACCAGAAATAAACAGGTCAATACTTGTGAATTGGCAAATAATTTGGAAATTTTACTGAAAATTACTAGATTTGAAGCAAGAGGCGATGAAAAATGGCCTGTGAATTAGTTATTGACACATAATACAAGATGTAAGACAAGCTTAATCATTAAAGTTTAATTTAGCACCTAAAACTCATTTTTGAACGATGAAAATAACCATTTTTGACGAGTGTTTTTGTAGTATATACAGATGTTTTCCGACGAACTCCGTGACAGTTATCACAAGAACTCCTGAACAAGTTATATAAGAACTACATCCTTCGTGTAACACTTCCTCCCCCGTGGACACAGTATAGGTCTTATGGCAACGTGCCAGCTATACTAGTGGAGGAAGAACTCAGGTGCCCTTCCTAGTATTATTTCAGGCACGAGCGGGTATCTGAATAGAAGCTGAACCATCAACGTTCTGTAAACTAGCTGGATAGCGTCCTTACATGATAGAATCCCAGTCCCTGTCGGGATTCGAACCCACAGCGGTGAGGGGCAAGTGGTTTGAAGTCAACGACCTCAGCCACTCGGCCACGGACGCCCAATCTTATAGCTGTTGCTATAATAAATTGGACTTTGACTCTGGCGACCCGAGTTCGGTTCCTGGAAGACGCAGATCACTATAATTGTGATTGATCACGAAATCCGTTCTACGGTCATTCGTACTTTACCTCTACACTGGCATGTACAGCCAACTAGTACTCTTAAACTGCTTGGAAGCCTTCCCTGCGGTGGCTGAACTGTGATCAGGTGCTTTCAATGTGGCTTACTGCCGTTAAAACTACAAACACCAA